TGTGTGTGTGTGTGTGTGTGTGTGTGTGTGTGTGTGTGTGTGTGTGTAGTACAGGTTCTATGGCGAGCCAGTGGTCAAAGCCTGTGTGGAGAATGGAGCCCACCATATTGACATCAGTGGAGAGCCTCAGGTATGCTCATAGTGCTGTGTGCACAACATTAATCATTACATACTGTAAGATCGTTGTAGGTAGGGAAGACAACTATCGGTTAGTTTAGTAATCAAGTATTCTACTGTTTATTCCATTGATTCTATTGAATGGAATGTATGTTTGCTTTTTATTTTAAAGAGAAATAGTAAACGTACAAAGAAGAAAATAAGACGGGTCTCTCAAAATGAACAACTGTTTGGATTTCTAAAAAAAAAAATGCAATTGTTAAAATTGCATACAATAATATCTGTCAAAACTAAACCCATTTAGTGCCTTAAGTGTCATATTACATTGTGGGGTTTTAATGGAACATTTGAATGCAAACAAATAAATTAAAAGATAATTTAAAATTACATTCTAAAAAGGTTAAACTCTTATGGGCTACTAAATATAACTTTAAATACTCAAACACATATATTTAAAAACGTATAGTGTAGATTAGACACATTTGAGTTACTGACCTTTACACTATTCATTTTACCAAATAACTTTGACTTTAATCAAATTGCTAAATAAGAATTTGAATCTTCTGTCTCTCCCTGCATGTTGTAAGTGGACCCTACATGGACCTAATCCTGCAGATGTCTTAACATTCAGCTTGTGTGTTTGACTTAAATGGGACACATGCTGCATTTCATGCTGTAGCCTCTTAGAGAAAATAATCTCTCACTTTGCCGCATGACGGCAGTTTTCCCTCGCTGTCAGATGCCGGTCTTTGTAATGCAGCGTGTATCAGTCTCAGCTCCTTCAGGTTCTCTGAGAGCTACACAAAATACCCCACCACTCAACGGGACAAACTTCACCATAGCTTCATGCTCATCAAAAACAGTTGAATTTAATACATTATAGAAAATTACTTTTACATTGCTTTTCCACATTTGTGTGTGTGTTTCTGTCTGTATTCAGTTTCTGGAGGGCATGCAGTTGAACTACAGCAGCCAGGCAGCTGAGAAAGGTGTGTACATCATAGGCAGCTGTGGATTCGACTCCATACCTGCGGACATGGGAGTCCTCTACACCAGGGACCAGTTCAAAGGTACGTGTATATACTGATGTGCTCACAAACACACTAACAATGAATCTGCTGCTAATAATGATTCATTCATTGTCATATTATTCTCTGCTAAGACATGGTGTGTGTGTATATGTGTTCACCCACAGGAACGCTGACTGCAGTGGAGAGCTTCCTGACTATCGGCTCAGGCGATGATGTACGTAACTGCATTACCCACAAGTCCAAGCAATGAACCAGCTTGTTGTTCCTTGATTACCCACTTTCCTCCTAATCTCAAATGTGACTTGTTTTCTTTGTTTATGGTCTCCTCATTTTTTTGCTCTCTTTTTCCTCCACATTTTCTCCCTTTGTATACGTTTGTCTTCCTCTATCAGGGCGGATGTATCCATGATGGCACGTGGCAGTCGGCTATCTACGGCTTTTCCGACAGCCAGAAGCTCCAGAGTCTCAGGAGGAAGTTTAATCACAAACCTCTCCCTGCTGTTGGCTCTAAGCTTAAACGCAGGTACGTAGAGGAGGAAAATAAAATCTTTTACCTTTTCTTAATGGCGCATCCACAGCCAGTTTGTTAAAGTTGGTAAATCAATATTATGTAGTACATAGTATGTTTACATTCAAACATAAATGTAGGCTCATCTACACATTTGAAAAGCCCTTTTGGAGCCAGTATGTCATTCCTGGAGACCTTTGTTGTATCCTAATCAGTCATGAGAGGGTGGGTTTACAATCGTTCAAGTCTTTCTTAAACAACAGCAGTGGACTAACTATAAAGCCTCAAACATATCTTTGGTATTTTGGTTACAATTTGTAATAATATTAGTGGATAATCCTCTTTCCACATTAGTACCAGTGTCTGGTACAGAGTTAAATCCCACCTTCCTTCAATACACGCAACAGCATGTTCTGAAGTTGGACTAGGTTTTCATGCTGTTGAAAGTATTGTGTTTTCTCAGTGTATTTCTTTGCGTTTGTGTATTTGTAGGGGAAATGTGTTCTTTAGTAATGAGATCCAGCAGTATACGGTGCCGTTCATGGGCTCCGATCCCTCCGTTGTGAAGAGAACTCAGCGTTTTCTGGTGGAGGAACATCAGGAAAAGCCGGTCAGCCTTCATTTTCTGTGTTTATTTTACACAATATTCCTCTAATCATTCACTTGTAAAGCGATAATGATAATTCTTAATAGCCTTCTTGTAGAAAAGCATCATGGAGACCCTACTGTGTCTAATTTCAGTTTAAGTTTCACAGATGTGACCAATTAGGATTTTAGGTTTTTGGGCAAAGCTGGTTTTAAACTACACTAATCAGGATTTATGTGGAAAAGTTGGGATTAGTGGCAAACATCCTGCTTTCTTGTTCCATTTTCTTTATTTTACTTGTGTAGACTATGAAATAGGTTTGGACAGGATGTTTTGATCAGAGATGACTAATACAAAGAAAATCATCCCCCCTGTTCTTCTCAATATTATTAGTTTTTACTTCGGACCTTAAGAGTCATTGCAATGTGCAGGGACACTACCTCAACCGTCTTGTTTTCAGGACAAGATGGCACCATTATGGAAACGGTGTGTTTATTACTGCCTCCATGTTTGTCGAGCATTAAATACAACTTGTATTTACTTCAGGTTCAGTATGGAGCGTATGCAGGAATAGGAGGTATCGCCAACATCGTCAAGCTGATGTTTGCTGGCATGATGTTCTGGATCTTGGTCAAGTTCAGCTTTGGACGCGATCTACTCATCAAGGTAAACAAACATGGCGCGAACTGACTTTAATGAATATCCTACTATTGAAACTAAAAAGTCTGAGTACACATACTGTGTGCTGGGAGATGGTTACATGCTTATGTCTGTCTGTTGTTTGTACTCTCCTTCTCAGCACCCAGAGTTCTTCTCCTTTGGACTCTTCTCAAAGGCCGGACCAACTAGAAAGCAGGTAAAGTGCTGTCCAGAAAATACGGTTCATACTATTAGTTAATGCTCTTCTGTGGGTCCATTTAGTTTGGATGGTAAGGTATGCTGAAAAGAAGATTCTCTGTATTGAGAGATGTGTGTGTTTGTATTAGATGGAGGCGTCATCCTTCCAGTTTGCTTTCTATGGAGAGGGCTACACAGAGGGACAGGACCCCTCCCTGGGGAAACCGAACGGCAAGATCCGCACACTGGTTCAGGGACCAGGTAACTGGAAATCTTAGTAGAATAGTAGGTTTTGTACTTGATGTGACAAAGATACTTGAGTTTCCCTCCTAAAACGGTTTGGCTTGAAATATTTTAAACCCTCCACGAATGCAGGAATGAAGTTGTGACAACATGGCAGTAATATGAACATCAACCATGTTTGATTTGCATAATAACCAGCCTGAATAGAAACAAGTACCCAGTCTGGCCTGTTCAACACCATCCTTGTGTGTTGTGGTTATTCTATTTTCTTTTTCGTATTACTCAGAATGTGGATATGTGGCCACGCCAATCGCCATGGTACAGGCTGCTCTAACAATCCTCAACGAACCCACAGCCTTGCCCAAAACGTAAGTTCTCACATCTACTGCCTGACCTGGAAGTTAATTTACACCCAAATACAAATGCAGCACACAACATGAACTACTTAAGGAACAGTGTGTAGCTTTTGGTGGTGGGGGGGGGGGGGGGGATATATTGGGAGCAGGTCCTCTGAACAGAGTACAGTCTAGTGTTTAAACATCCATGTAATGTAAGAATGTCACTTGTTAAAATTCATGACTCTTGGGTATGAAACTCTTTTCTTTTTTTTTATCCTCCTTTTCCAGGGGAGGAGTTTATACTCCAGGAGCTGCTTTTGCAAAAACCACACTGACGGACCGCCTCAACAAACACGGCATCCAGTTTTCTGTCATCTAAAGTTTGGCCTCCCCCTGATCCATACTCCAGGTTTTCTCAGCACTTACTAATATGCATAATAACAGCTGGAAAGTCATCCCGAGCACCTTGACTAGAGATGGAGTGCACTTTCAGATTAACCTATTTTTGGTGGTACTTTCTGCATTTATCTTTTTCATTTGGTCAGAAACTTGCCAGTGTCCCTTTGGCTTGACTGTACTATTAACCCGCTGCTTGTAAGACAAATGGCACAGCTGCAGCAGCATTTTCTAGCCAAGGACAGTAAAATAACTGTTTTGTGTAACTGGGTTTAACATGGCTGTCCACGAACATAATTGCTAATGAAAGGAGGATTTTGTCCAGGTTCACTTTATCATATCTGTACCTTTCATCATACCAAAGATTGATTTGTAACATTTTGTGCAGACAAAATTTAAATTAAGATCACAGTGTATTCATAAAATGATACTGTATCCACATCATCGGGATGAAAATAAACTCCTCAGTTGCTTCATGTTGTAGTCTATATGTCATTAACCTGCAGACGACGCCCCGTTATTAAATAGCAACAGTATAGCCGGCTGATGGCTTCATAGTATAAAATGTAAAGATCGTGGACATTATTTCCCATGGCAGGATTGAGGATTAGTAAAGTAGGTTGAATCAGTGCTAGAGATGTAGCAAACTGTATCAAAAGTGTCAGCTGTAACTACTATTCACCTTCTAGAATCTTTTTAAGTGTTGTCCTTTTGATATACGGTAGCTTCATGTACACTAACCAGGTAGCTGTATGTGTCAGAATAGACACTTGCTGTTTGTGTGTGTGCACGTACACGCTTGCCTTTCCTGGCCTGTTGGCTCAAAATATCTGCTAGCTTTGTTTTGATAGTTAATATTTGGACTATCATGAAATCATTCTGCTTTCTTTGATCCTTTTTTTGTGTAGCTGAATGTTGCAACAGTTCACCTATCCAGTTGTTTGCTTTTGAGCCTTGTCAGAAAATGCATCCAGTTGTTTGTGCACAAAACGGCATGAGTTACTCCATGAGCCTGACGGATCCCCTCTGCTGTTTTGTTCACAAGTGTGTAGAAGGTTTGAGTTTTGCTTCTTTTTTTTATCTGAAGCTTGTCGCTGCTGTGGACTGGAATTGTTTCATCCAAAGTGATGCTGTTGATCCCAGTGCTTGTTTTTCATGTTCGAGCGTTATGTGCACGTGACGAGAAATGTTTTGGGGGTTTTGTTTTGGTGTGCTCTGCTTTGGATGGGCCTCATAAATAAAACCAACTCTGCTCAGAGAAGTCTTTTGTCTTTCATGTTCAAAAGCTTTCCAGAACTTTTGTGTTGTACATTTAATTCAATGTCTTGGGGCGTTCTCATAGCCTCGGGGTTGGAGCATGAGCCATGAACCACGCCGGCCCTAATTCAAGTCTGACCTTTCCCCATGTCATTTCTTTTCATTGTTCTGTTATCTCTATAATAAAAGGCAAACATGCTAGAGAGCGCTGGCCTGAAGATTAGTCAGAAATAACTTTTTTTTTTTTAATTTATTGTAGATGTACAGTGAAACAATTCCTTTGACCATTTGTTAGATTTAAGAGCTCTGACTTTGTAATTGTTGATGGAAATGCAGTTGGAAAAACAAGACTCAGTCCATGTAACTGGAGATGTGCGTTTGTGTGAAAGCGGGACAAAAACACCAACATGGGTGTCACCGGTGATCATTTGCCTTCATAATGGAATAGTGAAATCCCTCATGGTGGGATGAAAAGCTTTTAAATAGTTTAGTGTATGTAATAGAATAAATGTAGTTGGTCAAAGCATAATTATCTCATCCATCCTCTATCCAGATGACGGTGAAATCCTATCTTTTGCCGCCAATACCACCACCTCTTCTATGACCGTCATTAGATGACCTAATTAAGATTAGTTCATAATACTCTACAAACCGTTATCTTAACCTAAAAGAGCTGACCTGCAGTGTTAGTCTCCATGGTGTCAGCTGCTATAACCATTTCACAATTGTAAACAAAGTATCCAAAAGTAGTTTATTTCCTGTTGCAGTCAGGGAATATGACATCGGCTTCAAATATTTATTCATAAAAATAGTTATCTCCTGTACAAGACAGACAGCAAATTGTTCATGACTAAAATAAAATTAAACTCAGGAGGGACAATCATTTTCCCCCACACTTTCTTGGCAGAGTCCTTTATTAAACTGATTTGTATCATTGATTTTAGCTCCTACTTTACGCTTCACCTCACATGCACTTTATATACAGTATGTAAACAGTGCTGGCCTGATGAGCAGTGGTTATCTACCATAAGGAGACATACTTGCCCTCATGGCTCTATATGTATGTGATCTAGTTCACAAGGCAGAGTCACCTCCGTTCCTCTCCTGCTGTATAATGTCTTTGACAACTGCTTTCAAAATAACAGTGTACTATTGTTTGCCGTTTGAGCCGCCTTCAACTCCAGTTTGTTGTTCATATGGTGTCTTGATTCAGCAGCTGATGAGAGTAGATGACATCTTCATAGTGGTATTTCTCTGCTATCGCCATGATGGAGTCATTGCACCGGATTCTACTCAAAATCTGCAGCACTTCAACCACAGAAGACCTACAGGAGACAGCGGCAGTGATTAGAGAGTTGTTATAAATGTATATAGGAAAGTTATTAAATTGGCACTAAACAAATTGTCAATTTTTTTGTCACTGCAGATGTCATATGAGGCAATAGGGAGTCAACTTTTATGTCCAACTGCTGTTGCATCATCTTGTAACCACAAACATGCAGGCGCTTTGAGTAAATCAAAGTATCAAAAGAAGGATTATGGATTTTAGCAGTTACTAAGCTGTTTAAAAGGTAAACTTAACGACATGATACATTAAGAAATAAGTCTTTTTTTCTTATTTCACTGTGACAAAGTTGAACTTGCAGCAATTTCTAAAAGCAAAACGAAAACGTGTTATTTTTATTACTTGGTGTTTGGATCTTCAGGAGACTGCTGTTTGCAGATGGTATGAACTTCCTGAACAAGATGGTTTCTGAAATTCTGGAGCTGAGGCAAACATTCATTCTCTCCTTTGAACCAAGAGAGCGGCAAACTATCTCCGATCTGTAGAGAGAGAGAGACAGAGAGAAGTAGTGGGAGGTTAAGCAAAAAAATAAAAGCGTGAGGGACAGACGACGAACAACCAGATCAAGTGCACAGACTCCAAAAATACACTCATTCCAAATTTAAAATGTAAACACCTTTGTGCATGCATGTACAGCATTGTTGTACAGTGTCTGACTGCACATGGTGATCATCAGGTATCGGTTCAGCAGTTTGTCCAACATCAGTTCCTTCAAAGCAGACTCAGGAAGCAGCAAATCCCATTTTCCCATGTTACCTAGCAGCTAATACAAACACAAGACGGTGATTAACAAACAGCAGCCTGGAACTCCCCACTTGGAGAGGCTGAAACAATATAAAGCACACAAGACTTTTAAAACAGAATCTGTGAGAGAGCAGTACTTTGACGGCCGTCCAGAACTGTTGATCCCTGAAGCGACACTGAGGAGACAACCTGTCTTCTAGGAACCTAAGTAGAAAAACAAAACAGCCTGTAAAACAGATTGAAAATACCACAGAACGTCATAAAGTACTTTGAGTTAAAGGTTATTGATCGACCATTTTATCGAATGATTAAGCAGAAATATTTGTCACATTTGAGTCTTTTCTGTATAATGGGAAAAGGGACTTCTTCGTCGTAAACAAGGAAAACACGTGTAATGTAGAAACTGAAAGAAGTAAGGAGAGATACTGACTTTTTGGTGTACAGAGGGATGAAGACATCTTCATCTACGCAGCTCCTCAGTCGACCGATCACAGCCTCTTTGAATACCTGCATGGGACATAAATACACACAAACATGTTCATATAATGTGTATTTGACAAAGCAGTTTGTCGTCTCTTTTCCATGCATCTGACACCACATCTCCGTTCTCCATATGCCTGCTCACCAAAAGATTGCGCTGCGCCCCATAAGAGCAGTTAACGTTATGGAAGTGATTAGGATTGAGATATTAAAGATAAGATAATAATGTTAAATGGAATACGATGCAGTGATATTGTTGCAACAAACACAGGGACTTTTGAAAAGGAGCCGTGGTTTCAATAGAGGAGACGTTGGTAATAAATTGATTGTATTGTAAATAAAATGTTCACTCTTATTACTGTTCATGCACGTAACTTTAATTGTTTTGCAGGTCTTACAGAAAGCTTAAAGGTTCCATTAGTTCAATGCTCAGTCAGACGCCTCCTCCTGACTGATCTCAAGTATCCACGATTGGACTATATGAGAATAGAAACCATCGCCCATCCCTATCAACATTAAAAATGAACTGAAATAGCAAAGCAGGAGGATTTCTGTGTTGACAATTATGCGTCGGTCAGTGTTTACTTCACCTTGACCGGTTTACTTTGCTCTCCTTCAAAGATGGAATAGTCCTCCTTCAGTCTGTGACAAACATCCGATAGACAGACTGACTGACGGCGGGACATGGGATCCCACACCAGCTCCACATAGGCTAAGCAAAGACAGAGCGAGAAAAAGAAGAAGTGACGTTTCTGTCGTTTGACACGTCTCTGATGCCAAACAAACTGATCCGGAGGTCAAGGATAAAGTGTTGAGGGATTGTTCAAATATGATAAATCCTTTCAATCTTTAAGTTGTGGAGAAGCACCCTGAGCTATAAATCAAACAGCCTTTCTCCATTGCTACGTGCGCTTTTGCTTGCATTTCAACATATGACACTTATTGCAATAAGGCTAATTGTATGAGTGGTGGATAAGTACAAGTGTGTGAAAGAAATAGGGAAAAGTCACATAACATACGTGAGTGAGTTACCTGTTATTTTGGGTAGGACCGTCTTTTCTATGACATTAGACAGCGTCTCTCTGTCTGTGTGCTCCAGCTCCTCGTGGCCATGACCGTGACAAAAGGTCTCAACAGCTGTGAACCACGGGAGGTTTTCAAAGTCCCCAATACCGTCCTGGAACATACAAATAACATTGGACACATAACGCCGTTAGTTGTGTTATGGCATCTGTGTGTATGTATGAGCTAGTCTCTGTGTATGTGTCCTCCGTGTACCTTTAGTGGGTTCCAGGCCAGTAAGTTATGTCTGATGATGGGGTTCAACAACTTGGGCAGACAGAGAGAGATGTAGGCGCTGTGGTAAGAGTCAGAGTAAGACCCTCTCCATTCTTCAAATCGGGACAGAATCCTCTTAACATCGCAGAAATCGTTCTGGACGTCAGAAAACACAGCCTCGGATCTCGACAGGATATCAGCTGGAGAGGGAAGGAAGGCGGTCAGACAAAAGCAAACAAGCCACCACTTTAATTCAGCATGGACCTCGGCTTTCTTTTACTTAGGATTCTTTGCAATTTTTAATATAAAAAGTGAACAAAAGAGAAAAGAGAAATTAGCAGTATGTAGAGTACAGAACTATATTGCAGCTTGGCAGAATTTTACTGTATCGCTCGCACTTTATAGTGCAGCTGTTTAAATAAAACCCGGGTCTATAGGTTGAAGCTCTCACCTATTGTCTTCTGCAGCTGCTCCTCCTCCTCAGCTGAGGGCTGTCTGTCTTCAGGTATATCAGCATCTTGTTCGGCTTCAACACTAGAGGCTACCTCGCTGCAACATGTCAGACAAATATCATACAAATTAAAACTATAAAAAGATATTGTTGTTAAACTTTATTTAAAGACGAGACGATGGTGAGATTCAGGCCTGACAAACTGTGCTACTATCATGCATACAGTTAGCGGTTTGCAGGTTGGCTCTCATAAAGGCTGCGACTGACCCAAACATCACAAATGAGCAGTCAGGACGACTCAGAGGAGCAAAGCTCTTAATCATTCAACCTGTGTTTCATCAGATCATGATAATATAAAATCTAATGTGACATAAGTTTGACTAGATGAAATGCTCGATATAATCTGGTGACTAAAGGGACATTTAACCAAGACTACACAAAAAAATAAAAAATAAAAATAGCTGAACAAATTAAGAGATGAAACATTTTGACTAAAAGTTGATTAGAATGTAAAGACTTTTGGTCAACTGAAACTAGACCAGAGGTATGAAGGCTAAAAATGACTAAAATGTGACTGAAACTAAAAAGCATTTTTGTGTGAAGAATAAAACTCAGACTGAATCTAAAATAGCTGCCAAAAAAAACACTGATACAAATATCTGTGAAAGGGCAGTGATGCACATGAGCATTTCTTATCTTGAAAGATATTATTTTTATTACACTCACCCTTGAGTTTCTGATATAGTGGTGGAGATGTTGCTCTGCTCATCTGTGCTATCTAAAAAAAAAAAAAATTGGATAAAAAAACCCAGTTAATTTGAATCTTCCTTCCGGAGACTATTGTGAGACTTATTATACAGAGACAGTTACAGACACATTGTACAGATACATAAATGCACATATAGTTACTCACAGCTGAGGTCAGCCTGCTCCTTGATCCTCTGTTGTCTCTGTGCTAACAGCTCATCCATCTGCTCAGACAACAGAGAGTGCAACTCCAGTTCCAGTGAGTTGATCTCAATAACCTGTCGACAATCAACATATTATCCCCAGTCAGCATATTATCGTCATCCGTCTTCAGAAGGGAGGTATTTCTGCAGCTTCCAGTTGATCCAGCTGTTCAATATAATTCAATGATAGTTGACAGCGGACAATAACTGAACAGATGTACTCGTCTCTGACCTTCTCCCGTAGACACTCCACCAGGTTGTGGACATAGAGGGTCATGTCCCTGTAGAACCTCAGCTGTCTCTCTGAGGAACTTTCCTCCAGAGACTCGGCGGAGGTTTTAGCACTCTCGACATCGCTCTCCATCCTCCTCAGCTCTGCCTGCCGTGCTCTGTGCACCTCCTTCAGAGAGTCTAGTCTAGAAAGAAAGAAAGAACAAAAAAAATAAATCAGAAAGGTGTCGTGTGACGTAAGGAGTTCACGAGTATTTGTTTGATTACAACACATATATTGTTTGGCAATGTGGAAGAATCACTTTAACATGTATTGGAAAATATTGTTACCCTTTTTATTGTTAAATATTACAATATTAAGGCATATCAGACCAACATTTCTTGAATGTTATCTCTATAATGTCTAATTTATGATGTGGTGCGACTAAAGCTGGTGGACACTTACTTTCCAGTGATCCTCTTCTTGACCATTGAGATACTGATGTGAGCAAGAGTTGGGATTTTGACGCCTGACGATCTCTTCTTTTGTCGTCCTCTGACTCGCCGGCTGCTGCTGTTGCTGTAGCTGTAGCTGCTGGACTCACTGCCAGATGGGCTCTGAGGGGAAGAAAACAGGATAAAGAATGTCAAAGTTGCAGTACTGAGGGTAACAGCTGGTACACTAGCAGATGGCTTGAGTCTTCAGAAAGAGACTATTCTGCCATTAGAGAGCAGCCAATTTTACACTAAATGAGACAAGAGTTCAATACAGAACGAGCAAGATGCAGACAAATGACACTAGAAAGAGAGAACGGAAGAAAATGATCAAGAAAATTGGGAAGAAGAGTAAGAGGGCTGCCTCAATGTCTTCCTACCTGTCCTCCTGGCCGTCTTTTCACTCCCTTCTCAATTTGTGTCTCCTCCCAAAGTTCCTGCTCTTCTCCATCAGTTCCTGAGCGACTGCCATCACTTTCTCCTCGATTACACACAAACATACTAAATAGTACACTTCACATCCCCACAATTTGGTGCAAAAGCAAGCAAAGCTTTTCAGGCAGCCAGCCTATCATAATGTCATTTTAGTGTAGTTACGGTGCTACTATAGTTTTTACAGTTGTACTAATTCAAACGCTCGTAGATTAAAAAAAAGTCGTCACAAAATCAAATTCCATGTTAAGATAGTTATCACCAATGTATTCATTTCTCCCGGGATTTCATACCGAGTTTCTCTGCAATCCTCTCTCTAATGCTCTTCAGTCTTGGGGCGAACTCGATTCTTCTCTCATGATCATCTGGCTCCTCATAATCATCAGCAGCAACTCTTTCCTCCTCATCTTCCCGGCTGTAGTGCTCTGGGGTGCTACCAGCGGAACTGTGGCCATCTCTACCCAGGGAAATGAATTCTTTCTGGGCTCGAGTGGCGTGACGCTGCCGCCTGGCTGCCTTGATCTCTTCAGCATTCGGGATAACGACTGTAAAGACGCATCGAGAGACAATTAAGTCCAGGAATACACAAGGATGTATGGCATGACAAACACAGATCCAACTGTTGACACACTCATACACACACACACACTAATACCAAACATACCAGATGCAGGTATACAGCAAGCGGGATACCACATACCAATTATCATAAGCAATAAAAGCAGCAAGTCAGTCGTAAAACAAATACCATCTGATGAGGGCGCATGCGCACGCAGCGACCGGCAGTGAGAGTTTGGCATCCTCGTGGTTTTGTTGTTTTGTTTTGAATGTCTTTACGTGTCCTTTCTTAAATGAATCGTTTGAGTGGTCCTAGTGCTGCTAATCTAATCTACAATGGATCTTCTATATCCTGCCGCTTTGTGGATCTTGTTACATCTACTGCTTGCCTGCGACGTCAACGCGGCTGTCTCCGGTGAAAGGACACAGTACACCAGAGATGTGGTGCTGCAACTGAACTTTGCAAGTTTAGCTCGCGTGACAGATGTCACGTTACAGTTACCGGACTTTATTCTGAGCGATTCTCATGAAACCTGTAGTGCAACGAGGGATAAGAAGAGGAAGCGGGTTAAACGAGGAGGCGTCAAACTACGCTTGAGGGAACCGCGGCTCACCCGGATTCCTCTGCCCTCGGTGATCATGGGGAACGTCCAGTCCCTGAGGAACGAAGTGGACGAACTCCAAGGAAATGTTCGTTTTCAGAAGGACTTCAGAGACTGCTGCGTCATGGCCTTCACTGAGACATGGCTCACTGAGCGCGACCAGGACACCGACCTGTCCATCGACTGTTTTGGAGCTCCATTTCGTTTGGATCGAAAGGCTGAAGTGACGAGGAAAACTCTAGGTGGCGGGGTATGTTTATATTTTAACAAACGATACTGCAGGTCTGTGACTGTCAGAGAACGCATCTGTACGCCAGATGTCGAACTTGTATCTGTATCGTTGCGTCCTTTCTACCTGCCCCGCGAGTTTCCACAACTTTTTATAACAACAGTGTACATCTGCCTCCAGCACCATCTTTGATGTAGTGCAAAAACTGCAGTCGACTTCACCTGATGCACCAAACTTCATATTGGGTGATTTTAACCATGTCTCCCTTAAAAAGACACTCATAAACTTTTATCAATACGTCTCCTGTCCAACCAGGCAGGATAAGTCCAGCATACAGAAAAAGAAACTCACTTTTAAACAAGGAGTAGCCTCTGATCTGCATATAGCTACCAAAGAGCTGAAAATAGAAATTTGAAAAGCAAAACAGAAATATAAAACTGAACTAGAGAAGAAGATGGCTGCAAACAACCTTGGCTCCGCCTAGTCTAGCATGAAAACTATAGCAGGCCTCGGGAATCCAAAGAACAGCAGTCATGTCACTTTGGATGGCTTTAATTCAGATACTGAGTTTGCCAATGCCCTCAATATATTCGTTTTGATACCTTGGATTTTAGTAATGAAATTCAGGAACTGAACTACAAACTGGAAGACAATCAGCACTTTGACATAGACCAAAAGGATGTGGAAAAGGCCTTCCTTTCAACAAGAGTGAATAAGAGTCATGGACCTGACAACATCTGTGGTCGTTTACTTAAATCTTGTGCTGAACCGAGTCCTGTATTCCACTACTGTTTTAATAAGTCTTTACAGACACAGCATGTACCTAAGATCTGGAAGGATGCTGTGGTAGTCCCTGTTCCCAAATCCAGTTGCCCCAAAATTCTAAATGATTTTACACCGGTTGCTCTCACATCAATTTTAATGAAAACTTTTGAAAAACTGGTAAGGTCAGAAATTTGAAGGAAAACTTAGCAAGCACTTGATCCCATGCAGTTTGCTTATAGGCCACACAGAGGAGTAGAAGATGCCACAGCCACTTTGTTTAATTTACTCTTTAAACACTTGGAGGGAAATGGATCTTATGTTGGACTTCTATTTGTTGATTTTAACCAGTAGGCTTTTAGAACAATTTGACTTAAGTCACAATCTTGTGGGCTGGATTCTTGACTTTTTAACCAATAGGACACAAAGAGTGAGGGTAAAAGGAATTCTGTCTGACCAAGTTTGCTCCTCCACTGGCTCCCCACAAGGATGTGTGCTTTCGCCCCTATTATTCATCCTCTACACAAATATGTGTCAGAGCAGGTATGGAAATAGGACCGTCTTAAAGTAAGCAGATGACTCTGTTATTGTTAGTCGGCTCCAGGACAATGAGACCAGCCACGGCCCGGTCATCGACGACTTTGTGAAGTGGCGTGAGGAGTCCTATCTTCAATTAAACATATCTAAAAACAAAGATATGATAATTGATTTTAGAAGACATGCCCACACACATGAAGTAATATCCATTAAGGGTCAGACAATGGAATGTGTACAATCTTACAAATATCTTGGGACAATTATCGACTCAAAACTGAACTTTGAAGTCGTCAAACTGTGTAGCCGTGTTCAAAAAGGGGCACCAGCGTTTGTTTTGTTTGAGGAAACTGTCCTATTTCCACATTGACAAAACCATGATGACCTTATTTTATTGTGCTTTTATTGAATCGATTTTATCCTTTTCTTTGGTGTCATGGTTTGGAAACCTATCTTTAAAGAACAGAAACTCTCTGCATCACATTGTGAAATGGTCTAGCAGGCTGATTGGTGAGTCACAGCTTAACCCAGAGTCCCTGTACACCAGACTGTTACAACGGATAACCGGCTCCATTTTAAAGGACGACTCCCACCCTTTGCACAGGGAGTTTCAGCTTCTTCCTTCTAGACAGAGGTATATAGTCCCACGGTGTAGAACAAAGCAGTATAAACACAGCTTTGTTCCAGCAGCCATCACTCAGGTGAACAAATTATAGCAACAGTACCAGATGCTATAGAAGCAACGTTTGTGTACTTATTTATTTTATTTATTTAGTGATTAACTGATTTGTAACTTTGTGTACTTTTATCATGTTTGTCTTGTTGTCTGTGCTGATTGTAATGTGCGTCGAGATGGATGCCTCGCCTTCTACTGCAAACCAAGTCTACCTACGGGTACAAATAAAAGTAACCTGAACATCAGAGACACATTGCATTATACATTATTGCATTATACTCTCAGAACAAGGTCTGATAACGCCGTATCAACCCAATGATAAAGCCAGGTTGTATGTTTGTCTACACTTGGAGGTGGGCCGAGGATGACGATGTCAGAGTGGAGGGAGTATTGTAAAATGGATGTACAGTAATAAATGTTACAAGAGATCAATAAACAGGCAGCAAGTAGCAACATTTCTTAGTGTGTTTAATCTACTAATGCAGATCCCCTCTGAACAAAGATCTAAGCGGACTTCTTCACCTCTTTGAGTCTGTCAAAACAACACTTCTGTGGAGAACACCCACAAAAACACATACTTGGTTTAGTTGGTATAGAAGGAGAGCAGCTGGAATCTGAGGATGAGGCAGCTGAGAGAGAACTGAGGTCACTGAGATCACTTTCATCATCGTCGTCGTCGTCGTCGTCATCATTACGGTGTACATCATGATCTTGCCTGGAAGAAGTTGAAGTTGCGGCACCTCCACCTGCTGGGGCTGGGAGAGAGGAGAGGCAAGCGTGAAAAAATGTAAAGTATGATTATGTTTGCCAACATTATCACATTATTATCTAGATAAATACTGAATTAAGGTGAAATTCTTCAATGACTAAGATGTCGTGTGTTGGCTGACACTCATAAAACATTTTCAACAGGTAAGAGTTTTGAATCGGCACCTTTTCTTAATCAATACATCTGTATTCTAGACAAAATCTTCCTCGTCTAAGCTATAATGCTCCCCCCCCCACTCCCTTTTTACACAAATTCTAAAAAAGTTATTTGTCAAATTAAACCAAATCCTGTATTTCATCAGGGTATATAACCGGTTAATCTGATTGGTATTATATGTAGTCTGCTATCATTTAAATAAATGACGTAGACAAAATATTAGAGACATCAGACTGCATTATTGTTAGCTAGGAGTACTTAAAAAGCTGGTGCCTGACATGTATTTAGTGTTGATGTACTGTATCTATAGATCTGTGTGTGTAATGCAGCATCTATCACAGTGTGTCTAGTGTGAACCAGTCAGGCTCTTACCTGTGCTGGTGTTGGCAGCTGAAGCATCCTTCCTCCTCACTTTGAACAGCACAGCTTTATCAGAGGACTTCTTCACTCTGAATGTTGGTTCCTCAGCTGAGACAGTAAAAACAAAAATCAGAGATCTATGAGCACGAAACTGCTGCTGACAGAGAGTGATGAAGAGAACAATCCTATGCCAACACATAATCGTATTGTTGGCATTAAATGTATTGTCTTAATACTATCTATATGCTTTTTGGTGTTATCAATATGACACAAAACAATACATCATAATGCAAATGTATTATCTATTTTGATTCTTACGTTGCTATGACGTTAACGTTTGTTACTGGGGTCCATCTTTGAAAACATTGCTATCAAAACGCCATATTTACACTTATTTACCTTCTTTGTCGTCAGAGAAACTGAGGATGGAGTTTGTTTTCTTCTTAAACCCATCTTTGTCTTTGTTCCTCTCTTCTCTTTCTTCTGTCACTTCCGACGTCTCCCCGTCTTCTCCGTCACTGCTGTCCGACTTGGGAGGCGTAGTTTCCCGCTTGGAGCTGCAGCTAATGCCGCGGCCCTGGGCCGGTTTGGACGGCTTATTTACGGCAGCAGCAGCTTTCTCATGCTCCTCTTCATCTCCTCTGTTCGCCTGCTCGTCCTCCTCGTCGCTGGACTTCTCTTTTCTCTGTCGAAAGTTCCTCCTTGGTTTTTTGTTGAACATGTTCGTGCTACTGCTACATGGAGGCAGGCTAACTAGTTTGCTGCTGGCGCTGAACCGCGTTACGTTACGTCAAAAACCGTTCGACAAAGTCGCAAAACCTAACGTAAAGCAGCCGCAATGCACTATAGGCGGTGTACTCTGCATATATTGCCTACTCAAACTGTAAAGAACATTTAGCCAACTTTCAATTAATTTGACATCATTCCGACTTTAAATGACATTACCAGTTAACACATTTTCATAAATTAACATTAGTAAACTGCAACATAGGCTTACTATTTACCAGCTACGCCATCCTCATCGGGACCGCCTCCTCTTAAGTAGGAATAATAATCAGCAGACATTAATAATGTATGGATGTTGGCTATACATGGAGATTATCTAGGGTAAACGTCAGCCAAAATCAGGTGATTTGAGGAATAAGAGTATCTGTCCTTATAGCGACATATGACACTTTGTAGGTGAAGTTAAATGGAGCCGACAGGACATCAAATGAGAGAATAAATGACTAGTTCTTCCGTATCTCTCTCCCATCGGCTCTCCCATCATTTGTTCTCCCTCCCATCTGTTCTTGTGTTCCTCCCTGTTTCTCTCTCTCTCTCCTCCCACTCGGTGGACGGTCAGCCGTTAACAGACACCGATCACTAGTCGTCAGCCATGTTGTTGGTGTGACACACCGAGCTGTCAGCAACAGGTTTTTCTACTCTTGAGCAACAAGGACTACTAAACTTTTAACATTTCTTCCATAACACTGCTCTCCTTGGACAACAACGCTTCACAGTGTCCGGGGACACCGTCCAGAAGTAGTGGATGATAACTTCAGAAGCTCGGAAGTTGATGTTTTGTGGCCGTTGTGAGAGAGGTACGCAAGCGAGACTGCTTGTCTAAGCAAGAGTGTAAATTTGATATTGTTATTTTAATGTTTCCCGAGATTGATTTTAGTTTCCGCATACGCTTTTTGGACTATGTGCAGTTCCGTCTGTTAATTTTTTGTTAAGTTTGTCTTCTTTGATTCAGTGAAAATCTACCATTGAAGGTGATGCTACTCAGATGTGAGGTTAGCTATAGCTAAGTTATGATTTCATCAGATGTTTGGTGTGATCGATAACTATACACGGGCAGTTTATTGGTGCCTCTGTAAAGTTTAAGTCTCGGTCTCCTAAATCCCTCTCGGTTCAAACGAGTTGAGCAGGTTGCATTGCAGGCAGGCAGGTCTGTTGGTGACAAGTGATCCGGGAATGTTCCTCTATCAGTGTTTCGTTCATACAGATTGAGGTTCAAGTCACTTTGAGGTTGTTAATAAAGCAATCTGTGGTTCCCATTGGAGAAGCAGTGCTCGGTTATCGTATTTTGAAAATGTGACTGATTTTGGGTTGTCCCATAGTGGGTCTCTTGTTGTCTTAAGTGGCATAATCAGAGCCACCAGTGAATAAGCATAACTTCTAACATCATTAAAATACAAGCAACACAAAACATTGTAGGAATGCACAATACGAATCTCTTTTGTCAGTATTTTAAAAAAAATACAATGATGTACTGGGTTTTATTTTGTTGTAATACCACCAGTGGAGTTTACTACTATATTGGTGAGGCTTACTGCTGACACCCAACAATGCTAATGTGTCACCCAATTTAGACTCATTAAGTCTGCCTGACAGCAATACTCAGGGAAATGAGCACAAATGACCTAATGTTAGAAGAAGTAAAACAAATGCAACATTTTTCTGTACAAAATCTTAATTTTATTTCATTCTGCATTTTCGTACGCAGCACGCTGATGCTTAAAAAGCTGTGCTGTCAAATGCAGCCGCACACAATTAATGCACCATCGACATTAGCAGGTGTGATGTTGACGTCCATTCAATACAAGTGTTATGGTGAGATATGCTGACTGAAATGATGTAGCCTTTCAATATTTATGCGACCGTGGAGCAATTTTATTACAGTGTTTCCTTGGAAATTAGTATTGGTTTAGAGACACAGAGAGAATGGATGTTCCAGTACAGTGGCAGGATAATGATTCAGTTGGATGGGCCTGATGGGAGATGATGCCACCAGTATTCAAGCCAGCAAAACATTGCAGTGGCCCCAATGGTGTTGGTATTATTATGTTTGCGTTCGGTTGAGTGTGGTTGTGTGTTATTGCTTTGACACACACACAGTGATGTGTTTACAGTATAGCTAAGAACAGACATTGAAGCCTTGTTCAGCTGCTTTTATGCAGCTGAACAAGGCTTTCTTTATTCTTCTCCACTTTACTGTAATTATGTTATTCTTGAATGACAGAGTAATTAAAACTGACCAACCTGGTTTTGATCTCCATGTTCACAAACTTCCCATTGGCAGAATTATCCTCAAGGTAATTAATGGCTGCCAGCTGAGCTTCACCTCAGGCCTTTCTGTGGAGGGAAAGGTCAGGGTTGCTGTTAACATTATTATAACAGTGGTAATATTATCAGTATGGTTATAAGCTGAATTGCTGAATTGTTTTCTTCTTCACTGTCATGAGATCATCACCACTGTTTGCAGCATTACAATAACACCTCTGGGCGGACCCAGTATTGGTTTGGTAGGGTATTTATTCAGCAGATGTAAGGTTTAACCAGCCGTTTAACTCCTCCTCCTTAATATCTTCATTAAAGATTCAGTCAAGATGATAAAGAGGAAACGCACGCATGACAGTATCCTGTCGTAACCCTTGTTCCCGTATAAAACATCAATCTATCAGAGTACTCTTACCAGTCCTGTCATATCCTTCTGATATATGAACATATCAGGGTGGGTCAAAGCAGACTGAAGGAGGGAGAGGCATGCCTTACCTCTTAAGAAAACAGAACACAGCAGCGTTGCAAACAATGTTAATCAAACCAAATCTGAAACACTCTAAATGGCCTTTGCAGCACTTTCTCGGTGTATGAACGCAACTGGTGGACTGGGGTGTTTACGGCAGAGTAGACGGGTACCTTGTGTGGGAAGCAGACAGAAAAAAATAATGACACAAAAGAGGAGTAGGGAGTGAGTGATAATGGATAGCCAAAGGACTAGCATGGGTAACTCTACTGTACATAGAAACAAACACACAGAGAGGGAAAGAGTCATCGGGATGGAGATGATATCATTGGTGTGAGGTCAGCGAGGCGGCTGAAAGTCGATGATTTCATAGAATAACAGTCTGCTTGTTTCTGAACAGAGTAGTGATGAGGACAGGTCAGGGTCACACAACTGGAAGAGTATAGAGTTAAGGGCAGACGGACAGATAAAGATATACGATGACACACGAGGAGAGAGAGAGGGGGAAAAAAAGGACTGTCCAAAAGATAAACAGGGAATGAGGAAGTGGAGGGATTAAGAGAGGAGAAAAGGTTTATTGTAAAACATCCTTTCCTTAGTCATTGAATTCTGAATTTACTTCTGTCAATGTAAAAGCGTCTACTTGGCAGCAAGGTGCCATATAGAAAGTGCACATTAGACAGAGGATAAGGGACAAACAGACAGACATGCAGGGTTCAAAGCTGCTCCTGAAGCAGCTAATGTCAGGGCCAGCCGGGCTATTTATCCAACAGTTTTCAGTGTTGTATAAACTAACGGAGAGACAGAAACGACCCAGTCTTTCAGCAGGAACCAAAGCAGAACTGAAGGAGGTGAGGTCTGAGCAACATAACCAAGCCATAAATGAAGAGAAACACCACACTTTGAGGCAGTGTGGTGTTTCTCTTCATTTATGGCTTCTTCTTTTTTACCACAGCACTCGGGTCAGGCGTTAATTCAGCATTAAGTGGTTCACATTGACTTTGAAAAATAGTTTAGACCAACAAAAATGTGCAAGCTGAAAGACGTTTGCAAATTTCCTTTGTTGTTAATGAACGGCCATGCACTCGGGCTAATTAAAAGGGACCGCACAGCATTGCTTTGGACCAACAAGCCCTTTTCACAAAAGACATTTTGATTTGATATAGCAGGAAAACCACAAGTGTGATTAATAATACTGCACATCCTTTAGCTGTACTAGGTTCAGAGCCATGCTACTGTGTATTGTGGCTCACAAACGAGGCTTACTGATGCACTTAAAGGGAACAGAATCATCGTTAGCGGTATTGATGACACCTGTGCTGGTCTGATAGTCTTCTCACCTGTTCTGTGCACAGTTGGACCACCTTTACACCTGGTTTTAACATGTGATTTGTGTAGGATACATTACCTGGGTAACAACATCTGATCTGGGTTTTATAAACACATTGTCTTAATTCTGCCCGTATTGTGATTTTATTCTAAATATGCAAATTAGGCAGAGCTGGTGGACAACAAACATGATGTATCTCAGGTCAAGGCAACAAAGCCACAGTTATTATGGGACTACTGTGCATCTGTGGGCACCAGGATGGATTTACACAATTTCAACATTGGCCCAGACCTTTAAAAGTAAGAAAACGCAGTGCAAGAATTATCAAACTGTACTGTACAGATCTAACATAAGGACCCCTCCAAGTTTGTATTTAGTAAAACAGAAATCCCCAAAATGGACTGCAAAAAAACATGTATTTATTTGATATTGTGCATCCCCATACTGTAAATTCAATGCAGCGTCACACAATGGTATTGCTAGAGCTGGATGGAAATCAAAAGCTTGCTTGCAGTTGCCATTCTCTATTCATTACAAGGATGTAGTGTCCTCTCTATACAGTATGTTTTGAAATGGTTTTCTCAGCTTAAGAATGCCCAGCCAATTTGATGATGTCAAACCCTTGTGTGAAAAATGAAAACTGTGTAGTCTGTAAATGTATAACTTAAGTCTCCCTTTCTCTGGTGCCGACTGTAATGCTATCAAAACAGTGCATCAGGCTTTCATTCCTGTCGCCTGCAGTCTGCTTTACAGCCTTGTTTTTAAGAGGTCCTGCAGCACAGGTGAAGTGAACCCTCAAAGGATTTGCATGAGGTTTGCAAAGCTGAATCTATCATTGGAGTCAGTCACTTCTGCCAACCAAGTCAGTAGTTCAGTTGGTCAGTCAGGTGAAATCAGACTTCTCTATGTCTCTCTGGAAACAGTAAACCTTAAAGCCGACAGTCCACTGCTATCTTTCATTTATTCATCATTCCTACAGTGTGACTTTATCAGAGATCACACTCCATGACTAGAGCCGGACCAATACTGAATGACTGATGATGTTGACTGATGTCAGCTTATCACTCATGTCTTGTTTTGACATATAGGTAAATTGGTCAATATGCACAAAAAGTTCTTGAAACTGTATTAAGACTTGATACAGTTTGTCTGGCAAACTCCACTGTTTACTACACAACACCTGAGATGTCAATCTGAATCTGTTGAGATTAACATGTTTGTTATTTAAGTATCTAAAAAGTGTAAAGTGTGTGTTTTAGTACATTCAAACAAATCAGTCGGGCTCTATATTCCACATGGTGGTGACAGTGTCGTGCAGAAAATAGTTTTAGGCCAGAATTATGTATTAACTGAGTTCATGGCTGTGGTATTTTTCCAGCTAAATAATACATATACTTAACTAAATGGTAACCTGACTTCTTTTTTGCAGTCTTGCTATATCTGTGTTGGGCCTGCTGCAAACCTGACTTCCAAATGAATACATTCTTAATCTATATGTACACAGTCATAGACTGCAAACAAAGGATGAGGGCAGAATGAAGTGGGGATAAAGTACAGGAGGACTTGACCCAGGTGGAGTGAAGTGGGAGAGCGACAGATGGCATGCAGTGGATTAGCCCTCCCTTGCAGTTTTCTGCCCTTGTGAGAGCATCGATAACACCCCGTTCACAAAAACGACTCACTTTTCCTCTCCCCCTCTCATTCTGTCTCTCTTTATCTCATTCATGTTCTCGCTCATGTGCGCATATCAGCAGACAAAATCGGTGATCAGCCATCTAGCTTCCTAAAAATCACTCGTCGGTTCTTGTACTCCCTCAGTTCCAACCCTAGCTCTCACTCTAGCTCATATTTTCTGGGTCGTCAAAGCTGACCCTCTGCCAAAATCCACGATTACGTCCTGTTAACTCACGTCTGACGAGGAAATGCCTGTGTCTGTGGGTTACCGGGCAGGAAGTGTTGAGAAGAAAGATTGGAATTTCTTTCCTCCTTTTGGTCCCCCCTCTACATCATGTGAGGGTGACTGGCTGATGGAGCGGAGATAGCCGTGGAGGAAGCGGGTTTTCAGCACGCCAGTAATGAAGTGAATGTGAAAACTAAAGAACCTACATGATCGTCTGATTCGCAGAGTCCCCAACTTTGATGCATGGGAATACTGTCAGCTGGTTTTGTTGTTGTTGGATTGCATTTATTCAGTTGTGTAGTAGTTTAGTCCTCACAGTACAGGTGGCCTTTGGTTATCTGTCCTGTATTGAAGCAAAGATTCACACTTTCCATTGCATGGCAAAAGCTTTTTTAGATCTAAACAAGGTAGTTTTGTGTTGGCTGTATTTCAACAGGTGGCACAGTGCTGCAGTCACAGATGGGACCTGAATGTGCTGGTTTTATTCGTCAACATATACGCCCTAACATAAAATACAAAACTTCAAAGTAATAAATCTTAAAATTTCTCTTGCTGACTAGTTAGCTGGCTCTTTCATCTGACAACAGTGTTGAGAAGTCTATCACTATTGTAAACGTTATCAAAGAAACCTGGACCTGCACTTAATGTAGTATTTAATCACTTAAAGCGTACAAACCGTAACCTTGCAGAACATTTGGGCCCTCCCACCACACAGAATAGGTTCATGCGACAGCAGCTGGATTCCCACACTTGCTTTGCATGTGCTTGACTCAACAAGCATGACGTAGCATATTTTGAGAAAGGGAGTGGTCAATGGTGACGGGAAGGCGGGTTTAAAATCATTTAAATCTTTGCTGCAAAATGCGACCAGTAGGATGCAGTAGGACATCCTGGTATTTTTTGGCATACTGCATTTGACATGCACACAAAATCTTTTTCTGGCAAACTAACTAGTACGGTAGTATGGGTATTGGAATACAAAGATGGTAAAAAAAATAAAAATAAACCTGCTTAGCATCATCATGTTACCATTTGCCTTCTGGTGTAAATGCTTTCTATTGAAGGTTTATCAGTGTAGTATTGGTATCTGGCCACTACCATGGGCTGTGTGGATAGTATTGGAACATGTCCCAGTAGTTTAAAAGCTTTGGGACGAGGCCAGAGTGCTCCTGACGGAAGAGAACAGGAGGAGCTCTGTTTAACTCTGCTGACTGACCAGAATCTCTCGCTCTCTCGCTCGCTGCCTTTTTCCCCTCTCCTCTCAGTGACTGTCCTGTCTTAGCTGCAGTATTGACTGATGACTGGGCTGTGACTGTGTGTTTTGCAGATGGCTGCGAGCAGTAGCTGAGGACACCACCGGGATTTCCCCCTCTCTGCCTCTGCCACCTGCAAAGATGAATGGTAAGACCACTGCAGCTTGTGTGTGTGCATTGAATGCTGTGTTATTTTTGGCTCTGCAGATCGTCTAAGCCAACACGTTGATAGTTCTAGTAAAAAAATCCCAGTTTTACTACTATGTGTGGCTGCACATACATATGTCTGAACACACACTGTGTCTATTAGTGTGTCTTATGGTTTGTATGGGTGTGGTTTTCATCTTAAAAGCTCCACTGCCCTTTTCTGGACCAGTTTACATTTCGTACAATCGTTGAGCTCTGTGGTCATCACAAAGTCAATTTTTTTCCATATTTTTCGACACCAGCTTTGTTTATGGTCCCAGTCACAGGAGTAAAGTTACCGAAACTGTGTATGCGTTGTTATTATGAAGTAAGCCGTCCATTCACTGCGTCTGCTGATGGACCGCAGAGTAAACACTCATGTGCAGTCAAGTGTTGTTCTGCCCTCCTGTCTGAACAAAGTGACACAGTAACAGTACGCTTCATTATCATTTGTCAATATCAGTGCATTCCCAGATCCTGACGGCCACTGAGGCCTCAGAGTTTTCTCTCGTGTGTGTGTGTGTGTGTGTGTGTGTGTGTGTGTGTGCACCTTTTTTTTTAAATGTCATAAAATGCTTCCTTACTTTTTTGTAATCCTGCTTGTTTGCTTTGCTCAGATTTCCGTGTGTACTGTGCACTTGTGTGATTTATTCAAACAATGAGAAGGTAAACAGCCATGGGCCTGTTCCAGGAGCAGGTTTGCTGAGTAGAATAAGATTTCTTCTTCACACATTGACATTTCTTCTGTTTCTCTCTAGGTGGCCCAAGTGTTTGGGCGATCTCTCCACAGGAGAGGGTCAAACATGATCAGAAGTTTGACACCCTCTTCCCATCGATGGGCTATGTCTCAGGTACGCACACTAATCAGTCATTTCCCTGCCAGTACATTTCATAATGCAATTTTACCAGGACACGTCCTTTAGCTGTATAAAGCACAGTGTTTCCCAATAATACTCGGGCAAATGTAAATATAAGTAGCTCTGAAATTAACTCAAATATTGTTGGCATGCTCGGGTGATCAAGCAGGCACAACAATGCTGTAGATAGTGATGTTTTGCACGCAGGCACATTTTTCAGCTTTGCATGCCAAGGAATCTCAATTTTCTTGTGTTTCTCTGTTTCTTCCCTTTCTGTCTCTTTCTGTAGGGGAGCAGGCAAGGAAGTTTTTACTCCAATCAGGGCTTCCTGCTTCAGTTTTGGCTGAGATATGGTGAGAAACACAGACTTTCACACACTCACATTTTTGAGCGATGGGTTCTCTGCAAGTTTTCGCTGAAATCTGTACTTGAAGCACAAGATATTAACTTCTCTCTCTCTCTCTCTCTCTCTCTCTCTCTCTCTCTCTCTCTCTGTGTTTTTCCTTTTTCTCTCAGGGCTCTGGCTGACATGAACAAAGATGGGAAGATGGACAGGTTGGAGTTTTCCATCGCTATGAAGCTCATAAAGCTAAAACTCCAGGGTACACAGCTTCCCGCAGCACTGCCAGTCATCATGAAGCAGCCTCCAGTGCCTGCTCCCAGCCTCACTAACCCCACCTCATTATTGACCAACCCAGCCTATGGTACAATATTATTATTATTAACTATCCACAATGTGTAATTTGCTTTAACACAAAAAGATATGTGAAGAGTAAAATATGTAAATGCATACACAAAAAAACTAATTTGGGGGATTTTAACAACTACTGACAAGCTAAGTGTATCTGACTGTTTGCACACATGCATTTTGACTGCTGTGTTATCTGACTGGGTTTCCTATTGTGTGTGTGTGTGTGTGTGTGTGTCCCAGGTATGGCTACTGTGCCTAACATGTCCATGATGACCGGGACAAACCTTGCAATGTTTACCCCTCTCTCAATGGCATCCGCTGGACTCTCACCTTTGACCCCAATGACGGGCCTCACCCCTTTGGTTCCTACAGCAACAGGCCTGAGCCCTCTAATGGCCTCCACCTCTTCCAGGCCCCTGATGCCAACCATGGGAAGCGCCACCTTGCCTAATGGCACCATTGGAATTCTCGACCCATACGCAGCTGGAGCTTTGGCCCCTGGTACAGATGATCTTCATTTCTCACTGTTAGTCTCCTGTCTGGTTAAATACATTCATCTGTTCTTCCTGGTTTTCACGTGCAAGTTGTTTTATTTTCTCTGCTGCCCTACTCTGAGAGTCAATATTGTATATGTTTGCAGCAGAGTGCAGATGATGAAATATTTCTGAGGGGAAAAGCAATGATTCTGGCCTGGTTTTGCAGAGTCTGATCTCGGTGTCTCATCTCCATACAAATAGCCTCCTTGGCAAGCTTGGCTGGATGGCACTATATTACTGACCCATTGTAGAGCTCCCCTCCCATTTCACTCTTTCTGAAACTCTATAAAAAGCATCAAGAGTTTGTGGTTTAAAGGCTACCATTGAATGTCGTCATGATATCTGGGGCTGCTGATTAATCATCAAAATCGTATGAGTGTTAGTCGACTAAGAATTTCTTTAGTCTTTTTCACTCCTTGTTCTATACGTGTATAACTAAAATGGGCATCATCTGAAGATCTGTATATGCATTATCTGAAAGACATCTGTAAATGTCTGATTGATGCCTACCATCAAATAAAGAAATTCAAATAAAAAATAAATAATTTCTTTAGTCGAGGACAGCACTTGTGATGCCACAGATAATTATATGAAAGCATGTAATGGATGTGTGTTTGTGCTTTGTGTTGTCAGGCCTACCTCGCTCTGCATCCCCCTTCTCCTCTCCGCTCGGACTCTCCTCTTCTGGTATGAACAAGGCCTCATCCCTGCTGGACCTAAGATCTATCAGGTAACACACACACACACACACACACAAATTTAAGCAATTTCTCCAGTTTTTCGCTTATCTTTTTGAAGTGCAAAAACACACTGGTCCTGCTGTAGTTTGTTGCATTCAGCTAGTATTTATGTGTCGCCTGTGTTTGTCTTTCAGCTCCGCTTCCTCTTCCCCTTCTGTGATGTCCCCTTTGGTTACTGTTCCCAGCGACTGGGCTGTGCCACATGCCTCCAGACTCAAATACAGACAGCAGTTCAACAGCTTGGATAAACACATGTCAGGATACCTCAGTGGTACGAAGTGTGTGTGTGTGTGTGTGTGTGTGTGTGTGTGTGTGTGTATGAACATTAAGGTGGTCATACAAAACCAAACTATGCCTGGAATGCAGGCGTGGATGTTCATGAACATCAGTCCCTCATGATTTCATAACGATTGCCTGCCTCTTTCCTTCTGTGTGTGTCAAGTCTTAACTAACTCTAAGGAAGTGGAGGGTGTTTCTGCCCCAGATGTGAGTGTGTTTAGACACAGTGGCAGTTTCTCAACACACACGCACACAGCCAAGTATGCACTTCTCGCTCTGTTACTGCAAGCCTTGTTGGACCGGTTCTTTTGGAACACCGATGACACATACACACTCACTCACTTCAGTCACACTTGCAGATCATTTCTGCAAGTGTGACTCTGCACATTATGTGCATTCTAGCACATTAAATACATTACATGAATCAATTTTCTGAGCTCTTGGTCTAATCTCTTTGTAGATTAAAACATTTCTAATTTCCTCATTCAACATCAGACGTATTTTACACTTTCATTAAAACATCAAGAGGACCTGGAATTAGTCTTGGAAACCAGCTGTGTTGATTTACGGGACTGCCCTCTTTGTTCACCTGCCACATTGTAGTTTAATGAGTAAATGGGCACATACTGTACAGGTCCCTACACACACCCTTGACCCTTTCCTTCCTCCACCACACCCACACATCTGGGTTATACAGGTGTTCTGACATTTGTCACTCTTGTTGCCAGGTCAGCAGGTGAGAGGTGCCATGGCGACCACAATGCTGACTCAGACACAGCTGGCTTCCATCTGGTGAGAATATCTGTTTGTTTGTTTGTCTGTACATCTCCTCTTACTGCTACGTGTTGTGTTCAAGAGCCAAAGTCAGGTTTGACTGCTAGACATAAGAAACTTCATTCCACTGTAGCTTGTATGACGACGGGCCTTTTGTTTGTTATGGAATTATTTGTTTCCAGGTCAAGGCTGCTTTTAGTATTGATTACCAGTAAATACAAGGAAATGATATCTTAATACTGTACCTCTGCTGTGATTTTTCTGGGGGGCTTTTAACTCCCGAAATCCTTTTTGTATGCAGTTGTTTCCTGTAACTGTTCCCTTCAACTTGTGCCTCAACCTATAAACTGCACTGTCAATGTAGATCAGAAGCAGCTGAGAAGTTTAGTTGCTAACCTTAACTAGAAATCTGAAAACAAAGAGTTGTAATTATATTGAAGACCTTCTCTAATGGTGCAAAATATTTTCTAGTTGTCAAAAAGTACCTTTCTATCTTGTATGTGATTGTGAGTCTGAAATCATGTCTAAACCTCGCACCTCGGATTTGCAACCCTCCCACAGGACTTTAGCTGATGTGGACAAGGACGGGAAACTAAAAGCTGAGGAGTTTATACTGGCAATGCATCTTGTGGACATGGCAAAAATTGGACAACCACTGCCGCTAACACTGCAAACTGAACTGGTACCACCTTTGCAAAGGTATGTGCCCACATATGGTGCAATTTCACAATAACATTGCAAATGCCCTGTAGAGTACAAGTGTATTTAAGTGCATTAAACATAGACGACATTAATGTATATGTTTATTTAATAATTTGATTATGTTCTCTTCCAGGGGTGCAGTGAATGGATCCAGCTCTTCTCTATATGCTGCTCTGACTGATGACTTGGACATAGAACCTCCACAGAAAGCAAAACCAAACAGTCAGTCCTCACACTACCGACCCGAAACACAGAGTGTAGCCTTGCTGCGTAATGTTCAGTCTCGTTCTCTATAGTCTCCATTGCTAAGAGAATGCAAGGCAGCAACAATACCTAGTAGCCAGATAAGATCACTCAGTATGATTAATGGCTATGGCTGTCAAACTCACTGTTTATTTTTGCACTCATACTGGTGAGTCAGAATTTAATAGTATGAACACACATACTTTGTTGTGACATACACAGAGGCCTCTTGCAGCAGCCTAAACTGGAGCCAGTCAAACGCGGTGACTCCAAGTGTAGGGCAGCACACTTTGGTGTTGGGTTTGTACACACTATCGTCTTACACACAGTCACAAGTTGTACCAGCTAAAGTTAAATCTTATGTAAAGTTTTTTTAAATATTAAGTTCACAGCTAAATGCTATTTTTAAATCCTTAAATATCATAGTAATGTATATTGATATGTTTATTCATGTTTCATGTCCATTATCCTCTTTTCCAAACACACAAGCTCAAAAAAGTCATTAATAATTTGTGAAATTAATCTTTAACACATTTTTGAGATAATGTCTGATGGGCACATTGGCCATTTTAATACGTTAAAATAGAGTTCATTGGGGGTTTATTCAATACATGTACATGTGCTTAAACGTAATAAAGATAAAAGTATGTTCTCTAGGTTCCTTATTCATTAAGATCAAGTCAGTATTTAGATTTTGATTTGACTGCTTACTCCCAATCATCATAGAAATTGCACCAACACTGACTTCATCAAAACTTTGTATTTGTCTTTATTCAGTGTCGTTCGAGGATAAATTCAAAGCCAACCTGGAGCGAGGAAACGCAGAGCTGGAGAAAAGACGTCTGACGCTGCTTGATGCGGAGAGGAGGGAGAGTGAGCGGCGCGCTCAGAAGCAGAGAGAGGAGCAAGAAAAGAGAGAGAGGGAGGCTCGGGAGGTCGAGGAGAGGAGGAGGAGAGAGGAGGAGAGGAGGCTGGAGCGACAGAAAGAGCTGGAGAGGCAGAAAGAAGAAGAGCGACTGAGAGAGATAGAGAGAAAAGAGGTGAGGGACTGTAGAGTCTGTATTTACAAGTGTGACTTTTTGTAGGAATGCTCCCACGTTCATTGTTCACAGCAGAGAGTCGTTTCCATACACTTCAGTGTCCTGTGTGGGTTCATTGCAGGCTGCACAGCGGGAGCTTGAGCGTCAGAGGAAGGAGGAGTGGGAGAGGAGGCGGCGAGGGGAGCTCAAGATAAAGAAGGACCAGGACCAGGATGATATCGTCAGATTGAAAGCTAAGAAACAGAGTCTTGAGATGGAGCTGGAGGCTGTGGTGAGTCATAGAGAGACATAGTAGTTTTGTTTCAGAGCAACTTATCACAAGAATGTAGACACACTGTGGTCATGCACTGTTTGCCTCATTTTGTCCAGCTGTGTCTAATTCATCGTGAACACTTTAAGTAGAGTTTGTTAAGTTTCTGTCATCCTCTCTCTCTCTCTCTTTCTCTTTCTCTCTCTCTACCTCTCTCTACCTCAGGGTAACAAGCACCGTCAGATCTCAGACCGACTGCGTGACTTTCAGAACAAAAAGAAACATCAGAAGACGGAGCTGGATCTGACCAATCAAAGGAAAGGGACTCGCCAGCAGGACATTAACGATCTGCAGAAACAGCTAGAGGTGTGTGTGTCTCCTCTGTTTTTAAGTCTAACCCACACTTTAATGTGTTATCTATGATTTATTTGTCAAATCATTACTTTGTTGAGAGAGAATGGAAAAATGTTTTCCCAAATATTTCCCCCCCGATGATGCATTTCTTGTTGCTTCTGATGCATATATCGTCTTGGTCAGGAGTTCCAGAGGAAGTTGTCCCAGCTGACTCCGGAGCAGAAGAGACTGACTGAGAAACTCAGAAACATGTCTGTGAATAACTTGCCTGGTTAGTATTGATGATGGATGAAATGACAGAGCTCATGAACAACAACATATTACAGCAGCACTGATGGATGTTTGATAAAAAAAACACATTGATGGGCAAATTGGGTATATCGCAGTAAATTCACAATATACTGAAGTGAAAAGCATAGAAGTATTCGTATTGCTCATATTACTGTATACGCAGAATTTGCAAAACCGATCAATGAGAATGTAATTGAAGAGATTTTCGCTTGTTTGACTGTATTTCATCTGTTTCGTAGTGTCGACCAGGTCCACCCTGAAGGTGGTCGTGACAGAGAAAAAAGGGACGTGTCTGAAACTACGAGAGCAGCTGGATGCCCTGGAGAAAGAGACCTCCGCCAAACTGTCTGAGATGGACGAGTACAACAAAGATGTGCAGGTAGGAGTTAAATACATAATAAGGTTAATAGAGTAGCTGAACATGGCATCAGACTCATTGTTTGATAAGTACCTGTACATGTTAGTACAGTATGTGCACAGAAGTGTGTTTCTTAAATTACATGAAATGAACAGGGGTGTTGCTGTTAATATGAAGCTTTAATAAAGAACTGGTTGTTTTCATTACAAACCAAACTAACCACATCTTTATTGTTTGCCTGGTTTCATAGCACTTGTACATGTAACAGATTTGTGCCTTTAACTTGTGATTAAGTGATTTTTCGAGTGTGCAATGCCCGTTTATAAGTTCCAAATATATATACTATATATTACATACTTACCACTGCAGCTTGATGCCTCTTTCCTCTACTTCAATCATTCCTTTCCACCATAACCTCCTTTCCTACCTTCTGGTACTGATTTCATCCCTTTGTTAACTGACTTCTCTTCCCTTCCTCTCTATCTTTTGTTTTCCCCGTGCTGGATGCCTTTCCTCTTTTCTTCCTTCCTCCCTCTTCTCTCTCTCACCCATCTCTAATCCCTCTTACCCAACTTCACAGTATGTGGGTGATGAGGACTCAATGCTTCAGGCTGTCTTCTGTCTGCTGGCCTGCCTTCGTAACCTCTTCTACCTACTAAAGGTTTTGTTGCTTTAGGTGTCTTTGTTGTTCTTGTCTCTTTTCTGCTCTTTTCTATTGGTCATTGCTCTGCTCATATTTCTCCATACTTTTGACATCTTATGCCTGTGCTGTTTTGGCCTTTTTTACGGCAGCTATGTATGTGCATGCTATGTGTTTGTGCATGCTGTGTGCTGTGTGTTCAGTCTTTATCTCGTTGTGGCTGTCTAGTCAGCTTATTCTTTAATAAAGTCTCATGTCTTTCACTCTAGTAAAGGTGTGTTTTTTTGTGTGTGCATAAGGAAATGAGAGAGAGCCAGAGAAAACAGCAGGCAGCACTTGAGAATCTACGGAGCATCAAAGAGGACAAACGGCATGAGCTGAGTCGTAGGAAGGAGGAGGAAGAGCAGAGGAAGAGGAGAGAAGAGGAGAGGAAAAAACAGGAGGAGGAGGAAGCTCAGAGGTATTTTGCTTCCATAAAAAACATGATTTCTCGACCAACTATAAATTGTCCATTCAAAACTAAAACTTAAAAAAATGACTTTTTCACCTTGATGTACAAACTTTTAAAATAATATTTGCTTCCCGCTCACAGGCTTATTAAGATAGAAAAAGAGCGCCAGTGGCAGGAGAAGCTAAGGAAGGATGAAGAGGCGCGTCAGAGGAGGCTTCAGGAGGAGAAAGAGACCAAACAGAGGGAGGAGGCGGAGAGAGAGAAACAGGCTCTCATCCAGGCTGCCAAGGAGCAGGTTGAACGAGAACTCAGAGCAAAGGATGAGGCAGAGCAAAAGAGAAGAGAGATGGAGGAGAGGAAGAAAAGAGAAGAGGAGGAGCGACGGAAACAAGCAGAGAGAAGAAGGCAGGATGAGGAGAGGAGGCGGCAGGATGAGGAGAGGAGGCGGCAGGATGAGGAGAGGAGGCAGCTGGAGGATGAGAGGAGGCAGCTAGAGGAAGAGAGGAGGAAACTTGAGGAAGAGAGGAAGAAAGAGGAGAAGAGACGGAAAGAAGAAGAGGAGCGCCGCAAGAGGGAGGAAGAGAGGAAGAGGTTAGAGGAGGAGCGGAGAGAGGAGGAGCGCAGAAGAGAAAAGGAGGAAGAGGAGAGGAGGAGACAAAGGGCGGCCATCGCCGCCGTTCGAGATGCAGAGGAGAGGAGAAAGCAAGAGGAGGAGATGAAGAAGAGGGAAGAGGAGGACAGGAGAAAGAGGGATGAAGATAGGAGGAAGCTTCAGCAGCAGCAGGACGAGGATAGGAGGAAGCGTGAGGAGGAAAGAAAGAGGGTGGAGGAGGAAAGAAAGAGGGTGGAGGAGGAGAGGAAGAGAGAAGAGGAGAGGAGGAAAGCGGAGGAGGTGAGAAAGAGAAAGGAGGAGGCAGCTCATCAGCAGCAGCAGCAGCAGCCGCCGCTGAGTGGAGTAGGGAAGGTGGATATTCAGGGGAAACTGACGGCTCTGCTGAGAGGACTGGAGGAGAGGAAAGGTAAGACGGACGTTTCTTTACTTTTCTACACTTCTCTGTAGTCTCTTCCTGTCTCCAGTGTTCATCAAAACACTTTTGAAGCTGAACTCGCGTTATTATGTCTGATGTGCTGCTTTAGGTGGGCAACCCAGGGCCACACAACACAGGAAGTCAGCAGCCCTCACATCCTTCAAAGCTCTCTACCCGTTCACTGCCCGAAACAATGAAGAGCTCAACTTCACTGCAGATGATATGATCGAGGTAAGCGTGAAACTGAAAGTTAACTAAAGATACAACTGCAACAGCAAAGAGGGAATGTTGTCTTCCTCAAACTTTCCTGTCTGTCAGGTTGATGAGTCGACAGAGCGGGAGGAAGGTTGGCTGTATGGCAGCCGACTGGGGAAGATGGGTTGGTTCCCAGAAAGCTACGTCGAGAGAGTGGCCCCTTCAGACACAGCTAACAATGCTGCTGCTGCTGCTGCTCCTACTAAAATGGTGCTCCACTCACAGCTTTCCAATGCACTCGAGGCTGTCAAGGCAGCAGGCACAAAATCTGCCTTCACGCCAACACACTCTCCAAACCCTGCTCCCTCTGACACACAAGGACAGGTGAGAGGTTTAAACCTTTATACAACGGGCCATTTTACTGCTGCACCAGCTACTAACCTAGTATGATTATTGTCTGGACATATGCAATGCTCAAATACTCACTGTACTCGTCTTTCTCTCTGTGCCCTGACAGCAGGTGGTGGGTAACCTGTTGGCCCAGGCCCTGTGTTCGTGGACAGCAAAGACAGACAGCCATCTGAACTTCAATAAGGACGATGTCATTCAGGTGTTGGAGCAGCAGGAGAATTGGTGGCTGGGAGAGTTAAACAGTGAAAAGGGCTGGTTCCCCAAAACATACGTGACGCTGCTGGGAGAAGAGGAGAGTTCAGAGTAAGTCTTCGGCCACACATATGTGTTCCCCATAATTAAACTTGTGGGAGGACGGTGGGTTTTTCTTTTAAAGTCCTCTTGGAGCCATTTCTAGAGACCTCACTAGCAACTGGCCACGAAGGCAAGTGATTGGTTTAGCAGGCAAAGTACTGACGTGTATTTCACTTCCATTGATTCCCCTGCTATACTTCAGAGCTCACTTTGCATATTTTTTGTGTATGCCAGTGTAGTGCAGACAACTGGATGTTATCTACAGTTTGTCCCGCTGATTTTGATCACAATGTGTGGCAAACGCACATGATGCACATATCTTTAGATTCAGTGTAACACTGATGTCATAATCTCCGATATCCATTGCGAATAAATTTCTATAAATCGGCTTAGAAACCATTTGAAAAGAAGTTCCTTATAACTGCAGAAGTTGCTTGAGAATCATCACGTTTTTCACAGTTTTCTGTGTATCAAAGTAATCCAGTGATAACAGTCACACACACTTACACATCACTCCACAGCACAGAGTTGTAGGTACAGTTTGATTCCAGCTGGTGTTGTATCAGACTGTTGTGGTGAAGAGGAAGCACATTCCGACCTTCACCTCCGATCAAGAGGTTTGGCTAATAACCAAAAGAATGAGATTGCAGAGATTGCAGATGGAGGAGCCCAGAGTAAAACCACTGCTCCTGTGTATCGAAAGGAGCCGGTTAACATGTGTCGAGCCTTTGAAAAGTATGACTCCCAGGTAATCCAGCTCTTACTGCAGACCCAGACCATGGAGCAGGGTTTCATACCCCCGTCTGGTTTAAGAATGTCTCGCATCCCCCCACGAGGAGCTGGAGGGAGAGATGTTTTGGGTATTTCTGTGATCCAGATAGGCGTTTGAGGATGGATGAATGATTGATGATTGCATACACACATGAATAAGTGTGGTAATGTAGTCTTTCTGTGTTTACAGCATGAAGAGCTCCCCTCCTGATGCTTCGGAGTCTAGCGACAGTCTTCAGCTTGAAGGTGCAGTAGAATATCCTCTGAAATATCTGTTTGATGTAGTTGAGTTAATATTTTATTATCATACATTACAGAAACCGTAATGTTAATGTTTGTCCCTTAAACCACCTACAAATCCTCACAAAATGTTACAAAAATACATAGATATAGATTTTATTTGTGGAGTTCAGCGTATGTTGGCAACAGGCCTTGTATCAGCTGGAGCCTTATTGAGTACATTGCTGTTCGTTTATGTTAATTTGTTCTTTTCCTTCTCAGAATACACGGCGTTGTACACCTATGACTCTCCGGAGCTTACTGATCTGACGTTTAGTGAGGGAGATGTGATCCTGGTGAGCAAGAGGGATGGAGAGTGGTGGCACGGCTCTATAGGCGACAGCACAGGCGTCTTCCCCAGCAACTACGTCAAACCTAAAGAGACAGATGTAAGAACACTCAACACATGCCATTATATAGTGGGAAGAAACTGCATCCAGAGCATTACTCTACAACTCTGTTTGGTAGTTGTAGTGGCGTTGGATTGCATTATATTGCAAGGCGCTCCAGATTTTCTTCACTTCCTGTATGTTTTTGTGTTGCGTTGTGCTTTTTTGTTCCACTTTCTTTTTTATTTTCAAGCAACAAAACGGAACAAATCATGAGATTAACATACACATGTGGTCAAATTAAACAAGAAAGATTTACTTGGAATGTTGTCTCATCATAAACACGCTTATCCTTGATAAAGACAAGTGCTTCTAAAGGTTTGTGATGATTATACATTGTTTTTTTTTTTTTTCAGACATCAAGTATATCTGCAAAGAAGAAGCCAGGTAGGGTCACCATCTTGCTCTCTCTCTTTCTCTTTCTCTTTTTCTCTCTCTCTCAGAATCACATAAAAACATTTTGCTGTATTGCATTTGTGTCTTGTGTGCGCAGAGATCGCCCAAGTGATTAGACCCCGTCCCTCTACCAGCCCTGAACAGCTGAATCTGGAAATTCCCCAGCTCATCCTCATCCTCGGCAAGAACCCCTCTGGCTGGTGGCTCGGAGAACTGCAGGTCAGTTTTCCACAGTGGGTTCTCTGTGAGTCCTTAATACTGGACAGTAGATGACCACAAAGGGTCTCTGCAGTTCTTGACATTGTATATATGAGCCAACCTGTTTGGCTCGTGACCCACTAAAACAAAGCAATGTCTACTTGTGACCACTCACCTTGTGCATAGGTATATTGATTGTGACCAGTTTAGTTTTTATTAGGGTTGGGGTTAACAATTTTAGGTGGCGTGTCAAGGTCAAATAATCCAGTTATTCACACGGTTAAAAAAAGAACAATTGAAAGTGAGATTTACTTTATGAAATCTCATGGGAGACCCGGCCTGCAGGTTGGGAACTGCACTGCACCTGAGGTTTCTGGTGGAGAACTCTATGTTCAAAGATTTGGGGATAAAAGTTGACCAGCATCCCGGCTGTCTCATTAAAACCTCATTCCCCACGTTTGTTGTCTGACTCTAGGCCCGTGGTAAAAAGCGCCAGAAGGGCTGGTTTCCCTCCTCTCATGTCAAAGTACTGGGATCTAACAGCGGCAAGTCCACGCCAGCACCCCAACCAGGTAACACACACACACGCAAGCACGCACGCATGCACACACACACACACTCTTTTACCAGGTGAAGAGTAACAAAGTACACTGCATAAATATAATAATGGTGTGTTGAACTCTTCCTTTTCTTCTCTCTCAGTCTGTCAGGTGATAGCAATATACGACTACACAGCCGCCAACGGGGACGAGTTGAGCTTCTCCAAAGGTCAGCTGATCAACGTTTTTGACAAGAACGACCATGACTGGTGGAAAGGAGAGATCAACGGGGTCACTGGTCTCGTCCCCACTAATTACGTAAAGATGACCACATCAGATTGTGACCCCAGCCAGCAGTGTAAGTAAATCCCCTAAAGATAGTATCATGACTCTACATGAAAGGAAACATGCATGTTTAAAACAAAGAGATGCTATTCTTTCATGTTGCTTCAAACCACTATGACTAACTAATGCTTATCCTTTGGTCATCTATGCGACCCCCATCTACCATCACTGATATTTCTTCATCCACCCATCTCTTCATTTGTATATCCTTTCTTCTCGCTGACTATTTCTCCTTCTACCCTGTTTTTCCCACTTTCTCCCTCCCTCTCCATTCCTCGACTTCTGTGTCTTTCTCCTTCCAGGGTGATAGAAAGTCCTCTTCCTCCTCCTCTTCCTTCTTCCTACTCCTGACTTCAGAGAGACCCACTATTACACACTGCTCTGAAGGGGCACAGTGTCTGGACTCCTTATCTGCTAACTTCTCCCACTGAGCTAATGTTACTGTGTGAGAGTGAACAGGTGTCTGTGTGATAGTCATGTGTTCCCTCTGAAATGAATCAGGACCTGAAACATAACTCTGCTATGACTCAATGTTGATTCTGTGAATTGTTAAAGCCTTGGTGCCTTCTGTGATTTACTCGCTCCTTGTTTTGCTTGTAAACTGATTTTGAAGTGATGCTGAAATGGATCTGAAGCAGAGGGATGGTGGGTCTCTCTGTGGCTTGTCCCGCTTCCTTTCATTTGCTTCTCTTCACAAGACACTTATTTTTTCCCTTTATGCGTTCCGCGTCACCCTCTTTTCCCCTCCTCTTTTACTTTTTCCCTCTTACTTCCACAATGTTTTCCATTCTTACTCTACAGTTTTAAGAGTTAAGCTCACACAGAGCCCACTATTTGTCTATTGTTATACCAGCAATGGAGAGTGCAATAAGCCCCAAGCCTGTGTGTGAGAAATAATGTAAGGGCCAAATTCCAGCCCAGCACCCCTGCACTTAACTTCAAAATGCTTGAAACAAGGCATGAAGTGGCAATTTGACTTTGTAAATTCATCAGAGAATTATGTTCACGAAGGAATAAAGTAACATATTTGTTTAACAAAAACCTGAGTCCAGAGCACGCCAAAAATTAAAGATGTATCTCTTCTATGACCAAATAGTTGTTTGGAGATGAAGCATTACTTTTTGCTTTCAACTGTAAACATTTTGGCAGGAAATGGTAAAAGCAGAAGCAGGAGACTCTTCGCCTGATGGCAAACTGCTTCAAAACCACAAAAACATTTCCTTCAAGGGTGATGTCACAAGCTATTGCTTCACCTTATATGAGCTAAGACTGCTATGCTGCTGCTCTGAATGTTTCTGTCTGTGCAGAAAGTGAATATCATGTCTGCTCGTAGTGTTCCCCACAGTGAAAATAACATGGCAGTCATTATTGTCGGGATTATGGATCCGTGAACTTTAGATCAAAAAGTGAGAAGTTTCTCATGAGAATCTGTGAGGTCCCCTGACATCAAGGAGTTACGTGAAAGATGCTACAATGCAGTTCAGATGTCTTAAGTGCACCGCCATCAAATTCACTGTGAGGATGAACCCTCATGCAAAGAAAGCAAATAGATGTTTTTTTCTCAGTTTACCACAAGCTTCTCTAGGTTTGGGCTGCGGTGGAAGTGGGTGAACCACACTAACAGAAAGCTGCATCAAGAGTTTAGCAGCTGTAAGCACAACTACATTTGTGGTACGAGATGCTACAACTAATTTTAAAGATGTGTCTAATATATTTTCTGATTCTGAAATAAAGATTGGATTGAGATGACATTTAAGTGTTTTATTATTTTTAAATGAAATGTCAGCCTTCAGCTCTGCAGGGTTTTTATGTGTGTGTTGTATGCAGTGTTTATATTGTCAACACAATACACATGAATAAGATGGAGAGATAAACAATATGTGAACAACTGTTTTTGTAACCTGTATGCAGCTCGATGGAGAGTCAAACATCCATGTACCTTCCTTTTTATGGTCGTATACCTGTGGTAATATTAGTTATCTGATCTGGACTGGATTCTCCAAGACAATCTTCCCAATTGGCAGAAGTCACTGAAAATTAGACCAAAAACACAGAAGCTTTTTCCACATACGTCAGTGGGTGATAAGGAAAGAAAGAATTCCTCTTCCTGTTTTGGTACAAACAGATTTGATCCAGGAGAAGCTTTAGTCTGATACCGGCAACGAGAGGATAACCGTACAGAAGGACGAAGAGACAAATAGGAGAGACAGAAAACTAACTAAAATACTAAGATACCGAAACATAGCAATGACTTTACAGAGCAGCTTTCACTTTCTAAACCTGTGGGATGAGACCGATGGGGAGGGAGAGCCAAGAGAAAGGTCAGTGAGGGAGCAGAAGTCAGCTAGTGCGGGACCCTCACAACAGCCGAATGGGCTCCTTGTATCAGGTAAGTGTGCATGATAATCTAGACTGTAGTCTTCCCGGTTTCTCTTTCCTCTTCTTCCCCTTTGTCGTCTCCATCCTCTCTTAGAGATTCTGTAAATTTGTGCAGAAGAATGAGTCAAAAGCAGCGTCATGGTTTTTATTTTTGTCAAATGTCCAGCAGGAGGCAGTAAAGGCCTTGCTAAAGTCTTGCTGTGGTTTAAGAAGTGGCTTGGGTTTTGTTGCACTGGTTGAATTTAATAATTTCTACATACAATAACCCCCCACTGTTGTGTGTCCCTCCTCTCCTGCAGGGTGTGCAGACCTAAACAGCCTGGACTCATTGAGTAGTCAGGAGAAGAGGAGACAGGGTTACATCCATGAGCTGATCGTGACTGAGGAAAGATACATGAAAGACTTGCAGATTGTTCTGGAGGTAATGGACACATGTCCTGCTTATTAACTTGCATACAAACAGAGGTGCACTCTGAAAGAAGTTACATATACAGTAAATCTATCCAGTATTTCATGACGGTGAGATGTGCCAAGATGTCTTCCTGATCACATACCTGACGGTCTGTGGAAATCCGTATTCTCTTTGTGTGTAGGTTTTCCATAAGCCTATGTCGGAGTCGGGTCGGCTGAATGAGGCAGAGATGGAAATGATCTTCGTCAACTGGAAAGAACTGCTGGCCTGCAACTCTAAAATACTCAAGTAATTATCACAAGGACGGAGTGTCTGACATCTAGAAGGGACAGTTGAATGTTATGCAAGTGCAGCTATTTGAAAGTTGTGTCTGTGGATTCTGTCTGTACAGAAATACAGAGCTGCTTGTGTTCATGCATGTATGTTTGTGTGTATGCAGGGCACTACATGTGCGTAAGAAGATGGGTGGGGAGAACATGCCGGTGCAGATGATCGGTGATATCCTGGCCGCGGAGCTGTCCCACATGCAGCCCTACATCCGCTTCTGTTCCTGCCAGATCAACGGAGCAACGCTGCTCCAGACGCGCATCGACAGCGAGCCAAGCTTCAAGGAATTCCTCAAGGTAGGAGAGTGAGGGAGGGACTGAGTACAGACAGGAAGTAGAGCAGGTCATAGACACAGACGGAAGAATAATGGAGATGTCTTCAAGGACAGGAAGAGGTGAAGACAGAAAGGGAGTGTTTAAATTGACCTAGAATCATTCTCATGTAGTATTTTAGAAACCAGATCTTCTGCAGGTACATCCATGAAGATGGAAACCAGATTCTTAAAAACTTTCTGGGTAGATATAGCACACACTGGGGAATTTATTGCTTCAATTGACTACATTTATCATCAACGCGGATTTGACATCCACATAAAAAGTAGCAAATTTTCCCTTTGAATGTGTTTATTAACAGTATCTTGTATTCTCATCAGAAAATCGCCACAGACTACAGGTGTAAAGGGATGCCGCTGTCCAGCTTCCTGCTGAAACCCATGCAGAGGATCACACGCTACCCACTGCACATCAAAAACGTAGGCCTTCATGTTCATGAGTGTGTCTGTATTTGAACTCCTCATGAAGTGCTCAGAATACTGACCTTACTGTGTGTAATTGGAGTGTTTTTCCCTTTTTGTCTCTAATTTGTGGGTGTAATTAACGTGTGTGTGTGTGTGTGTGTGTGTGTGTGTGTGTGTGTGTTTAGATCCTGGAGAGCACCGTAGAGGGCCATACTGACCAAGGCTCTCTTAAAGAGGCTCTGGAGAAGGCGGAAGAACTCTGTAAACAGGTTAATTTCTTCACTGATTCTCTCATTTATGACCTCACGTGTTACTTTTATTATATTTTTGGTTTATTTTTTTCTTCTGCATTCTGTGTGGAAAATATTTGAACGATGCTTCTCTACCGAATGTCCGTGTTAATCAGGTAAACGAGGGCGTGAGAGAGAAGGAGAACTCTGACCGACTGGAATGGATCCAGAACCACGTACAGTGTGACGGCGCTGCAGAGGTATTACGCTTATTAATTAACTTCGTATCATCAATAATGAATCAAGTTCATTATTTATAAAACAATGAATTCAATATTATTAAATACATATATGACGTGTACATTTTTATATTGAATATTCACAAGTTGGGATCACAAGAGAGATTTCCACATTACGTAATTCCAAAGATGTGAAATATCTTCTTAAGTTACTGTCTTTCAACAGCACCTGGTCTTTAACTCTCTTACCAACTGTTTGGGCCCCAGGAAGCTGCTCCACAGCGGCAAGGTGAGTGAAACTGCAACCTTTCTGAAACTCGTATTTTAGAAAAATTAACATTTTCCATTTGACCGAATGAGTATTTTACATGGGAGCAGGCAGACTGGGGAGTAGAGGGAGAGGATATGTGAAGCATTACTGTGTCAGACCCTGGGTGTTGTGGTCACGTGTTACAAGTCTCAGACCTCAGATTAAAACCTTCACGATGGAGATCAGTTTTTGGCTTAAAAAATAAAGACCTTCTGATGCTGAACAGTTGACAATCGTGCCGCCATCATCACTGAGCAGTTACACAGAAGTGCAAATGTTTTTGTAATTATTGTAGATACTGTTTAATTATCATTGTAGTGATTATAAATAATATGATACGTATCGTTTCTTTTCAGATGAACAAGGTAAAGAGCAACAAGGAACTCTGGGCTTTCCTCTTTAACGACTTTCTGCTTTTGACTCATGCGGCTAAACAGTTCACCTCGTCTGGGCCTGATAAACTGTTCAGCAACAAGAACAATGTACAGCTCAAGATTTACAAGCCGGTAAGAAACACACACACACACACACACATACACTTTGGCCCAATCCTAATATCCACACTCACAGACTGTGAGGCGCGTTCCTGCTAAGTGTGTGAGGGCTCAGAGCCGTCCCACTGTCAAATCGTCAAGTGCATAAGGGCTTTTCAACGACATTATGCGCCCTTTCTGTGGGTCCGCATATTTGCAGACTTTCCTGAGGGACTTGCCCATAGTTCATAGTGAAATTGGTGACGTTTAAAACGTGGTTGTAAAAAGGAAGTAATGAGTTTATCTGCTGTCCAGCCTGGATGACATGATGGTGTGTCCCATTCTTCCATTTTATTCCATTTCGAGCCACCATGAACTCGCGTACTACAGCTGCACTATCAGATGATGTCAGTTAATCCAGTGAGTGTTTAGTGTTTAGACCTGAGGATGGAGATTGGGGTTGGGCCTCTGTGTTAAGTTTTGATGTGTTCTTCTGAGGCAGTAGGACACTCTACACTGTTGATGTTGCGTAATCTTTTATTTCCTGTAGCCTGTTCTGCTAAATGAGGTTCTGGTGAAGCTGCCGGATCCTTCTAGCGACGAGCCCACCTTCCACATCTCACACATCGATAGAGTCTACATACTCAGGACCGACAACATCAATGAACGGTAGCTACACACACACACACACACGCACACACACAGATGTGGTGGGTTGTATGGTGGCCTGTACGATCACTGTGTGCGTTTGTGTTTTCAGGACGGCTTGGGTTCAGAAGATCAAGGCTGCATCTGAAGAATTTATTGAAACAGAGAAGAAAAAAAGGGACAAGGCCTATCAAGGTTTGTCTCTACACTTGTCTCTACTAAGCCCTTCCTGATGGCAACCAATGAGACGATCTCGGGATTTATCTGTGTGTGTGTGTGTGTGTGTGTGTGTCTTTGCGTGTGTGTGTGTGTGTGTGTGTGTTTGTGTGTGTGTGTGTCTTTGCAGCCCGAACTGTGAAGGCTAATGGAATCGGCAGACTTCTTGTCACCATCTTGGAGGCCACTGAACTCAAGCCAGCCAAACCCAATGGTGAGCATGGATACACTCATGTTACAGGGTGGTCCTTACAGTTCACAATGAACTTAAAATGTTTTGGTAGAATCCGGATGTTAATCCCAGCTGCATGCTACGTGCACTGCTGCATGGATACCTAATGAAGCCAAGCCAAGATAAAGCCTTTGCTTAAATGTTCTTTCTTATTTCTTTCTTTTTCTCAACTCTCCTCTTCCCTTTACTCCTCTTTTCCTGTTGCTCTTCTATCGTCTTCTGTTCCTCCTCTCTCGATAGCATTTTCTCAATCTCTTCTTGGCTTTCTTCTCCTTTCCTCTACCTGCTTTTACTCCCTCTTCCCTTCCCTCATCTCACCTGTCTTCATGTCCTCCTCCAGGTAAAAGTAACCCTTACTGTGAAGTGACCATGGGAGCTCAGATGTTCACGTCCAGAACGCTCAACGACACTCTGAACCCTAAGTGGAACTTCAACTGTCAGTTCCACATCAAAGACCTTTACCAGGACGTCCTCTCCATCACCATCTTTGAAAAAGACCAGTTTTCACCTGATGGTCAGTCACCTGCCAGTTTCTTCCCTTTTTCCTTCTTCTTCTCCGCCCTCAGTCCGTCATTAACTCCCGCTGATTTCTCTGTAAAGCAGCAAAATTAAGTGGGATATGAAGTAAAATGACTCACTCGGATTTCCACATTGCAAGAGGCTAAACGTTTTTTTGTTGGATTAACTTCTAAAGATGACAGTCTAGTCCGTAACCTAAATTGTGATTCAAAAAATCTGAGCAATATTAATGAAGAAAAATAAATTCTCCTCCCCAATTCTCCTTTGTGTTTCTGAAGCTCCACATGTACCCAACTATCACATTTTCTGAACTCTTCTAAAACCCAATTAAAATGTTCTTTTTCTCTTATATCAGAATTTCTGGGTCGGACGGAGGTACCTGTGGCAACCATAAAGAAAGAGTTCGAAAACAAGGGACCGGTAACGCGTCGTCTTCTGCTGCACGAGGTTCCTACAGGGGAAGTGTGGGTCCGCCTTGACCTGCAGCTCTTTGCCAACAAATAGACGTAGAGGAAGAACTGAAATAATAATAATTCTACCAACACATCCAAATACGGATATTTTCATCCTAACCAAATAAGACGGGCTGCTTTTTGTCTTCTGAACAAACTCGGATGGTTCCCTTCCACAAACCCAAATCAAACAAGACACCCCTGAACTGAACACACATTACGCCTTAATATTTTAATATTACCCAGCACTAATAATACCTCTTCTGTCATCTGAATCTTCCAGTAGGGGATTAGCGTCTGATGTCATCTGAACACACCAATAGGAGTCAGATCTCTCCCTTTTTTTCTGGCACAGATAGAAAAGATAGCGCATCTGCACAATATGCACTGTATTATCTGAAGGAGGTAAAAGGAAGAACTACAGCCTGACCTCTTAAACAATGGAGACAGAGTGTGTCATGAAGCTGAATCTGGGTCTTCTGCTGTACAAATGTATAGCCTTCAGACAGAGGTAGACCTGGACAAAGACTGTTTGGAAACAAATAAATAATCATAATATTAAGAAATCAATAAAATATAACTGCTCTAATCGATTATCTAGAATCTTAACAGCTCCGTATCTCAGTTACAACAGTTGGGGTTTGAGTGATCAGTGATCGAGACACACTTTGCCAAGTCTGGTCAACCAAGGTCATTTAATGAGTTTGAGTTGTTTCTCTTAACATACAAGATATGTACATGTTGACTTCTTGTCACTGATGGCTTCCAGGAGACTCTGCTTTATGGCCTCCTGATCCGAAACAGCCTCTCACAGTGACATTAAGGGCATCGCAAACAGCACACGGCAGCAGGAACTCTGTCGGACAACCCGGACAAGACGTTTTTGTAAGTAGCTCTGGTCTGGAGTCAGTTCTCGACTGTAGGTAGAAGAGCTCAGGATACATTGTACTGTGTTGAATCTGTGTCACTGTAACAACTGTGTAATGTGTGTGTGCATGCATGTCTTTGGAGTATAGAAGTGTAAACATTTAGTTGAGATATAGTAACATACAAATATATTCAGCTGGGGGCTCTTGATGCTGCAACGTTTTGGACTTAACTCATAAACCTCTGGCAAGTATTTAGGATGATGTTGGTCTCTGTACTATTTTCTTTTTTCTTTTTATTTTTTTCTTTCGTGTGCAAAATCAGCCAAGGCCAAGTAGTAGTAGTGCAAAAGGATTTAGGTGACAAAATGCCGCTGGTATGAAAAGCTGTACTGATGAACACCGTGAACTCGTTTTACAGCTGAGTCAGCTCTTCCTGCCTCATTTATGTTGTCAGTTGACGTCTTGCCGTCTTCGGCCTCGTTTCTACTCTTTTGTCCTTTTACATCCAGTTTCTTTTCTAACTCTGAGCGCGTGCTGGTGCTCTGGAAATTACAAAAAAAACCTGTTGTATTTATTTCTTAATTTATGCGCGTGTGACTATCCAAAGGTTTGTAGCGGCTTCGCTTGCTGTGTCTTCTTGGATAATCGGTTGGTACACTGGGTTTGTTTTGTGTGACGTCGACTATTAAAGCTGTGTTCGTCAGACACATGTTGACACTGTGCTGGGAGGCAACAGAACATCTTTCTCTGCGATGGAGTTTTACTGTAAGTAGACTAGGTCACGAGTCATTTGTTAGGCCTGCTGTTTTGTACACTTATGAACTATTCATTTGTTTTATTCAATCCACAAAACTCTGTTTTTAAGTGCTGCATTAACTTTTATGTTTTGTTGAATTTGTGGAAAATGTGCAAATAGACTGCACTACGATCCTCTTCTGTGTAGGGTGTTGAATTCTGTCTTTTGTTTTACTTTATGTTTTCTGCAGCGTTCTGCATTGCCTACTGCTGTGCTAACTGAGATAAAGGCCTCTCTAGATTGTCTGTTGATCAACCTGGAGTCTGTAACCTGCTGTTTGTACTCACTTTGGCCTCCATGTGGCACTCAATGAATCAGGGTTTCTTAAGTCAAATTAAAGATATTAAAAGTGAACAAACTGTGAAATTATTGGCTGGTGAAAGAAAAGTTACATTTACACTGTAAACTTTGAGAGCACGACCTCCTACAGCAGTACATAATGGGTGGGTGGCCCCTGAACTTCAGCTTTATATTGAATATTTAAATGCTGTATGTTAACAGGTGAGACTCAGGCTCATCTAGACGTTATGTGACAGCTGATCATCTTAAACATAACACTAACTTAATGTTATTTCTTTCATAAAGTAGTTCTCTGAGTGACTCTGCTTCGGCCTTTCTACATAATTACACCAGCTTATCATTATGACTTAAAACAGAAGACAGGCCTTTGCTGCTGTTTTTTTTTTTTTTTTTTTTAAGTGTAATATTTTGTGTGGAGTGAATAATAGTAATCCTGATGCAAATTTAATTTTATTAAGTTACCTACAATGAGGAGAAATAACATATTTAGGAGGAGACATTAAGCGCAGGAAGGACATGTTCATTTCACCACAATAAAAGCATAAACGGTCTTGTTTTTTTCAGGTGCATCACATATTTGAGGATATTTTTATTGTTTTATAAAATACAGTCAATATTCTGTTGAATATATCATACAACCATTTCAAGAATATTCAAGGAGTTTAAGGTTTGAAGCAAGAATACCATTAAATGTTTTTCCACTGTTTGTGTTTAGCCACAGTCAGTGGAGTTCAGTGTGTAGTCGTCAGTGCAGACCAACAGGCCTCATTAAGTCCCTGTTCACCCTCCACTGACTCCACAGGAGCAACAGTCGTTATGTAACCACACTGAGTGGCTTTGCGAGGGGCTGACGGCAACGCACACACGGCTGCAAAACTGAGTCGACAAAGTCAGCTGAACTCGACCTTCTGTAGCAGAGCTCTGCAGTGGGGGTCATGGATTTAATGCAGTGGGACTGTGGTGGTATTTGTGGTGCTAACTCTGGTAACTAACTCTTCTTACACTTGATAAAGAACTCATGTGTCAGACGTAGATGAATCGCTTAATACAACATTTCTCGTGATCACAAGGGAACAATTACTTCAAGTCTATGATTTTACACAACTTGAAATTATGGCTCCAAATAATAATCTTCAATGATGCTGCACTAATCACAGATACAATCCTGTAATGTAAATAAAATACTGCACTACTCTCAGAAATACTACAAGTGTAAAGACAGAATGTGCCTTTTAATATGACAGTTTGGCTCAGTTGAAATAAGAGGCCATGTGTTTGTGTGCTATTTAATTCAATTTTGCTTTGAGGTGGAAAGCTAAAATTGGACATATGTAAAGAGATGAATAGGGGCAGACAGCTTAAAAAAAGTGTCCTGCCACGATGTCTGCATGCCTGTGTTATCTGCATGTAGTCCGTGTAAAGGTCATCTACATCTGTGAGTAAATACTGTGTGTATGTGTGTGTGCCCCCTCTAGTCCCTCAGGAGACAATGTACTGGTTTAGAAACTGATGATGAGCATCAACCCTCAAACATTTACATTTAGGAAAGTTAACTTAAAATAAATAAACATACAGAAAAGCTTTTAACATGCAAACTGTCATAAAAAATATTTCAATAATTGCAATCTATGAATGGCGGAAAAAAAATATTGCTGTTTCAGATATTATATTGACCGATTTGAGAAGAACCTGTTTCCAACCTGAGGTCAAATTGTTTTAGCTCTAATTAACGCACTGTACACTGTACAGCAGCCGGACACAGTAAGCTACTAGCTGGTGAAGAAAGTGGAACATTTAGCAGTTAAAGAGTCTGATGTTTCCACGTCCATGTTTGTTTACAAGAGAACTCCACAGTGCAAAAATAAATAGAATCTTCAGTGCTTATGAGAACAGTTTTACTGTACATACCCTGAATATTAATTGTTCCAACTGCTAAATAAATAAACCTCTGCTATTTAATTGTTTTATTTATTTGACAATATGAAGAGATGACCCTGTCTGTGCGTTTCATTTGATACTGAGTCTCTCGTGTCCTCTCTGTCTCTCTGTTGCTACATTCCACCTTTGCTCAGTGTAGATTTTTGGCCACAACACAGACCCCTCATTATTTTTGAGTTACTTTCGTGTGTGTGTGCGTGTGTGCGTGCATGCGTGCGTGTATGCGTGCGTGTGCATGAGTGTTACATAAGACAGCTGTTCATGTGGTAAAAATCGAATCATTCCCATGACTGAGTCAAATGGAACTGAGGGCCTCTCAGACTCATCCTCCATGCACATGTCACTGTCTCTCTCTCTCTCTCTCCATCCCCATATGTGCATATTTCCTTCTGTCTCTGTTGTTGTTGTACTCTCCTTCTGCCTCTAAACTACTCTCTTCTTCTGCTTTGCTGCACTTTTCTTTTATACTTTATCTCACTCACTGGTTCTCTGTCACTCTTTGCTTTATCACGAATAAAATATTAAAACAGAAAAACAAAATCTATCTCTAATTGTTTGTCAGTAAGGTAAAAAGTACACATTAGTTTTAGTTGTTAGCTGTGACAGTCACTTTTCTTCCATAGTGACCTGGTGCTGGAAAAAACAACATACTGTTTCTTAAACGTTTGCCTTGGCTGTTGACATATTAGCAGATACAGAGCAACATTAACGTGCATTTGGGGTCATTTGTGTCCACCTGATGAAAATGCAATATTCACTCTCTTTGGCTCTGGTTTTGGTCTCCACCAACTCCTGGGGGAAATATTTGACTCTTCATCTGCTAAATGCTCCACTATGTTCACTCGTCTCCAACTGCCTCTGTCTGCAGTTTGGTGCAGAGCAGGTAGTGAACAGTGGATTTTAAGACCTATTTTGCTCAAAACAGCTGCCTGCTGGCTGAAAACGACGCCATGGGAGCAGTGACAGGGAACTAAAGCTATAACATTTGCTGGTCAGGCAGCTAAACAATGATCTGAAACGCACTATAAAGCTTAGTAAAGCTGAGGGGAGCTGCAGATTCAGGTTATTATTCTCTGTAAGTCCACCACGACAAGCAACCCCTTTCATATTATCATTTGATACATTATTGTATCATTGTTATCATAGAAATATTGATTATAGCCGTTTGTGGGATGTGCTAACAAAAATAAAAGGATAGAATATTATCAGCATCATCCTGCAAGTACTGTTCTTGATAAACTTACATTTCACCACTGAATGTGAGTGAAGCTAACGCTGTTTTGTTTTTCTGATGGACTTTAGCCAAGACTGCCCACACTGACCTGAAGGTTTACCCTTTGGCTCATGAATAATGAAATCAAATACCAGTGGAGCAAAGAATGTACTGTTATGCAGCCCAGCATTCCCACCCAGCTTCTGAAACTCACAACTCCTGTCCCTTGCTATTTCAGAGATGACTGACAACAATTCCTCACAGTACACACTGCGCAGAGTTAAGAGTGTTAATATTTAATCACACTGAGCAGGAGGTGCAGAAATGGATGCATTATTGATTAGTAAGTGGTGCATGTTTTGTGCATTCTGTAAGTAGAACAAGGTTTAGATCTGTTTTTTTGTATTTATTAGTAAAGATGGTGATGACTCGATTATGTGTCAATGAGGGATGATTTGGTTTTCTAATCACATTGACCTCAAAGGATTTTTTTGAGTTGTAAGTAGTTTTTTGTTTAAATCCTCACTTTCATCTTTATTATAATCTTCTCAAAGGTATGAGAGAGGGATGGACTCGTTGGTCCAGTGATATTGGGTTTTCTATGATGTGGTTTTGCGTTGTTGAACATTTTAAATTCAATCAACTTTAAGTCATATAAAATATATTGGATGGATTGCCGTGGAATTTTCTACAGACATTCATTGCCCCCAGAGAATTAATCCTTATGACTTCGGTGATCTCTCTCAGAAATGACTTACTGATCCCTTAAACTGTTTCCTCTAGCGCCATAATAACGTCAACTAATCAGTTTGTTCAGTATTTTAGTTTATGACCAAATACCTGAAAGGCTAATGACATTGTGTTTTGCGGTAATTGGCAAATGTTAGCATGCTAAAGTAGGATGGTGAACATTGTATTAGCATGTTATCATGCTGACATCTTATAGCACAACCGTGTAGCATCTTAGAGCCGCTAGTGTGACAGTAGGTCGACAGGTGCGTAGAAGAATAATAGGTGTAGACAATACAGAACAAAAAACTCAGTAACCTGATGAAGGTCTATACGGAAACGTCGTCACTAAATATCTCTGAATACAAGTGAAGAAGACAGTGTGCGGGTGATTTTTGTATGTCCTGTTTAAGCTGTAAAACAACTCTCCTTTACTTCGGTTTAAATCCAACCACCTGCTCACCAAGTTCCACCTCTTCCAAAATCAGGTGCATATTTCATACACTCAGTTTATCTAATACATCAAAGTATATCCTATGACGTTCATATTCAGTTGACTTTAATTTAGTGGTGGCCTTGTATTGGGTTTTAGAAATGTTTGCGATATATCCTGACCCCTCTTGTGTGACATCAAGATATCAGAAAGACCTACAATATAATAGAGACAAATGATAGAACTAGTGCAGATGATGAAGGTGAAGAGAGATATGGAAATGAGTAGGATGAGCAGAGGACTGAGGATGAAGAGGGAAAATCTTGGGGTTGATTCTGAAGACTATTTGCAGATGACCGTGGACTATTTGTTATTAATAAGATACATTATCATATAATATAAATCATATAATATTGATGCTATAATATAATGGATCTTATATTGTGGTGCAGTTACCCTCTAACAGTGTAGAGGCCAGAAAAGAAAGATGTCTGTTTTCTACCTTTGTCTTCTGTTCAGGGCATAATAAAGCCCTTAACAACCATGAACGAATTACTGCAATGTCTTGTAATGTTCTCTCTCCAGTCATTATGTAGTCTGTTGTGGGCTACAATTTGCTGAGATTTCAGATTGACTAAAGCACCCCCAGTATCACAATGCTTTTGAGTAATATTAAATACTGTATAAACAGATCATTAATAACCTTTCCAGAAGCATGTGTTTTGTCGATTCAGTCAAAACCCAGTAAAGTTCATCCGGTGGCTTTCATTGTATTCAAAATTGACAGGGCTAAGAGCAGTAATACATATTCTACATACAAACTAGGTTTTGGTGGTTTTTTTTTCATCCTATACTTGTAGAGAGTTATTGCTCGGATAACTCTGTCAGCCTTCGACCAGCAGCAGGAGCTTTCACAGGCTTTTCCTGTTGCGTAACATAAACACGAAAATAACCTGCCAAGATGACAGGTAGGCTGATAAAAATTTCATAAAAGGTATCTGATACAAAGTTATTTTTAGAAAATGGTTGATTTAGCTCTGAAACATCATTCTAATGCTTCCATAAAATTCAGTCAAGCACACAAACACACCCACACACACTTATAATGTCCAAGCATAAACAACAACAGCAGCAGGCGTCTAAGTGTGTAAACATGCATTGAGAAGTTGAATTCCCAAACACAGGCGAGTGAAATCCACCTATCCTCTTTTTCTCTGATTCACTGACTCTCATTGTCACCTCTGTCTATTCATACAACATGTATAAACACTGCAAAGTTTTGTTTTTTATCTTATGTTTCACTAGTTTCTGTGTTGTTGATTTCATTCCTCTTTCTTTGTTTTTTATATTTGTTGCATTTAGAGCACTTTTTAACACTGGTTTTGAAAAATGCTATTTAATAACATGTAACTTCATGTTTATCACATGTTGAACAGTTTATATGTGATACATTGATATATTCACGTGGTATAGGCACATGGGATTTTCAGATATTTCACATATGGTACATTTACATATAGGTATATGTGGTTTTTCAGCATTACGCGGGAAACTTTTACATGAATTTTACATGTGATTTTTTTTTTACAGCATTATGTCGCTCTGTCCCTCCCTCTCTCCTTCCTTCACTCGTTTCTCTCTCCTCCTGCTGTTGAGGGCACTACATGAAAGAAAGAGACCAGGAAGGCAGAGGCAGCAATTCTGCATTTACAACTATGTGCGTGAGTGTGACTGTGCGTGTGTGACATTTGGCAGAGAGAGGAGAAAGGGATTTGGCCAACTTGTCGGGGTCTTTCATGTCACATTTCTGCCCTGAGGAACTGACCTCTGTCTCCCTGTCTGGAAAATAACTGGGAAAAACTCAAATGGAATATCAGAAAATTCAACTCTGCAAAACAGTTGGAGCAACATCCCTCCTGCTGCCTCTACATCAGAGAAAGAAGAACTGAGGGATGATGACTGAACATTTTTATTTGTATCAACGAAAGAAAGTGAATCGGAGAGGAGGGCTTTTGTACGTGGGCCTATCTGACAACTGGGGGAGGACGCAGATTTATTCATATAATTATACTGTTGGTGTTTTTTTTTCTTCTTTGAGGGAAAGGCAAAGAGCCGAGAGAAGATAATAGGAGAGGAGAGAAAAGGGGAGGAGAGAGCAGAGAGAAGAGGAGTACAGAGCAGAGAGAGGAGAGGACCAGAGCAGAGAGGAGGAAAGAGAGGGTAAGAAGAGGAGACGAGTGGAGGTGAGGAGAGGAGAGGATGGACTGCAGATGGGATCTTGCCGTTAAGGAAATGTAAGTTTGCATGTGCATGAGGTGAGAATTGCCCATGTTGATGCTGCTGCTGCTGCTTATGTTATTGTCTTTGTTGATGATGTCAAGGGTAATATGTTGTAGGGAGTCTCAGGATTACTTTCTTTTCCTGCACACATGACCTCTCTCCCTCTGGACTATGTTTACTGTCTCCTGCCCTAGTTCTCTCTCTCTCTCTCTCTCTCTCTCTCTGTTTCTACTCTCTCTGCAGGTCATGTTAGATAGTAACGGTGCAGCTGCGGAGGGAAAGGCCAGTGTCACATTGCATTAGCATTACGCACACACAGAGGGAGAAATACGCCTAAAGTTTGATGAGCGCACGTGGACTGTGTGTGTGTGCGTGTGTATGTGCGTACGTGCATGCGCGTGTGTGTGTGTGCATGTGTGCGTGTGCGTGCGTGTGTGTGTGTGCATGTGTGCGTGTGCGTGCGTGTGTGTGCATGTGTGTGTGCTGGTGTACAGTGAGAGCTCAGCTGGAACAGGTTTAAGAACCATACAGTCCTCTTACCCACATGGAGAAAACAAAGAACTATTGTGCCACATAAGAATTTTGCCAGACTGCACAGAGACAGAGAGGAAAAGTGACGAGGAAGATCAGAATCTATAAAAATAGGAGAAAAGTATCTGGCACTTCCTGTTGACATGTTGGATTAAGACCTTTTTTTACTGTCTGGACTGCCCTGATGTAATAAACCTGATGCATTTAGTAGTTTATACCATGTTTAAAAGAATAGGCGCTTTTTACAGCAGCCATTTTGACATGTCATTGCAGGGTAAACACAGGTGTAATTATTAACATTAATTATGGCCCAGTTAGGCGGGCCCTGGTAATGTGCATGGTGGCTCATTGGAATGGTCTTGACACACTAAATAGAACAGGACCATAATTAATGTAATTTATCAATTAATACCATTGTGTTTACCCTGCCTTGACATGTCAAAATTGGTGCTGTGGAAAGGGTCTAAAATGTGCCACGTTTTGAAAAATGTGCTTATTCGCCTTTGTGCAGAGAGTTACTGGTAGCTTAGCTTAGCATAAAGACTGGAAAGAGGGGAAGGGGGGGGGGGGGCGGGCTAGCTTGGCTCTGTCCAAAGGAAACTAAATCTGCCCACTAACTCCTTAGAAGCCCAATAATGAACTTGTTATACATTCAGTGTCGTATACGGCTGGAACTACTGCAGTCTATAAGTCTGCAAACCACAAACTATATCCTCTGAAATGACCATAAAATTGAATCACTATCTCTATAAAACACTTAAAAACCAAACATTAAAACCTGGAAAAAAATTATTAATTGCAGGACTGTTATATTAGACTGCATTAGTTTTAACTAATTGACCGAATAAATTGGCAGCTGAATGAAACTTGTTTTTTTAAACTGTGCAAAACCGAATGCTAATAAGCTTTCAGTGTTTTTACAGGGAGTTATGGGCCAGCCTATGTCTTGAGCATGACCAGTTGGTAGGTTACCAGCAGAGTTGCTGCTCCTAGCCAAGAAATAGTTTGGCATGTAAACCTCCTAAACCATCAAATTGTAGTTTTTACACTTCAGTTCTAGTACAGAAAACATGACATAACGTGTTGGTTATTGAGCTTTAGAGGTGTTGGATTTTGGTACTTTTGGACAGAGCCAGGCTAGCTGTTTCCCCCTGTTTCCAGTCTTTACGCTAAGCTAAGCTAAATGGCTGCTGGTGGTAGTTTCATGTTTACTGTACAGACACAAAAGCCGTATCCATCTTCCAATCTAACTTTATAACTATATCATCATAAATATTTCTTTTGCAAAAAAAAAAAAAAATTTTAAAAAATGATAAAAGTCAACAGCTCCTGTTGTCTAGACTGTTGAACAGAGCGGCTGTAATCAGCTGGCTGCAAGCCAAGAGTCTCATACTAATGTCTTTACGTAACTGTGATGTTCAGCTGCCTGATAGCATGAGTTTTCACTACACTTACCTGTTGGGCCACAGATTGTTCTTCCGTTCTCTGCTCCTACTTGTTCGTATCAGTTACTTTTTTATTTTTGTTTCAAACAACATTTTCATGAAATGCTTAATGAAAAAGCATGCTGATAATAAACCAAACCAGGAAGTACTTGTGATGGCATGATGACATGCTATCTGCTGTAACAAACAGTAACCTAAATTGACGGATCCAAAAGATAGAAGAAGAGAGCAAGAACAGGAGCGAGTGGGGCAGTCACGTCCTGCAGCATTTACACATAACATCACCAAATGGCCCTGACAGTCAGTGGATTTAGAATTGCTCGGAGCTTGTTGTGTTATGTTTCACTGCAATGTAATGCCAACTGTTGTCATGTTGTTGCATTGCTTTTAGACTGTTTTGTTAGTTTTGTAAAATAATTACAGGCCCGAGGTCTGTTGTTATGCTAATGAGCATGTGGGGATGAGACATAAATGTATTTGACTTGTTCTTCAGTGTGATATTAGTTCTCACTAACAGGTCAATAGTACTGCACCTTCAGAGTTTTTACAGCAGAAAACATCTTCAAAAATTAGGTCAGTTTGATATTCTCTGAGAGCATCATCCATTTTTCATTTGTTCGAGTTTAAACTTTTGCCGTGTCTTTACAGCCTCGCAGCAGGTTTTGGCTTCTTTATAGTTCTGCTCAGTTTTAGACTTGTGAGAGAAGTTTGTGTTTTCATGGTCGGGTACATTTACAGTTGTTGTCATGAAGTCTGGTCTGTCTTGATTGAGTGATTAGGCCCATTTGCAATCATTGATAAAATGTTTAATGGAGGGAAAAAACTCTCATCAACATCCAATGAGAGCACATTCACATATGATGAGATGTGTTTAAAGCTGTCAGCTGGGGAAATCACAATGTGTTTATGATATTTTTAAAAAGGCTCTACAAAAGGAGAAAACCAATATCTGTGTCCTTTTAACCCTGCTGCACTCTGTGTTTGTACTTTCATAACAGGATTAATGCTCAGATCTATAGAGCTTCATTTCATTTGGGAGAAGAGATACAAAGGTTTGGGACAAAAACGATTCAAAATGTTAGTGAAGAATTTCAGTCTTGCCGAGGGGCTTCACAGATATTCTGAGTAATTACAGTGTTATGCTTTAAGCACGGTTCACAGATTTAAAATGTCACTCATATGTGGAAATATTGCATAACTCTAGTGTTGAACTTTTGCAGATAAAGAGAATAAAAGTGATTTAGGATAAATACTTTCATTTATCATTTAAATAATTAACAGGAATTGTAAATGTTTGCAGGATTTGAGTGTCAGTGAACCCAATAAGTGGTGATAAAAAAACATTCTTATCTAACACAAGACTGTACCTACAATGATTGTTGCTCATTTGCATTATCCACTGTAAGAGGAGGGAGCTGTTAATTGCTGGACAAGCTGATGTCAGGTTTGGAGCAGTATAACTCAGTCAATCACACCACATTAAGCAACATCAACTTCCAACACCTAGTCAAAGTTTGCATATTTCTATAACCTGTGAGTAGTTCAAGCAAAGACAGATTTTAGTTTTTTTTGTTAATCATCTTGTGACTCCTCAGATTTATTGTGTGGATGTAGATGTTTCTGTTGATGAGCATTGAGCCAAACTCCTCAAAACATGATGTATTTGAAATATTGAAACTCTTGTAAAGAGTGAAGCATAAGGCAATGCTCATGGAAGCGCTTCATAAGATAAAAACACAATCAGATAGACTGTGGAGCTCTCAATTTGGGCAGATGAGGTTATAAAGAAGTTAAGAAAGACAAGCAGACACTGCGGAGTCCCGTGTTTTCCTCCCAATCCTCCTCTCCTGTCACAGGATGAAGGATCTTCCAGGATCCTCTCAGGACTTCAGCTCTGTTGCTCTTTACTTCCCCTGTGACATCTCTCCACCATCAGAGAGTTTGGACCTGTGGAACTAAAGATACATTTTGTATCAGAGCCATCAATAACTAACACACACTAAAGGTGTTATTCTGAGTGTGTATGGGGGAGTTCCAGTCTGGGTGTGGGGCTACGTGTCGAGACACAACTATTTATTTAAGAACTTTTTGTCTCTATCTCTACTCTACATTTAACCTGGCTGTTGCAGACTAGTGTTTGCAGTAAATGGTGCGGTATGTGGCTGATACTCTAAACTTCAGTCCCTGAAACATGCACATAACACGTCGAGGCTGGACAAGACGGATAAAATATGCATCTTGATATTTTAAGCTTGAGTGATGTCTTTACAAATTGTGTTGAAGCCCTTTTCATACAGATCAAATCCCCCAAAGGAAAACCTTTACAGATACTGAGCATGAAGACCTTTGAAAGTGAATAAATAATAAAACCCTTAAACAGGGTGTTGCTAGTCAGAAAGACTTTGCTTAGTCCATGACACCAGCTTGTCTGTGACAGCAACATCACGTCTGTGATGTGCTTCTGTCTGAGTGTGTTTATGTCCACCAGCAAGGTTAGCTTCATCTTGATCCGATTCTATTTACAACATACAAAGAGAAAGTTGGCTGATGGCTGTTTGTTGACACCTAGTGGTTCTCCCTAGAGACAGACTGGTCACCAAATAGTGATACTTCTAATAGTAAGTATTCATCAAAAGTAAATGATTTGCATGTGACGGCACTTCTGTTTAACGACATAATGTATAATGATATAGCCATACCTGTATAGCCCTAGCACAACGGGATTCAAGTCTTAAGTTATTGAAACTTTTTATTTAATGTGCTGTATATGTTTACTGTTCATTTTATTATTTTTACTTGTTTTGTTTTCTGATTACTTGTTACATGGTTAAAATAAATCTATCTATAATCATATCTAAAACCTAGTTGTAGACCTTTTTCTTCTGCGACACACACTATGTAGTTATTATGCTGTGGGATGTTAACATTAAATAACTTACATAATGACCTTAATGTTTATATACATAAATAATCATCTTAATATTGAAAGGAATCTTAGGAAAATTGTCCAAGAATAATACTATGTGTATACTTCTTTTAATGGCACAGTATCTGTGCGTTCCACTACCCATAAGCCAGAAAATGATTTAGTATGTCCCCAATACATAGCATAATAAATGTATGCCAAAAAATACCGAGATGTCATACTGCATCCGGACCCATTTTGCAGTTTGTACATACTTTGTAAGGGAAGCTGCAGTTTGTACTAAGAGTAAAAGGCATGTGATCTGGAACACAGTGGTCGTGTGCACAGGAGGTGTCAACGCATGCTAGATACGCCAATATAGAAAAAGTGTTGCAAAATGCTCTCATGTAAGTCAGACATCTGTCTTTATCTTGAGTCTGTTTGTTTTTTTACTGTTCTTTGTGAAAAGTACTTTACAGATCATTTTGCAATCACTAATAAAAATCTCTATTTTCTCTGCATGGTTTGCTATTTGTGTGTTTATCATCGTATTTGTTCTACTGATACCACAAAACCTCTGACTGCTTCATACATGCGTGCATTTAAGTATTTGTGTTTGTGTGTAAATACCTACTTTATTACTTTTTGTGTGCGCGCGATCTTGAATTTGAATATTGGTAAGTGACTGAGGGGGAAAAGCCCCTTGGTTGCCTTTTCTCCTAAACCCTGCAGGCAAACAGCTCAGGCATGTTTATAACAAGGGGGAAAGTGAGAAACGATGTATAGATTAAGGTATAAGGTGTCCAAAGTGCTATAATTATACTATAATTACCTCATCTTCTCTCGACAGAAGACAGGTTTCAGTTCTGGATAGATATACTGAAGTTGTAATTCTGAGTGTGTATGGGGGAGTTCTAGTCTGGGTGTTGTATGCGTGTATCTATTATTAATTCAACTTAAGGAGAGGGATGATTTGTAGACAAAATCTGTCCCTCGCTCTCTCTTTCTTCTTGTTTCTAACCCTCTATCATTTCTTACTTCTGTCCTCTCTCCTCCACCCATCAAATGATCCAGGGGAGTCTCCAAGCATGAACTCCACTGACCTCTGCAGGAGATTACAATAAGCTCAACCGGCTGTGAAATCATGAGCGCTCCCACGTCAGGAACCCCAAATACGGAGGTGAATGTGGTCTCCCAGGAGATGGCATTGCTTAGCAACATTCTGGCAGCTTACACCTTCATTGCAGGTAGGTCCAATCAGCCACATTGCCATGACTGTGTGTGATCCCACTGTAGTCACCATGAGAGCTAAGGAACAAACTAACAAAAGCAACCACGAGGCAGATAGAACACAGGTGAGCAAGCTCAGGTGGGGAGATCAGGAGGTGATGATTGCTCAACAGGGGAGACTAGTGGACAGGTGAGAGATGACAGTCTGAAACAACATGGACATAAGAGCAGAGAAAAGTTTTGATGTTTTTTTTCTTCTTTTTCTCTTAGACCAACCCGAGAGGACAGCCTTGGTGTTTCTGGGCGGTGTCTGCGTTGGCCTTCTTGTCACACTCTGCGCCATCGTCTTCCAGATACACTGTCGGACAGACTGTCACTATGGCAACAGTAAGCACCCTCACCACCGCCACAGGAACAGGCATCCTCAGCGTCGCCATCACAGCTGTCCCCTCCATCAGCCCATTGACAGCAATCCAGACAACACTGCTGTTGTTGCCTCTGGAGGAACCGGGCCTGCCGGGGACAGCGAATCAGAGGACTGGGATGACACGTCTGACCTGTCATCACGGAGACGCAGACGATTTGAGAGAGCTCTGCTGCACGCCACCATGTTCACATCAGCTGAGGGTACCTCTCACACAGACACACACATATATGGTACATATGAAGAGACCAGTAGTATCAAGACCATTATTCCAAACATTAAAACCTGTCTTTTTCCGAGATGGTGGCCCAAATTAATCTATTCTTGATTAACTGGTTTATGGTATTTAAAAGATTAATTTGACTCATTGGGAAAGGAAGCTGCTTTAAAGAATGAGTTTTCATTTCAGTGTTTGTAATTTTGCTTTATAATGTGTCAATGTACATTTATACATACTCACTCACAGACTGTGTATCTCACTGCTGTCTCACATGCTCATATCTTAAAATAGAAGTTCTTCTCAACAGTGATGTGAAATTTGATGGTTATATGAATGGATAGTGTATGGACGTGCTTTAATCCGTGTGTGTGTGTGTGTGTGTGTGTGTGTGTGTGTGTGTGTATCGTCAGAGCTGGACCGGACCCAGAGGCTGGAAGAGCGGGAACGGATTCTCCGAGAGATCTGGATGAACGGACAACCAGACATCAGTACAGTCACTCAAAGCCTGAACAGATATTACTGACAGATAATCAAACAGGCAGATAGTCAGAGGGTCACGAATATAGACAGGTGAGCAGATGGATAAAAGGTGAAAAGTAAACAAATGAAAAAAACAAAACAAAGGATGCAATGAACATAAATCATCATATCGGAAGCGCTGTCTGCACTTCACCAAAGAGACTCTTACAGATCAAACTATTAGTGACAGCACTGCCAGGAGCAGTCCCCTCCATTATGTAAACAACAAGGAAATCATATGAGTTGTGATGGCTCAGTCCTCCGATACAGGATGACACTGAAGTGTCGAACAAGTAAGCCTCAAGACACAGCGGACCTTCAGAGCACACACTGCGATGTGTAACTGCTGTTGATGAAAACTGCACAAGGGATTTTATAACTTTCCAAATTTTTAACAGCTGCTTTTAAAAAACATGGACAGAAAAGGACGAGGCTGCAATGCTTTGGCTGTTAGTGGCTGTGTGGGTTCCAACATTGGTGATAATGTGATGTTGCACTTTTCTCAGCTCACCCTTTTTTTCTGTGTGAATTGGAACCTAAATGAAAGGTGCTCAATAAAGAATTCAGAGCATTTCTATTGCCTCTACACGGCTCTCAACATGGCGACAGTGCCAAGATACATTTACACATACTGGTGCTTCTACTGCTGTATTTCTGCATCCCCAGATGAAAAGAATACTTATAGGAAGGACACTAAATAGCTGTGGTGGTTGATAAAATATGCAAGGTATAACTTGCAAAGTCTGTTAGTTGCATCTGTCTGCTGGAGGGTTATGTTGTTGCACAAGTACAGCAGGTCATCATGTTTGAGAGGGTCATGCTGCCTCTCATCCTTTGGTTTATGTGATAATGTGCTCAAAAAAAGTATAAACTTTCATTCCAGGAATTTATGGAAGCAGTTTTCTGTACTGTATTGAGTAAAGTCCCGTATTAAAATGAAATATTGTGGCTCACATTTCTTCAACAGTTTTTAAATGTCTTTGGGAATGTCGTACATGTGTGTCATCCGCTGTTAGGAGGTATTATGGACTGTGGTGAGAGCCCAGAAGAGATATGTCCAGGGAATGATCTTGTTGACAGCATTGAAATGAATATTAAATCTTACCAATTATAACCTGAGCAAATAACAAGGTGTGTAGTGAAGGTCGGAGGTGTACAATATCAACACAATGCAGATGCCCTTACCAACCAGTCACAGTTAAGAGTGCTCACCTTTCCACACACGAACATGACCATTTGTGTTGGTTGGACACAAGGCCAGCCATGTTTGGGGTAATGGACAAAGACCCCTATCATTTTTATTCTGTGAGAATTATTGGAGTCAGACTCCCCCTGGTGTTCATAATGTGCCCCTCCAGCCACAGCTCAGTATATAAAAAGAGCTTGAAAAGCCAAATGGTAAATCCCAAATGGAAAAGAGCATAGTCAAAAAAAAGTCATAAATAAATTGCAATCACATAATTACAATTAAAATGACTCAATGAACAAGTGAATACAAAATAAAAGCAATAATGTGAAGTCATACTAATATTTGTGAGGCTCAGTAGCATATATGATATATGGATATGGCTGCTCTGACTCAGTCATTAATTAAACCAAAATAAATCATCATATGCACCGCCATCATCCACACTGTTGTCAGTAATTCCTCATCAAGAATAAGTGAAAGCTCAGCACTGTTGCTTTATTTTTTTAATCTATGAACTCCCATATTTTCCTTCAAAAATCAGTTTAGTCACTTTAATCTTCAGGGTTTTACGTATAGTTCAGCACAGTTCTGCAGAGTGCAGAAAACATGTTCCCCCTGCCCTATAATGTTAACAAGGTGACATGTCCACTAAATAAAATGACAGATTGTAGACAAATTGATTTAGATTCATGAAAAAGCAATGATTGCTTTTCATGTCTAATATGGAGATTTATTTTTGGTCCTAAATTGAGTTTATAGTCTCTCTAATTCATACTTGTGAGCATCTTAATAAAATATATTTCCTATTACTTTAATTAAGTGAAAGTCGTATTTTGGCCCATTTTGTTCTTCTACATGTACAGGGTGTGGCTTCATCAATATAGCCCAGAATATCCATGATTACTGTAATAAGACACTAATACAAACCACACTGTGGTGTGAGTCATAAGTACGTGTAAGTAGCTATGACCAAGCTGATAATATTGAATTAATGTAAACAATACAGCCTTGTCTGGCTCTGTCCTCCCTCCACCACCAGTGCTTGCTATCTCTTTAACGGGACGGGCGGTGACGTTGGGACACGCAGCGGAGAGAACAGGCTGCTGTTGCCGGACCGACTCCCGACCGGGACCAGAACCGGCCTTCAACAGACTGACACGCCGTCATCTCCGTAAATCTGAGAGTTCAGGTTCTCAATCCGCAATGAGAGACTACTCAGCGACTCCGAGCCACGGAGGCGCCTGCATTCCGTGCTGCCAAGTTTGCGTCTTCGCCTTTACCGCATTTCTCATCATTGCAGAGAGGACGGCGCGTGAGTCTTACCTGGGACATACACGCCCGCTCATGAAACACACACACACACACACGTATTACACACGCCCTGCGCACAATTAATAATACCGAGTGCAGTATAATTTGCAGTGTGCTGGTTAATTGTAATTTGGTGACATGTGCCCACACGCAACCCTGTTGTGTTTTATTTGACTTTATTGGCGTGCGCGTGCGCGTGCGTGCCTTTTTGGCCATGTGACGGCTACAGCTGAGAGAGATGCTCGCATATTGTGGATGAGACAGAGAATTTGGGATGGCATGTTGTTCTATTTACTGTAAAAATCCAACATACAAAGTTGGACGTTTGTTTTCACGTTAGTGGCCGTCTCTTGTTGTCATTAATAATGGAGCCAGAGTCTGCAGTCAGCACCAGTGCGCCTCTCCCCTTTTTTTATACGCTGCATGTTATGACCTCGCAGCCTATGCAGCAAAACTGCAGACTCATGCCGGAGTTTTCCAGAGTTAAAGGGCGGTGTCATTTCAGCTTCTAGATCTCTCCTCAATAAAAACAAAGCGGGGCCATGTTGTCATATTTCAGCGCCCTTTTTTTGTGGAGGTACATGAATGGACGAGGGGATGGGCGTACCCCATGATGGGGCCTAGTCTGCCCGGACGGCCCGCCTGCTTGGCATCTAAAACGGTTCAGATTACAGAGGCATTCAGAGCTGCAGAGCTCAGCCAGGCCAGTGTGATGTGGAGAGGAGTCTGTATGTGGGATCAGATACAGCACTTTCTTATAAATACACCTTTGATGGGTTACAGGTTATTAGAGGTCATATATAAACGAGTCGGCACTCATAAAATACAAAGCTCTATGATCTGACAGACAGATTAAATGTTGTTTTGCTACTGTAAACACTTGCTATGCTGAGCACTGCAACAAAAGCCGCATTATACAAAAAACTGCCAGTTTGTTATTGACAATTACACACATGGTTCTAAGTTTAAATAATAAGTTACAATAATACAGTAAGAGATGAGATAAGAGATTGTGAATCTCATCTGTTTTATGGTCCTGCAATTATGTGTGCAGGTGAGGTTTGTCCAAATATGCACTTTGTGATTTACCATAAGCCTTTCTTTGTGTTTTTGGACTGAGTATACATGTGTTTTCCCTCCCCTCTCTCCCCAGTGATCTATTGCTTTGTGTACTATCTGTGGGTGGGTCACAATTACTGCTATGCCCATCTTGCTGGCTTCACTGCGCTGTTCCTGCTGCCAGGTGAGATAACAACAACAACAACAGCATGCCAATCTATGTTTACAACAGAAATAGAGAACAGATAGAATAACAAGAGATGTTAGATTCTGCTTACCAGTATGATATGTCATTGATTGTGAACGTAGAAGTAATAGACCAGACAGTGTATGGAGGGTTGGTAATAGGTAGATGGATGGATGTTGGATGAATTGATGACAGATACATATTTTATTAATATTTGTTTCATTCTATGTTTCAAAGGTTGGGGTCCTCAGTGGCTCAGTTATCTGTGGTACCTGTCAGATGGACGCATCCGCAGGAATTCTCTCACCTGGACGCACATACTGCACCTGGGTATCTTCAAAAGGTGGCCCAACCTCGTGCATGTGCATCTTTATGTGTGTGTGTGTGTGTGTGTGCGTGTGTGTGTAAATTAACAATAATGCCGGTGCTATCTTGAAAATGAATTAAACAAGGACAGTTTAAAATGATATTTAGACAAACTTAACATTTGTCTATGTCTGATTCTGATGGTTATGATGATAATGATGTATATACTGATGTGTATGTGAGCATTTCCTTTTTCTATCTGTTTCTTTTACCCTCAACCATCTCTGGCCTCCACAGGCTGTGGGAGTGCATGTGTCTGCCAGACGCGGAAGTGTACTGTGAGATCATGCAGCAGGCGGATGCATCTGCCTTACGTCTGTTTGAGGCCTTGGTGGTCACCCTCCCTCAGACGCTGCTGCAGACCTACGTGCTCATCTGCACTGATATAGGAATCAAATCTCCAGGTACAGACTCTGTATAGATGTAGAAAGCATGTGTGCAAGGGTGATAAGGTCTAAAGTAGCATGTATAATGTTGTGTTTATGGCTAGTGAAAGTATGTACAGTGTGTGTTTCTACATTTTCATTTAAGGGTAACTCAAACAGATAATAATAATAAACTGTGGCCCAATAGACCATAGTTGCAGACAGCTCCATGAGAGACCTGCATAACCTAATGATAACAAAATATATTTAAAGCAGATATAATTGATATTATTATTTCTAAAAGAACAATGTGAACACAATGTGAAAGGGGTTGCTCGTAGTGATGAACGTACAGAGAATTGTTACCTAAACCTGCGGCTCCCCTAAACCTTACAGAGTCTGTAGAGAGTTTCAGCTAATTGTTCACTTTTATTGTCCCGTTGTGGTCCTCACACACCAGATAAAGTGAACGACTATCTGAGGAACATAATGCCAGATATTTCCCTCAGGAGGTGATAGAGACTAAAACGGAGCTGAAACAGAGTGAATATTGCACTCACATTTGTCCGGTGACCAGAAACATGGCTCCTAATGAATGCTAATGTTAAGGCTGTGCGTTATGGAGGAAATCAAATAACACAATATTTTTGTGTTACATGTTTGCCATACATAACAACTTTATAGGCAATAATAAGTCAGATGTTTTGTTTTCAGATTGTTCTGTTGCCTGCAAGTGGCCAAAAAGTAGTTCAGCTTTAAATTGAACCAATTTCTCTACCATCTATTTCCAGTGTTTGTATGCAGCAGACTTTCATCTGATGGACAGTATAGCATTACAATGTATCAAAGTACTCACATTTCTTCTCCTCTCCGCCTTCTTCCTCCCTCCTCTGCCTTCCAGCCTCACTGTGCTTCGTGGTGTGTTTGTTATCTCTGGCCTGGGCCTTGGTCCTCTACGCCAGAGCCTGTTCACTCATCAGACCAGGACACATACAAATGACCCCCGCTGCCATTCTCTGTCGACTTCTGTGGAGGGTGGGCATATTTACACAACCTTCCAACAGCCAATATTCACATACACACTCAATGTAACGGTCTCAATTTAATGGGTGGCATATTTATATGAACATGTTGGGATTTGTTTGTGTGACAGGCATATTTTCTCTGTCTGCAGGTCAGTATGTTGGGATCTCGATTTGCTGTTCTCATGCTCTTCACACGTATCTTCAAACAGTGGACCCTGGGAGTCATTGGTAAGTCTGGTAGGGCCTAGTCTTCATCCCCAACCTCATATTTTTTTAACCTGACAAACATTTAATATTCTGCTGGGGAAGGATGTGGGTGGTGTGGGGTTTTTTTTCAGCAAAAGACATCTAATTATTGTTAGGTGAGTGGGGACACCCTGTTGTGGTTCACCTCATCTGCTCAGGTTGTCTGTAACAGTGTGTTTATATATTGATAGTTTAATATTTTATTGGTTGTGTGTGTGTGTGTGTGTGTGTGTCAGGTGTGCACTGGCTGGGTACAACTTTCTGGATGGTGTCACAGCAGACCGACATCATACGTTCAACTAGTCGATGGAGACTCTTCAACTTTGTTCTGGGAGCCATTCACATCTTCTTTTTCCTCAATGTGAAGTACGGTCAATCCAGATACCGCATGGCTGGGTTCTACCTGGTATGTGTGTGTGTGTGTTTGTGGTCTGTTCATGCAACATTTAAGACTTTAAAAGAAAACATTATTTTGGAAAAAACTAAAAATTATGATTTAATATAAATACAGTCTATCCTTTGAATTTCATTGGAGAAAAATCCCAATCTGCAAATTAATTTTATTTTAGAAAATGTAAATTTGAGAAACTATGAGTCACATTACAGCCATGAGTTAATTTATGAGCCAGTCCAAGTGCTGAAAACATGTATATTGCATGAAAGTGTCTCAAACACATCAGTTGAATAACAGTCAGATAAGCTGAATAAAAAACGGCAAAAGTTAAATGTGATGTGGAATAATTGAACCACCTTCCTCTCTTTCTGTTCATTCCTCTTCAGGCCATGTTCTTAGAGAACGCTTTTCTTCTTCTGGCCTCCTCGTGGTTGTTTACAATGGTGTCCTGGGACACTGTGGGAATCCCAGCTGCAGTCTTCTCTAGCTTCCTCATTGGTGAGACACACAACTACTCTGTATGACAAGAGTCGACAGACATGCTTAGCAGCTCTGCGAGGCTGTACACAGCTGGGCTTTGAGCTACAGGCTAATGTGGGCTTGTTAACATGCTCACACTGATGATGCGAACATGCTGATGTTAAAGCTATGGTTAGTAATGTATTTAAGAAACATTTGTTGCTATGTTTGTTGAAATTCTTTTTACATCCTGACAGGATGTAAAGATAATTTTAACAAATCAACCTGATCAATAAATCAAATGTCTGTGGCTGTAACAGGACTGTAATAAGCCCATCCAATGCTAAATAGCTAAAAACTGTTCTTTTCTTTAGAGTTCTAATAACTTGGACACACTCTTGCACGCCTCCATTAAAAGCCCTCCCTGTTTTTCTATTTACTTGTCCCTCTCTCTCTCTAGGAGTGATAGCGTTGGTGCTGTACTATCGTTTCCTCCACCCTAAGTCCTTTGAGATTTTCCAGAGTATTCGCCACAGGGGGATAAGTGGCGCCTGCACAGAGCGTGGATCAACACTGTCATTGGAGGAGAAAGTTACATCCACTTTCTATCACCATGCAACACTGTCCGGTTTGTTAAAGATCTGTCTGTCTATCTGTCTGTCTATCTGTCTGTCTTTCTGTTCATCATAAAGACTTTGGTTGTTACTCTTATCAGGAGGTGGGACCCTCATGGATCTCCCTATCCAATGGGAGGGATGGAAACATCACCACTGGCTGCTGATTCGCTTGGCCATGAAGACGGGGGATGTAACAAACATCTGGTCGGCATATGGTGAGGGGGGACTGGCCGGACTGATGGGTCTGTCTGAAGAAGTTCACTCCCCTGATGAACCTCATGTTCCTCGGGTTTGTTGCATTCTTGTTGTTGAATGTCCTGCTTAGAAGAGCTATTGGTTTTAGTAGTGAGACTTCCTGCAACTTGATCTTTTAAAAAAAAGGAGTGGTTGCATTACTATTAGTTTCAGGAGAGAGATTGAATGTATACTTGCTAAACCTGTCTTTCCTTGCATGCAGCCTAAAGTGTGATGTTATTATATATATTTAAAAGGGTTTCTCCTTCTTATTTATGCTGTGATTTGTCAGGGTCCCCTTATTCAGCAGGTTACCCAGATCTTACTACCTGCTCCTCAACCAGCTCCACCACAGGTGACCCAGGCTCCACAGGCAAGATCTTTATATGAACTAGGACAACAGTAGATGTATACTTGAAGCCACTATGTGTAGGATTTTGAAATGGAGACAGATGAGCTAAAAGCAACACATAGACTGCACACATTTTCACAGCGTTTGGCACATTGTTCTACAAACAAAAACTTTTTGCCATAAGACTATTTTTAAAAAGACGCTAATATGATTACTTAAGTTTTAGTTTGTCTTTCTGCCGTCTGAGGCTCAGCTGTCTGTCTCGTCCCCAGGCGAGAGAGGTGGTCCAGCCACCAAAGCCAGCTCCCTCCTGTGTCATAGCCAGACCAGTTAGAAAAGCTCCACCCACAACAATCCAGGATATGAAAACTTTTCCAGAGATCATCCCGGTCCACGAGGTCATTTTTGAAGAGAGCGCAGAAGATGTGTCCAGCGCCCCACCATCAGAAAAAGGTTGGATTCCTGATAAACACTGAACCCTGCTGGTGCACACACTCAAATCTCAGTGACCATGGAAGTGCTTTGTTACAATGTTAATACCTACCCTTACTACTTTAACTCATCTTTTAATCTTAACTATGAAATGTTACTACGAGTGGCATAGATGTTGATACATTCAATCTTTGCTAAAGGAAACTAAGTGTGGCTTATTGGTAAGCATTCAAGCTCATTTATTTTTTGCCCTTGAATTTTATAATACAAATCCTTTGTAGTAGTACCTCAAGGATGGTATTGCCTATAGGAGATGTGTTCTGTTTTAAACACACTTTACCTTTTCATTTTATTTTCAAAGGGGATGATGAATTTCAGAGTGCTGCTTACTGCTCACCAACACCTTCATCTCCCCTGCAACCAGACAGCCTCCCCCACATCGATAGCAGCGCTCTGTCCCTGACCGAAGCCTCATCCTCCGTATGTTCCCTGGACATCAAGACTCCCGTCTGGTCACCTGAACGGCGTTCCCCTCTCGTGATTGGTTCCCCGGAGAAAAAACCCTCACTCCCTGGAGAGTCCAGCACTACACTTTACTTCAGCGCGGATGCACATTCTCCCTCCAGTGGGAGCTATCTTGGCTGGGGCTCCGAGTTGTCGCCTATCTCCACCTACAGAAGTCCCTACCGGATCAGAGAGGCTCGCTTTATCACATCCACCCCACGCCTGGAGCCTCGAGCTAGGTCAGAAAGTCCAGGTCCGTCCCCTATTGTCATCACCCCTGCCACTCCTGGTACAACACCAGGCCCCACTCCAGGTGGGACCCCTGGTGCGTCGACCTCTGCTGCTTCTACGCCTGGAGCTTCAACATCTGCTGCTTCAACTCCTGATGCATCCACACCCGTTGCTTCAACTCCTGGTGCTTACACTCTTGGTGCTTCTACTCCTGGTGCTACCACACCCGGTACTCAAATCATTCCACTCACTCCAGTCATCTCCCACGCTCGCAAACAGATAGTCCAGCTTGTGGACAGCAGAGAGAGGATGGTATAAGGAGGATGGGGGGTAAAGGGGAAGAACAACTGGGTGGCCAGTGATGTCTTTTTTAGTTTAGCGGTTAAGGATTTATGTGAATCAATGTATTAACTAATTTGGGGAAGGCTTGGTGGGGAGATAATGGGCCCTTTCAGCTCAGTTGAATCAGTCATGGAAGGAGACACAACTTAAATTAATATTTTAGTTTTTCCCTGACATGCAGATACAAGGGTTACATTTGCAGAAACTTAGGAAGCATAGGTAGCACACTCGCCAACCACTGCAGGGGCATTGGCCCAATCCTTAATCATTTCTGACCTTGCTGTTCATTCTTATCAACTCATTTAGCAGTGTGTATGGTAAGAAAGTCACAGATGGGTCACCAGAGGAGTTAGAAGTGACAAACTTGTACGTACATGTACCGGGGAATCGATCAGTCTAAATAGGGGGACAGGGAGGATTTTTTCAATTCTTTACAACTGTCTGATTAAAAAAAAACTCTATACACTATAGATCAATATTTACAGAAGATTGCATCTTGGTTACTCATCTAAAGAAAACACAGTTACAAATTCACAGGTGCTAATGAATCTGGTGCATCACTTCCATTCGTTCAGATTAACCCTAAACAAAACTAACCACAGAAAACCGATTGAAATCGTGAGCTGTGATTGAATCACAAAGCGTTAACAATCATGTGAATCAAGGCGAAGAATTGTCAAAATCAACCGGGTAATTAAACCAGTTTACAAACAACTAACACACTGAAATGTATAAATAATGAAGACTTAATGCAAGTACAAGCATGCATTGATGTTATTAGGCTTGCAAAAGCGTATTATTCTTTTATTTTTACAAAACCTTTAGATAAGGTTGAACATCGCCTCCAGGTGTCACATTACATTACAAACATTACTGACACGTACAAAGAAACAGAGCTCCTATTTACAATCTGTAAAATAGTCAGATTTTAGTTGATGTCTATTTTCAAGAAACTATCACATAAGCAAATGACAAACGGCAAAAAAGGTGCAGCTAAAGTAGCATGATAATCTTTAGACTACACTATGATTATAACATGAGAATATGTCAAGGAAGATCAGAAGATGTTTCTATTGTTACAAGCATTTCATTTCATTTGTCTACTTTAATGATCAGATATACATTTTAACTATGACCTGCAGAAATGCTTTACATCGCTAAATAAGTAACAATGTTTCTATAATTTTAGACATTTACCCCATTTGGCCCTTTCCAAGAAATTGCATATAAGGGACTAAATTAAACGGGTCATTTTAGTGACGCAGAAAAGATGAAATACAGCAAATAGAGAAATTGCGCTGGACATAACTGAGTGTCTGTTCTTGTCTCTAACAGAGAGGAGGTAACTTTGAACACCTCTGAACATCATATTTAATTTTTAAATTTGTGTGTTCCCAAAAGTGATTGTTAAATTTGCCATTCTTGTCTGCTACTCTAATAATTAGCATTAGCATTATTCTGGATTGTTGGCGTTTACTCACGTTGGTTTTATTGAGGAGCGCACAATCTAATTTGGACATAGTCTCATATGAATAGTTAATAACTTAAAATGTCTTTGGTATTGTCTTGTAAAACCTGCCATACTCACAAATATGCTTCGTCCTTCCACCTATTCTTTAGTTGAACCTCCTACCTCAGCAAAACTGAAAATCCAAGTGACAAAACTAATTTTATTATCTTCTTATGTCTCAGTGAGAACATGTAATTGCTTACTGTACGACTGAAAACTCTTTTGTTTAACTGTATGAAACGTTTTTCCTATACCAGAAGGAGGGAAACCATAACAGAAATGTTGCATAAAGGTAAATCCCGGGTATAATGTGCTGCTATGAGTTTGGTCAATGCCAGTATTATGAAATATTATGAATATTATTTATTTCATTACGTGAAATCTGATTGTAATCATAGCATTAACAATACCAGTCTTCCATGTTTATTTGTCTATGCTATGTTATTTTACTTTCTTTCTTTCTAAAGAAATATACGTATAAAGTCAGGTCTATGTCTGAAACGTCCAGTTAAATGTTTGGTGATAAAACACATTCAGCTTTTTGAGAATATAAATCGGGGTTTATGGAACAAAGTACAGAGAAAAACATGCTCCATCAAACTGTGTCAAACTGTTCTCCACATACCAGCTGATAGATAAAGTCAAGAGTCACTGCATGTTACTCGTTCATCCAGAGAATTGTATCTATTCCTTCAGAGAAAGAAAACTCACTGTAACTACTCACACATTACAATAGTAAACACACGTGCTAGAATGTATGTGAACGCAAAAGCAAAAAGCCAGCTAATGAAATGTATATGAGTGCACTGATTAGAAAACATCTAAGCACACGCTTTAGACTGCAAACGATGCCTTGGCTTCTTGATCATCATGAATCAGCGCTTTGCCTCGTAGAGAGACAGTTTCAGCTGCCATGCTTGTCTTAATAGGTGTGTAGAACAATATGCTTTGCTTTGTGTACCTGATAATCTTCACTTTTGTATTTCCTTTTCTTTATCTGGTCACATTTACTGTTATGAAATGTGTGAACAGCTACGGTGCAGTAGTCAAGGTTTTGTGCGGAGGTTTCTCATGTGGAATTGTTTAGAGAGATTTCATTGAGTTTTCATTGAGAGACAGACATTAGTTTGCTGATCGAGTGTAACGTCACTTAGTCAAGACGGCCTCCATTTATCAACATGCATCACCTTGTCTCTGCAAGGATCTCCACAGAGCAACTGTGGTTGGTGATAGTGAGTCAATTACTGTGCTATTAATGTGACAAAATAAAATCATTAGTCATGATCAAAGATCAGAGCGCAGTGTTGTGTTGTATTGATCATCCTTATTCATTTACAGTCAGTTGTCTTTTAACATTGTTGTGCGCTTTAGACAAATGGAAATGTATAATAACAGTGTAAACGATACAGTAATAAATACACTGTAAATTGAGTATATTCAATTTAGGCTAGTTCTCCATTGAAATGAACATAATGTTGTTTACATTATCACAGGGCTGGATGGGGGTTCTGGGGCTTATTACCAATTTCAATATTAAATAGCTAGCATGTTACCCGCTAGCATAATGCTAGCTGGTAATATTGAAGGTTCTAATCTTGAAACAAGATCATGTAATAAAGCAGAAATCACCTTAATGCTATTATTATTATTATTATCATGGTTGATATTGTGCTTTAATTCAATCAATCCAATACAACTTTATTCATCGCTGCAAGGAAAATGTATTCAGCAGCTCACCACCCAGAGCAACAAATACACTCACAATAGGAAAAAGAAAAAAACCACACAAATGTTAATCACAAACTAAAAATAATTAAAGTTTATAAGCTTTAAACCTATATGTGCAATATTAGTAAAACTATATAAATATACAAACAAAAAGGGATTTATGCAGAATAGAGAAGGCAGACAACAGAGTAATGTAGTATATATCGCAATATTACCAAGCAGGGATGTTTTATATGCACATTTCCACAAACCAAATGCCACACAGTCCACTTCATTAAGTTAAATAATAGTTTAATTTAATTGAAACAAGAATGTGATTTTGGTTAGTTTGCCTGGTTAAATAAGAAAGTGTTGTTGGTCCCTCATACTTCAAAATGAGGATTTGCTCTTATGCAACTTTCTTGGTAAAACAATGAATACAGTTTGTGTGCTGTTCTTACAGTATTTTTCCCTATTCATCATTTTGAAAGTCAGATGACAGACACATAAAAGGAAGAGAAAGCTGCCGAACGATCAGTATGTTCTCTGTGGTCAGTGATCCACAGCGAGATACAGCTTGAACACCCAAAAAAAAGTTGTTGTCACCATCAGTTACAAATCACAAGTTATTTCTAAAAAAAAGGTCACAGCTAAACTAAATGTGGTAAAATACCAACATACACATACATTACTGGCAAGCATCGTGAAAAAGGTCCTGAGCATTATGCTTCATGTCATGATCTCTAGTCATTACTTTATGTCAGAAAATATTATTAGAACTTCCTTTTAGCAGATGTCCCAATCAGATAAATAACAAGTGACCTTAGGGCCTGAGTTGAGTTACTTGAAAGACATTATAGCGCAGAAACAAATATGAAGCACTTTATACTGACAGTAGCAAACTATTCACACCTAGAATGTGATTTTATGTTATCAGTGATCTTTTGTAGAATTGTAGTGAGATATGCAGATTCCTCAGTTTCCATTTCAATGTTGTCAACTGGTAGAAACTGTGCCGGAGGTTTGCTGTCTCTTCTATCCATGACAGCTACACTCAAATGTTGAAATTTTTCCATCAATATTCTGCTCTCATTATATGAATAATTTATGCCATATGCATTGAATGTGTTGTAACTCTATTATGTTGTTCAATCTGTACACATGACATATATTGCACTTCTGTCCATCCTGATAGAGGGATCCCTCGTCTGTTGCTCTCCTTAAGGTTTCTTCCTTTTTTTCTTGCCGTTAAATTTACGTTTTTCCTGTTCTGATGTGAGGATGTCACATGTGTACAGACTGTAAAGCCTTCTGAGGTGCATTTGTGATTTGTGATTTTGGGCTATACAAAATAAATTGGATTGAATTGAATTAAATACACCATTATATCAAACGTCCATTTCAATGGTAATAATGAAAAATAAAGGTTAAAATAATAATAGTAATGGGGGAGAAGTAAATAATAAAAGCAAATACATAGATTGTACAATTTCCATACAAAAAAATCAAAACATTTTTGTTTTCAATAGATATTTGAGCATTGATGGTGAAGGTTGTCCGACAGGGTGAGTTTCAGCACCACCTAGCGGTCAGCGGGAAGTAGTGCACATCTACTGCATCAAACTCTCTCGTCGTCACGTGTGTTTTTTTCCGGTTATATCTAGATTCCGATCAACATGTGTCTGTAGAGAAAACGCCCCTGATCGTACAAACCAACACACCCACAGACGGGAACAGAGAAGGAAGCGCGAGGTTGGGGGTTTCGGTGACATGAGCTGCATGCATGTGACCGGCTCACGTGGTCCGATAGATAAATGAAGAGGAGGAGCGTTTCTGAATCACAGGTTTGTTGACCACAGACAGACAGACAGACAGACAGAACCAGGAGCTGAAGATTTGAAGTTCACCTACAGCTGACGAACGAGCTCCAGGTAAACGATCTATAGGCATCAGTTAAGTTAAAGATTGTTTACACTGACAGTTAGCTGTCAACAGCTAACGTTAGCTTAGCTAAATATGTTTCAGTTACTTAAACTAGAAGAGAATACATTAAACGGTATATTCACTGAGTGACTCATTTGATACTCTAAAAGCAGTTTAAGCTCAAATAGTGGTTGTTGCTGCCTGACATATTTTAGGCTTCATGGTCAGAGGTGAAATATACACTTTAAGAAAATAACTTAAAACCAGAAGTTATTAAAATGAGCATGAAACTTAATCCTGAACCTTCAAGCACATTGATGCAACATGGAAATGGGAAGTGAAACTAGGTTGTTATGAGAGCTGGAGGCAGCCATTCTGTCCTCTGCTTTAACTAGACAAAAGAGAGGGGCTGAGACTTGTTTACAGATGTAAACATGTCGGTAACACAGCTGTGAACATGCCGGTAACACGGCTGTGAACATGCCGGTAACACAGATGTAAACATGTCGGTAACACAGCTGTGAACATGCCGGTAACACGGCTGTGAACATGCCGGTAACACAGATGTAAACATGCCGGTAACACAGATGTAAACATGTCGGTAACACGGCTGTGAACATGCCGGTAACACAGCTGTGAACATGCCGTGTTAATAATAGTATTATTATTATTATTATTATTATTATTATTATTAATAATTATGGCACCATTTCCAGCCCAGACTGTTAAAAAATCATTTCCAACCACAGAACTGATATGGACCTTTTTATTGTGTAAATCTGCATCGGCCCCCTTCCTGTCAGCAGGTCCTCAGCATTGTGACCGGAATAAGGAAACAAGTTGTTTCACTCAGTAGACGGAGAACAAACCAACCAGATCTATCAGATTATGTGACTTGTTGATCTGTGTGTGCGCGTGTGTGTGTGTGTGTGTGTGTGTGTGTGTGTGTGTGCGCGTGTGTGTTTTACCTGTTGTAACATGTTTAAGACATTCTGTACTACAGCATGTTTACCATTGATCCAATTCTTTCTCCTAGAGACACAGAAATTCATTTTACAAGAGAAGGAACATTACAGAATAATGCTTTGTGCTACCTACAGTAGTTTATCTTCAGAGATAAGAAGTAATAAGAAGAAATAAGAGATCTATACTAATATGCATCAGCATTGTCCTGTTTAGTTTAGATGTGAAAAACAATATGAAAATAAAATAAAGTAGCTGAACACAATTTGAAGGTCTCCTCCGGCTGAATCAGCCCAGATGTAGGTGGCTTTGGCACTGACTCATCCATTTCCATCTTCAACTTAACCGTCCCACATAAGGGGAAACGATGCCACACACACACACCACCCCCCCCCCCCCCACCTTATTTTTGAGATACTGCCAAAGAAAGGCCACACTGTGACTCAGCAGGTTAATGTAGCCGTTGTGAGTCTTGCTGCTGTGAAAACTGTGTTGAAAGTAACTGACATTTGACTGATTTTGGGCAGATCAGCAGATCTGAAGATTCATTTCCCCCAAAATTACATCCGAATCATTGTTTCAGCTACAGGGCAGTGTTCTGTGTGTGTGGTTCCACCACTTCTCTAATAAGCTGTTTTAAAGAAAGGAAGACAAGCGGTTGGAGTATGTCGAGATCTCATCCTGTAAAGGGGAATGTTCTGGATGTTACGTCCCCTTGTGTACTTTTTGCTCATGATACTTCATTGGCCTCAGCCATGTGATATAAAAACCAGTTTCAATGGAATTCATATTGTTTCTGTCCCCCTCTCTCTCTCTCTCTCTGACACACCTGAGGTGTTTTCATTGGATTCTCTTCTGCTTTCTCTGGAATAGAAATAGTTGTGTCTAAACGGGTGCGCTGCTTCCTAACAAGACAGGCCTGTGTGGCCGTGTGCCACTGCATGCACTGACTGTGTACAAGTCTAAGCTCCTGCAGAAGCCCATGTAAAGTTGTGTTTGTCAACAGACTGATTCTAAAGAAGCACAGCGTCTTCACTGGTATTGATTTTGCTGGACTTGGAGCATCCGGCTTATACTGAGCACAATCCACCCATCCTCTATTTAATAGGCTACATTATGATCTCTAATGTGCTCTAATGTCTGCAGCTGATATCCACTCTCGCCAGTGCATTTCACCTCCGATTAAACTGGTCTCACGTGTACCATTTGAGTGAGAGAGAGAGAACTGAGAACTGAAAGAGTGCATACATTTGAATTTGTTGGGGGTGTTTTCTGCAACTTGGGGAACTACGAGGAGGACGTATTATTCTTTGTGCTTTTTTAAAGTGGGAACTTAAACCCATCTAGTTTTGAAAAGTCATGTAGATATGAATCCAGGGTAATGGTTAAAATCACAGGACTGCTTACTGTGCGTGTGCTGCCTGCTTATGCAGCGCGTTTAACCACTTGAGAGGTCCATGAAGAACATGACTGAGGATAAGAGGTTTTCTCTGCTCTCTGTTTACGCACGTTCCACTTGTAGCTGCAACCAGAGTCTCAACGTCTAGTCAACTGTGAATGCTTTTTATCAGCCGAGTTTCAGGGCTCCAGTTTCAGAAGTGTGTGTTCAGGCATGTCATTGCTTTGTCTCAGGCTTGTTTTTATTTACAAGTGGAAGACTTTCTCCACATTAAAGCTTTTATAAACTGCTTAATGAATCTACCGATACAGCCACTCTCTCACTTTTGTTCTGTGTTTTCAATAAGATTTCCACCCTAGACTACTTCATGTACAGTCATCTGGGGTTAAGTACCGGATGTTTTTCCAGTAGTCTTTTTTTGTGAGCCATTGCTGTCGCTTCAGTTAATGGTGCAATGCAGGGATTCAGCGCATTGATATAGCAGCAAACAACAATTTGCTTGTGAATGTTCCTCACTGGGTAGCTCACGACCACTGCTCTGCACTGCTCTCATATGGCGGCGGTGCAGAAGCGTAGTGCCCACCCCGCGGTTTCCCCATCTGATGAACACTGTTAGCTCTGTCAGATAGTTCAATATGTAATCTGTTCAACAAATAAACTTGTCCTCTTAATTCTGTATCTTTCAGGCAAAATGTGGCGTTCAGCCTTTCTGTTATTGGCTGCCAGCTTGTCGGTGAGCCTGGCCAGACCCCGCCTCGAACCACTGTCCAATGAGATGGTCAACTACATCAATAAGGCCAACACTACTTGGATGGTGAGTTTCGGGGGTTTTGTTGTTTCTGATTTTCTTTCTTAGTTCTATTTGACTTAATCTCGCTCCTCTCTCGCAGGCTGGTCACAACTTCCATAATGTCGACTACAGTTATATCAGGAGACTCTGCGGTACGATGCTGAAGGGACCTAAGCTGCCAATCATGTGAGTCTTGATCGGGAAACACAGGAAACGAAATTTCAGATTAATATTTCATTATGCTTGCATATCATTGAGAGTGAGTATTTGCTATGCTGGACATATATGCACCGTGTACATTTGTACGTACAAACACAAGCAGTGGTTTCAGTGTCATGGACCAAAACTCTGCCCCCCCCCCCCCCACCCCCACCTGCTGTAGTAGCGCACAGTAATACTTGACTCCATAACACTGTTTTACTCTGCAGGGTTCAGTATGCTGGAAACCTGAAGCTGCCGAAAAACTTTGACTCCAGAGAGCAGTGGCCCAATTGTCCCACTCTGAAGGAGATCAGAGACCAGGGCTCCTGTGGATCCTGCTGGGTGAGATAAAAACTCAACTCATTTAATATGTTTTGTATTTTGTATTCAGATTTTCTGGGGCCGTATCTTAATTAATGGCACACCAGCAATAAGTGTACAGGAGAGGGGTTTTTTAAATGTTGAGGTGCCCTCTTATCTGCATGGCAAGTGACCTCTTTCACAGCCAGTGGCAGTCACACGGCCCGTCATTTATGGTCATTTAAATATTTTTCTGCCCCCGCATTCCTCATAGACCAGCCCTACTCTGCCTCTGATTGGCTAGTACTTGTTGCCTTCTTTGCAGAATTTGTTAATTAGTGATGAACAAGACGATGGAAGTTTGTGAGGGTTAATGATTTCTCCTTGGATGGATTGTCATCAGAATGGTGAGCTTATTGTATAGTGCTGTGATATATAATTACAATGTCCTGACAAACAAGACCTTTTTTTTTTCTTTTAACCCTCAACTCGGACAACAAAAAACTCCCCTCAAACTGTGTTAGTGTGTCTGTGTCATGTCTTGGTTTTTCTGCCCACAGGCATTTGGCGCTGCAGAGGCCATCTCTGACCGAGTGTGTATCCACAGCAATGCCAAGGTCAGCGTGGAGATCTCCTCCGAGGATCTGCTGAGCTGCTGCGAGAGCTGTGGCATGGGGTGAGAGGCAGTAATGTGTGAACGGTCTTCAAATGTCTCCAGTAGACGATTGCAGTGACCTGCTTTATGTGGACCATACCTTATCCGTACCAAATGGTTTGAGATTTGAATTGATGGGTATTTAATGGGAGGAGAGAATGAATTAACTCAACACAAGCTCTCCATCAATGACCCGATGAGAAGATAGAAGTCCGATAATGTGTAGGAATGCAATACGCAGAATTAGTATCTGCGCCAAAACTGACCTTTAGTAAGTGGATCAGGCCATGACATCAGTGATCCACATGACACACAGTGGCCTCAATGTAACGTGACAGCAAGATGATTCCAGGTGATGAGGTATACATATTTTAAAGCAGAAACAGTACAACTGCAAGAGGTAGGATTCAGAATCTGTATTGGTTGATGAAAAGTCAGGCAGGTGCCTCCCGAATATTGTACAGTGTGAGCATTTGAAATTGGAGACAGGGAGTGCATAGTGGTTGTTTTGTAAAGGTGGATTAAAAAAACAAACGTTTCTCTATTTAGCTGTAATGGTGGCTACCCTTCAGCTGCCTGGGTCTTCTGGACCAATGAGGGGCTGGTCTCTGGCGGTCTCTATGACTCCCACATTGGTAAGTTTTGTGTGTGTGTGTGTGAGACTCCCGCAGTGGTACGTGTGTGTGTGTGTGTGTGTGTGTGTGTGGTGTGTACAACCCTGATCTTTGCGTGTGTGTGTGTGTGTGTGTGTGTGTGTGTGTGTGTGTGTGTGTGTGTACAGGTTGTCGGCCCTACACCATCCCCCCCTGTGAACACCATGTGAATGGCAGCAGACCCTCCTGCTCTGGGGAGGGTGGAGATACACCCAAGTGCATCGCACAGTGTGAAGCTGGATACACACCCAGCTACAAAGTGGACAAGCACTTTGGTAAGAAAAGAGAAGCATGCTAACAATAGCTCTGTGTCTCTTCACACACACCAGGATTTAGTATATGAAATAATATTTGAACTGTATATTGCTCTGAAAAGGTGTTTCTACAATACATCTTGTTGTAATGCTTGGATGTTATTGGATGTGGCTCTGTTGAAGAATACAGCATGAAAAACAAAATGGAAATTATTTGAGTAGTAAACGGACTCAGTTGAAGCATGATTTATTATCATGAAATATGTAAGATCATAGTGCATGAATACAAACATGTTTTTGTAAAGAAAGAAATTCTGGTTACTCAGACAATTTATTAATAGGTCGTATTAAATCTAGAATCAATAGTCAAAACTTATATTTATTTGTATACATTTAAACTGACTGAAATCTTACACATGCATAGTATTTATTAGATATTTTATAAAGATATTTTGTATGGATCCGGTCATGTCCCATTAATCACTCTTGTATGTCCTACAAGCAGCATGTTTATGTCCTAAAATGAGCCTAACCCTGGTCTTGGTGAATACAGCTGTGTTTGCACACACACACACACACACACTCAGCACAGGTTCCTAACTCACAATGTGTTGCAGGTAAATCGTCGTACAGCGTGCTGTCAGATGAGACGCAGATTCAGGCTGAGATAAGCAAGAATGGCCCAGTAGAGGGAGCCTTTATCGTCTATGAAGATTTTCCGCTGTACAAGTCTGGTAAGAACACCTGCAACACCAACAGACAAATGTAGTACAAACACACGCAATACTGAGTGCTTGTACACTCGCAACCTGTTGAGAACAGGGTGAACGCTCATTGATTCTTTAAAATGATGTCCCTTGACTTCTTCCAGGTGTGTATCAGCATGTGTCTGGGTCTGAGTTGGGTGGTCATGCCATTAAGATCTTGGGCTGGGGAGAGGAGGATGGTGTTCCCTACTGGCTCTGTGCCAACTCCTGGAACACTGACTGGGGTGATAACGGTGAGCAGAGACGCGTATTTCATAAATTAACTAACATCCATACACCGATAGTCTCGATAGTATATAAACAGTAGCCCTTCTGTTTATATTTATGAAGGGAATGGAATATTCAGAATCCCTTCAGTGTAATACAGTCGGGTGGCTGTAGCTCAGTGGGTGAGCGGTTTGATCCCCGGCTCCTTCTGTCAGCGAGACACTGAACCCCAAGTTCACTGCTCACTGCTCCTAAATGCTTATACCTGGCAGCCGTTCTAAATATCAGACACAAATACACATACCTTATGTTCTCACATGTACAATATCTCCATATTTGTTACTTACAAATAACAATTGCTCATGTTGGGTCAAATCTCTTATTTTTTCCAATGTGTGTAACTGCCCTGTGGTCTGTTTCTGGTCTTCAGGATTCTTTAAGATCCTGCGAGGATCGGATCACTGTGGTATTGAGTCTGAGATCGTGGCGGGGATTCCCAAATAAATTCAAAGGTAAGACAACAAACCTATGTAAGGGCAATATTAAGTTTGTTTACTGTGTGCCTCTACAGTATAACGCTGCCACTGGTACAATGTCATAAACCTGACTGGAGAATGCACGGCTTTGTATTTGTGTATAAGCCCCATAGCTGCAGCTGTACCACCCCAGTAGCTCCCATTTCAAGTCTGAGAAGCTATTGTCTTTGTGAAACCCTCAACAAAAGTATAAACGTATGCATGTAGCTTCAGGTCTGTGGCTGACTGTCTGTTTCTCTCTTGCAGGTTTTGAGCTGCGGCGTCATTACTCAACCACGAGAGAGCGACACACTCAGAATGCCTCCTCTCAAACTCTTTTAACAGCTTTTAGTCCTTTTTTTAGATAAAGCCCTCTGATCACCTTGCACACATATTGCATGTGGTTTTCTTTTGACAAACAGACAGAAGAAACTCTAGAGCAACCTTCACCTCATCTATTAGCAGATAGAATATGTGCCTGAGCACAAATCAGCATTGTTTTATTGAATGTGTCTTTTTGTGAATGAGCTGTTGCAAGGTCTTGTTCCTTCATCTCTTAAAGCAATTGTTAATCAAAGTTGCACAGGAGGGAAATGGTTTTTAAAACAGTTAGGTGCATTTCATTTTTCTCAGGTGATTTGAAGCATATAGTCACTGTTGTAGAACTGTATTTGTTCCCCATGTCGTCACATTTTCGGCACTGACAACACAGCCCATGACTGAGAGAAATTACAAGACTCCAATACAACAGAGACTCTTCGAAAGTGTCCAATTTTTAATGAACACAGCTTTTCATATTTGACATTTCAACATTCAACATTTTCAGTGCCACAAATGCCACTCCATAATGTTAGGATGTACCCATTGTGATTGGTGCCTGTTAGTGTTTTTAAGTTTTGTGTATCGGATGAGAAATTGAACTTTCTTTTTAAAAATTTTGGTTGATAATGGGATGTTTTTATTGTCTGCCTGTATCAATCAAAATATCGGCGCATAACTGTTTTGTTCTGAAATAAATAAAACAATGAGGCTCTCAATGTTGTGTTGTTACTCATGAATACAGATGCTGGTATTTTAAATCAATTTGCATCTCATGTGACTGATTTGCATGCTTGATGTGACCAACTCACCAAGGAAATGTGGGTCAAGATGTGAGCGATGAATGGATACGTAGCTGTGAGTAAAAACTACAGGAGTGGTAGTTGATAAACGTTGCAGGTTTTTACTGCATCTGACATTGTATCCAAAAAGGTCAAAACAAGAGAGACTGATTTACAACAAACATTCATCCTAAAGCAGTTACCAAAGTTGCTTTTGTTGTGTAAGCAAAACCAAACTAGAAACGTCGTTTTCTACTTTGTGGCTCAACTGGGAAACGACGCTTAGATGCAAAAACATTAAAGTTAAAATTTTCAGAGAAAAAACAAACAAGCGTTGCTACTTCCGCCTTGTTGTCAGCAAAACAAACACTCCCCTGCGTAGTAGAATACAAGTCGTTTGTTTTCGACCCGGGCGTCTACCCATTCTCCAGCCTGGACAGCGGTGCTTGAGTAAAAGACGAAACACACTGAAGAAGCATCCTGTACAAAAATATTTATAACGTAGTCTGAAACACGGTTGAACTGGAGATATTTTAAATCGATTCTGCGGAGTATTCGTCCAGTTAATTGACCTCCGGAACACGCTGGCTCCCAAAACAAACGGACAACCCACCGCACTGCTCTCTGCTGCTCGAGCGTGCTTAAAGGTCTCGTTCATCACTCGCCGTGTGAGCCACCGTAGCTAGTCAGACTGCGAGCGATGGAGGAAGAAGGCAGATCTTGGTGGATGAAATACGGGCCTGTCGTGTCCCTGTTTGTGGTCATTCTGGCCGTCTGGTTTCGGTCACCTGATGACGCAGGACTGGACGACCGGCTGGACAACGTCCTGTCCTCTCTGCTCCGTGCTGAGGGGAAAGTCGGCATGAATAACGTCGCCAAGCCCAAAGTGGCTGTCGGTGAGTGCAGGTGATGTTAGCTTGTGTTAGCCTAGCCTAACCCTATTTTAGGTGCTTATGTAGTTTTGGAGGTTAATAATTGACTAAGTCCTAAATAATTGGCCTTCATATCAGATGTTATTGTAGTAAGAAAGCTGCTCCAGATGAAAGAAAGTTAAATGCATTAACCTAATTGCTCCTACTTGCTAACACAACAATACAAGTGGATTGCTAACCATGTATAACGTTAATTGGCTGATGTTGGTGTTTTCACGTTCACATAAAACGGTTGTGGCCTCATAGAGATTATAGAGAGAACAAGTAAAACATTGTTTTGTGAGCTGACATCAACTCTAGCTAAGTTAACCTAGCGAGGTTACACGTTAGCTTTTTCTCCTGTTAGTATCGGGAGGTTTGTCATTAAATGACCAAAAACGAGATCTGAGCTGAAGTTGTATGTTGAAACCAGATAAACAGCACAGAGGAGTGTAGTTGAGGAAAAGAGAGGAGGTTAAGAAAGGGAGTGAGAGACCACGATCATCAGATCTAAGTCCACAGTTCAGTTCTGGGCAGAGACCCTCTATCAACAAACATGGAACAGAGAGAAGTGTATGCAAATAAGGGCACGGTGGTGCCACTATTTCTACTTTAAATGTTACTCCACAGTAACTGTCTGCTTTGTGTCACTAGTACAGATGGTACGTCTGTCTAGGATTAAACTATACAGCTTAAATAGTGAAGCAGACTTGTGGGAATGCACTAACCACCGTTGCTGTAGTTAAAAACAATCTTTTAAGTTTCCAGCCCTGGTTATGGCTTGTGTACGTTGGCGTAAAGGCAACAGCTCCACAGTCTCATACCCACACCTTATACAAAGGCCTCCTGTGCCACAAGTGAAAAGCACCACAGTCGTTTTCTGACGAACAACATTATTAACGTAGGTGACCCGTGTCTTGACTGTCATGATCTAATCCTTAAGTCTTGTACTTTGAGCCTCGTTACAATCGCATCACAGAAGTGATCACCGTATCTGTCCAACCTTTAACCAGGTCAACAACACGCTCTGCCGCGCAGTCAGACTGGTTTCATTGTTATTACTCAGAATCAAATACAGTTTGAAAAGTTCAAAGTATCTTTATTGTCTCAAAGGGAAATTAACTTGCAGCCAGGTTACATACAAAACACACAAACCCTGAACAATGTTGGACAGCAGAAACATTCTATTCAATCGTATTCTGAATACAAACAAAAACCCAATAATTATGCACCACTGGTGCTGACCACTTAACCAAATATACACTGGTCCTTGTTTCTTTATTTTCAGCAAATTGTCAGTAGAACATTGTAGATGGCTACTGTCTAGTTAAGAGCATTGACAAACAATTGCAAACAGAGCAGCTAGAAGTCAAGCTACTGTCGGACTAAGTTAAATATTAAAATCTAATTCAAATGTGAACGCAAACTTTTGCCTTTTAGCTCCTCTAACAGGTTGCCTACACAGGTAGGCTGTGTGTGTTTGTTGTGCATCAACAGACTTGACAGAACATGTTTGTAGATGAAGTGTTTCATCATTTGACGGCCACAGTGGAGGCCCTGGAGGCCATCTCTTTATCTGCTCCGTCTCGTTGCTCCCAGATTTGAAGTGGTATACTTGCCTGTGGGCGTGCTTTTCTATCACAAATGTATCCTCCTTTGTCTTTATCTCACTGCCGCTCTCCCTCTTCCACAGGCTTTGGCGGTTGTGTTGACCTGATAGTGGACGGGGTCACATTGCTTAATAAGATTGGCCTCCCTCCTACAGACCAGCCCCTACACCACGACTACATTGAAAATGAGCTGCAGCTGGCTCAGAGCTTTGCCTACTTCTTTGCACCGGGAGCTGCTGCAGAGTAAGTGGTGTGCGTGTGCGTGTGCGTGCGTGCGTGCGTGCGTGCGTGCGTGCGTGCGTGCGTGCGTGCGTGCGTGCGTGCGTGCGTGCGTGCGTGCGTGCGTGCGTGCGTGCGTGCGTGTGTGTGTGTGTGAGAGACTGACTATTAGCTGGCCATTAGATATAGTTGCAGTCTAGTGAATAAATCCTGAATTCACAGTATGATAATATAAAAACATGCGTGTGTGAACAGGTGCTCATACATATTGTTAAATACTTTATTCTTCTGTATGCTATGACTTGATAGCTGAGTTTTTCTGTTTACATGTCCAAGTGTGTTTTAAAGTAAATACGAAAGAAGGGGAACATGAAGTCCAGATAAAACCAGTTTCTTTGTCGTATGCCTCAGGCTGCTGTGCTCCTGACTCATCCCGTCTCTGTCACATGCTCTTTCACAAACACACTCGTATGCCACCATGACTGTTTAGTGGTTTATTTATACCGGATATACATAAGAATATATACAACCATACACTGTTTTCTTTCCTCTGGCCATCTGTTTCTCATGCAAAATATACGTACCAAGTAATAATAAGAAACCTTGTTTTGGTCAGTGCTCATCTGTATTTTTCGGTCTTTGTTGCTGTTTATCAGTTACCAAAGTGTTCGGTATTTATGTGGTTAAACTCGTCGGCCCCATGCATTGGGGACTGCTCCTGTTCTCGCTGTGGTGCTTATGAGCTCTTATTCATTGTCTTGAAAAACATCTAAACATGCTTATAAAATCATCGTGGACAGAAAGAGCAAGATAATGTGTGTGTGTGTGTGTGTGTGTGAGAGAGTTAATACGAATAACAAATGATGTCTAAAAATCTCAGTTAGACACAAACGGGTATTTTTCTGCTCTGTATGTGGTTATTTCCTCCGTGTCTTTCCTTTTTTCTTGTGGAATTTGGGATTGTAAAGACCAAAATGCTGACGCTCTTAAGCCAATAAAATGAAAAAAGAATGTGCAAAGAACAGAAGAGACGATTGTTTGCCTCTGCCAAGTGTAGACCAGGTCAGACCACATGAGTAGATGTATTTCACTCTGCTTCTACTTCTGTTTCTCTTCTTTTTCCATATTTATATGTATATTTATGATGGGGGGGTCTCAACAAGAGGGGCAAATGGGTCATTGCCCCTACTTTATGGGTTTTGCTGGTTTGATTCCATGGCAAGATGGTCTCTTGTTATTTATACAGCACTTTTCATAAACAGTGGCAATTCATATGCTTTACAAATTGCATAAAAGAACTACAATGTAAGACAAAAAGCCGAGGTTTTAGATAAATGACGTTTCACTGATAGTTTGCTTTTGTTTTTGACTTGCAGGCGTTTTATCCTGAATGGTACCCTATTCAGTGAGCTGGTGGAAGTGTCCCGGGACCTCCCTGGAAACAGATGGGCGGTAGGCGGCAATGCCCCAGTAATGGCTAGTCGCATGGCAACCGAGGGATGTGATATTTTGCTCGGGGGAAGTTTCAGCCCCGATTTTACCGATGTCCTGTCCCAGCACATTACAGGTACACACATACTGCTACACCCACCTCCACCTCCTCTGCCTTCTATGCTTTTTACCACCCCGGTGTCCTTCCCCTCCATGGCCTTGTACTAATCTATCTGTGTCGGTCCAGTGGCAGGTAACATAGTCGACGAGCCAGACATTCATCTGATCCTGGAGTATCCATCTGGTGCTAGCTGGGGTCACTATACCTCACGTAGAGCCAACAGGTACGTATCAGTTGAGCATTTGGTAGATATTTTTAGAATATTTAGGGATCATTAAGGGGAACTGTGTATGCACGATTATTTAATCCAGAGACACGTTTTTCTACCTTGCATGTATGAAGTGTTCTATGCGTGTATGTACATACATAGAACCACATACACATATAACCCTCTACAATATTTGAAGCTGACTGTGTTTGTTTCTGTAGATATATCATCCACAGCGACGACCATAACCCCTACCTGGACTCCATGGCAGAGTTTGCTGAGAAACTCAAAGACTTCGAGCCAGATCTGCTGGTGGTGGGTGGGCTGCAAATGATGGATAACTTCCCCTTCCAGGCAGGTAAGAGACAAACCTTTTTATTAGTTGCTGGTTTGAACTCTCCAGCAGCAGTGTCTGCTGCTTTGTGTTGCACTGCTGAAATGAGAGCATGCTGAACAGTTGTCAGTTGTCCGGTTTTAGAAAATCATGTGAATTGAAGAAAGCTATCTTTTGAAACTGTAAGACTGTAGTTCTTCTCCAGGTTGAAGATGTGGATCAGTCGATCTCTGCCGGCCGAGGCCAACAAATCTAAAACATCTCCTTCGACGGAGTATCCAAACAGAAGTTTCTGGGCCTCCACGCTTAAAGGCTAGACGAGGCCTCGTACTTATTTGTAAAATGCAGCGAAGAGTTCTTGAGTGAGATACGCATTGTTCCAGAGCCTATTTTTTTCCTTCAGTCCTTATTGTCTGACTACATTTTGTCTGAATTTCTTCTCTTCTCTTCCCACCTGTTAATTTCATCATTCCAGGTGAGCGGGACGCTCTCTTCTCCCGCCTGTCGGACCTCCTGTCCTCCTCGTCTCCAACGATTGGAGTCCATTTTGAGATGGCCAGTTTTGTAGAAGAGAGTATAATGGAAGACCTACTTCACTATGTCATTCCCCATGTAAGTACTGAACAGTTACATTAATTAACCCATGAATTCACATTAAAGGGACTAGAACAATTACATAAACACAGGGGTGAAAAAACAATGTTTATCCGAGAAAAATAGAGTGACGTAGTTGGGTACAAGATAATAATGCGTATAAGTAAAAATATCTAAACAAAACTCAACAAAAACTGTATTTGTATCGTTTTTTATAATTTATATATATATATATATATAAGCATATATTAGTACTCAGAAGTGAGAAAACATAACTATGTTCGACTTTGTGGCCAGTGTAGTTACCTCTCAGCTCTGCAACATAACAGTCAGATAACCTGAGTATGACGTCTACCTGACACAACACTACGTTTAAACATCAAGTTTTAGCCCTTAGTTCAGCTTTATTTCATAATAAACTACACTTGCCATGTTGATCGCAATTTAAGAATATAGCACTCAATGCAACGTTATGGCATCCGTTTGTTTTTATTGCTGCCTTCAAGTAAAACCTGTGAGCTCCTATTAACGACATGGGAAGTCGTGTACACGATATGCTTGAGGTTCAAGTCTTAAGAACATCAGTATTAACGTTCCTGTCTGCGTCTAGAAGCAACAGCTGCAAACAATTTAGTAAGCTAGCGAACGGAACGTAATATTCTTAAGCAAAAATGAACCTCCATTTCTGAAAACCTCAGCAAACACGTCACAACTCGTGAACTCGAAGCATTCGTAACACAGTAAACACAATCCCATTTGAAGGCAGCATTAGAAGATGTTCAGTTAAAGGCTGGTCTTTATTTTAATCACTCATCCCGATTCTGCTTTTCCAGGCGGACTCTTTAGGGATGAATGAACAGGAGCTTCCCAACCTGCTCAGCCTGCTTAAAGGCTCCAACATCACCGTGTTGTCGGACCCAAACCCTCGTGTAGCTACTGTTCTCGACCAGATGAGGGAGGTCTATCGCATTGTGAACCAGCGCTCCAAGGATGGCAGCACAGAAAGAGACACAAATGGTGTTAAAGCTAAGCCGCTGACTCGGCTCCATGTCCATACGCTGGCCTTTCAGGCGATGATTGTGACACGCGGATCCCAGTGGAAGAACACCATGTCGGCCGTCGCCAAGGCCTCTCTCACAGCTAACCGCCATGTCTGTGGCTCTAAGGACATTGACCCCAGCAAGGCGAGGCTCATCATGGACGACTCCTTCTCCGTTAGCCAGCGGGAAGGCAGCCAGCGTATCCCTCTGCAGGAGAGCAAGCCGGTCAGCTGCTGGGACGAGGGGGACTACGAGATCTGTGTGGCACCGGTGCTGGTGTGCACTGAGGTTTACCAAACTGCAGGGGGAGGAGACAACATCTCAGCTGCTGGCCTGGTGCTGCAGATCTAGAGAAGTACACTATATGGTCCATCTGTGTGTAGTGCTAACTACATGTTAGCAACAATGTGACTCTGGAAACGTGATCTAGGTGTGACGCAAACACGGGTACAGATTGTGAAATGTATCAGGCTATTGCTCTGCCAGCTCTATATCCCAGGTGGACCATAAGGAAAACGTATCATTCGAAGGAGTAGGATGGTGGAGTGCAGTGGTTATGAATCAGGTAAATCACTAGATTTTTAATATATGGGCTCAGCGCAAAGCACTTTTGCATCCAGTTTATTTAATGTTTAGAACCAAAACTTCACCAAAAAAAAGACTGCCCTGCTTTAACACACCAAACATCTTTGCCAAGTCAGCCGCCATTAGACTCCTCCTCTACTTCTCTCGGGCCTTACAAGACTTGGCCTTCAGTCAGGATTAGATAAAGAGGGATGAGGTTTGGATAAAGTCCATAAAAATCAAGTTGTGTTTAGGTTAGTAGCCGACAAATCTGCTACAACTCAAGCTGTCGGATAAATTATCTTTGTGTCGTTTAAAACAAGTGACTCCACTCTGCAGCAAATTTATCCAGAGTTGGGTAATTACTGAAGATACTGAATCTTCTGCTTCTGGGGAGCACGTTCATCAGGTGGTTCAATCGACAGCTCCAACCAGTAAACGGGGCTTTTGCCACACCTGCCTGGCAGCATATGCAGTTTCAACCTGAAAGTCAGCAACCTGGCAGCAGTGGTGGAAAGTAATTCTTACGTTGTACATTTACTCAAGTATTGTACTTGAGTACAAATACTGCAAAATAGTTCTTCCACCACTGCCTGTCGGTTGTAAACGGTGTCATGATCTGAACCTTATTAATGAAAAGGCAATGAGCCGTCTCTATCCTGCCTCTTCCCTCATCGATTCAATTCTCAAAGTTTAAAGTAGTAAGCTAGTGATGTCATCGCCTCCTGTTTTTCCTGATATGTGTATTGTGGATTGGGTGTGTTTTGTTTTAAGATTATCATTCCTGTGTGTCCATTGCGGTGCAATAATGCAAAATGATGTTAAGGGACCACAGCTGGATATGATGTCAAAGACTTCCTTTCTACCTCCATGTTATTTTTGTTTCTTCCTTCACTCTTTTCTCTGTTACTTTGTCAAACTTTTGTCTGTGTCAGATGTCCTTGTTTTATGGCTCTTTAAGAACCAAATAACCGGTGTGGGCCGCCTCAAGTTCTCATATGTCTGCATAAAGTGGAACACATTCTTCTCTCTAGTTTTAGTTGTTTTGTTATTGTAAGCGTGACATGAGGCTATGACGTTTCCCACAATGAATTCCCTTTACCTGTGAAATATTGGACCACACAGTAAATGTATTAGTGTTCATCTTACGTGTATCTTACATGAAAATGGGGCCCCGCCTCTGATTGGGCATCAACTCCCTTTTCATTGTTTTCAGGGACAAAATCACTTATTTTAAAAACTGAATGCGACTGTACTTAAATGGGGATTATGCCATTTTTCTCACTTTGTACAAGTCAAACATTCCATCACAGACCCAGTTTCAGTTATTTGCTCCACACAAAATACAATATATTTTTTTCTTGATTACACCGTTAAATCGTCAAAGACCCTTTTTACGGAGGAACACATTCATTCATGTTACAATCCAACAAGTATGAACTGAAGAAATCCCTTCAAATGTTTCCTCTTTGTATCGACACTGTAGATTGAATGCTCTTTGATTATGCTGAACTTAAATGAGCCTTATTCTGTTTTGAGTTTTGGTGTTTAGTGAAAAGGGAATATTTAATACAGTCTTTTTCTATTACTGTAGGCTTATTAGGTTGTTTTTTCTGATGCACTGTGCAAGACAAAAACGTCTTGCACAGTGATTGGAAGACGAGAGTAACGGGTCGTGTTTCTACTGTGAAATGAAACTTTAAAGCAGAACTTCAACATGCATTCATGTTCGGATGGAGAACATGAATATCATATACTTCTCTACGCTTTAGATAAGTCATCTCATCCATGTTCCAAAGCTGTGTTTGAATGTTTCATGCATGTTAGCTATTCAATGCAGAGTCACTTAAGATAAAATGCTACGCCGATAAAGCGGTCATTGCTTTGTTTATTTTCTCATACTCATTTATTGATATTGTTCACTGCTGTCATGGCTGCAAACTGCGTCTGTTTAAGACAACACTTTGGACAAGTAAGGACTTCCTTGTTTAGGTCGTCTGAACTCAAGAAGTCTTCTAGACGAGTACTTATTCACGTCATGGCTTGTTTTTTTTTCACAACATCTTAACTCGCCGTGATGAATTTTATTTCCTTTCTTCACAAAACATTGGACACATTCAATTTTTTATTTCCGTATTTGTCCATTGGCTGCTCACACTGTCTTGTCAAATGAATAACCAGATCACTTCCTGACATAAAAATAATGTTTACTGTATATACAGAGCATTTGGCAAGAGCTTGCAAACAATTTTAGTTTAATGCAGTTTAACTCAACATAATTTTATTATGCCGACAAAAGTGTTCAAAAGCCAAATTCTGTGAGTCGACTGAACAGCTGTTTGCTAGCTTTTCATGCTTTTCAGTATCTTTGCGTTTTTCAGGGGATTGCAGTCCAATTTAGGTGCAAACCGCCACCTATCGGACCAGTGTACAGAGAACAGGATCTAGTTTACAGTCGTCTATAAAGCACTTTCCAGTGTCAATGCTAGCTATAAGCATTACTATAAAAGCCCCCAAAGTGGATTGGTGTTATCTGTCAGTTCAGTTGTTCTTTTACTCGTTAAGACACATTATTTGTCACAGAATGTAGATATGCGGCCTCAATGGATGACATCTGGTAAGAAGAGGAACTTTCTACAGACCGTGCTGAAGCTCTTAGGTAGGATACTTTTCTCATTACCAGCTGTGTTGTTTAATGTTGTTGAATATTGAGAGCTTACATTTTCAATTCAGTGGCTTCTTTTGCTTCGTTATGAACTACTTGATGATTTAATAATGTTTTTTGTGACTTTTTATCACAATTTTTATGGCATACTAGACTATAGCATTTTTAATGACTAAATATTATCTTTTAATGATGTACTACATTGTGACTTATTTATGGCATACTTACCTATGTCGATTGTTATGACATACTCTATACGTTTTTTTATAGTATGACTTTTTTTCATGACTTGTTTATTACATGCCATAATTAGACTTATGGCATACTATACTATAACACCTTTTCAAGACATACTATGGCAGTTTTTCTGAATTTTATTATAACATGCTATACTATGAATATGACTCATGATAATTTTATTTGGCAATGTACAATGTTATTTTGTATGACAATTTGATGGCATACTATATTATGACATCTTTAGAATTATGAAAAATGATCATGAATTGCAGTATTAATACGCGTTTGTAAAGCATATATTAACAGTCCCTAACCATTAGTGCATATCTAAATCATATATAAATGCATGAATAATGTACATCTAAATAAGTTCTTAATAATTTACTTCCACTTTATAAATTATGCTATTAATCATCTACAACTCCTTAATAATTGGTTTGTAAAATATATAATACTTAATTTACAAATGGGGAATCCATCATTTATAAAGTAATAAAACACAATCATGAAGAATGTCTGTACAATACATTATTACTATGGGATGGGCGCATCAAAACTGAAATCGATTCCTTTAAACAACTCTAATATCAATGGTAAAATAATATAAATACAAATGTGGGTGGCTGGTTCACTTCCAAATGTTTTCACTGCTTTTGTATGTTTGTGCCAAAACAGCCCTGACATATTTAGCTGGCCCTCGTCACATGACTGTGGAAAGCAATGTGACATCAGAGCCTAGCACATAGCGGCGCACAGTCGACACGTCCACATCAAACTTGTGACAGAATGGCAGATGCTACTTTTAGATAAAAAATACGACAAGATGGAAAATTTGTAATTTTTAAAAATCACATTCTATATAATAGATGATCAGTATCGGTATTTTATTGGCAAACATTGTAACAAAAGCATCTTACAAGTATCACTCCTCATTAATAAGTTCAGACTGTAATATGAGATGCCGTGATGTATTTTCAGAGGATGTATGGCACCTTATCTTTTGAACGCACATTCTGGTTCCGACAAATTCAACAAATCTTAGAAACAGGAGACAGAATGAAAGGCAGTGGGACAAAGAAAAGTTTGCTTTATTTTTTCCAGCTATATAAACGCATAAATGGCTAAAAAGGGTAAACAACCAAAATTACAACAAATGGTAAACCCTGGCTTTCATACTGTAAACAAATTCAAGTTTAGAGTTAAAGACTAAATATGACATTATGGTGAATAACTTAATGGGGCATTCCTGACCTTGATAAAAAGATGACATTTTTAAGTCTGTACCACCAAAGACTGATGGTAGAAAGCTATAACTCATTAAGTACACATTAAGAGCACAATATTGATCTGTAGTTCCATGGTTCCCAACTCATTCAGGTACATTAAAATCCTCAGCAAAATAAAACACTTACTGGATCTTAAACAAGTGCATCAAAAGAAACAAAGGGTTGGCTGATATTGCATAATAATATGTGGGTTTTTTAATAACCTAATTTTACTCAATAAATTGATGAAGTCATTGTCTAGGCTGAGGTAATACACAAGGAAGACCAAATTAAATTCCATGGCTTTGTTGTTGGTTTGTGCATTTGGGGGGAGTCAGATTACAGTAATCATAGATTAAAATGTAATAAAATATTCTGATCCAACCTAATTAAATATTAGGCCAATACATTCAAACAGTTTGTAAGAACAGAACCCTAACCATACATTTCTGGTCAATGTGTTTTTTTGCAAATGCTTTCTTTGTGGCTATCATCATTCTATTGGGGGTAAATTACATAAAGACGTTAAGTTTGATATCGCATGCCATATAATTAAACACATATGTCAGCCTTTCTTGTCATTTTTTATCATATAATTTATCCAAGTTGATTTTCTACTTTATGACTAATGGTGGTAAATAAAGTCAAATAATATGGCATCACTCCAGAAAATCAGAGTTAAAATCATCGCTCAGTGGTCAGTGTGTTACAGGAACTCTGGTTAAGAAACAACTCGGGCTGAGCCCGACAGTGAGCCCGACAGTGAGCCTGCCCCGGACCAGGTTAGTTTCCGAAAACTGAAAGTAACTGAGCTTGAACAATGTTGAATGTTCTTTATTTAACCGAGTCAGTTGAAAATGAGTCGGACTAACTGAAATAAACCTGGCTTATTTGGTAAATTTATACAACGGACCCCTTGGTGCATAATTATTAGGAGCTAATCCTAGAGTGGGGCAGACACAATAAGGCCAATCAGGGTGTACAGAAGACAACTACAGAGAAAAACTAAATACACTTTAAAAATATATGCTTTTTTTTTAGGCCTAAAAGAAAAGGCTAAATAAATATAATTAAAGAAAAGAAAATACACTTTTGAATTATTTAATATTAGATAATCAACTGTTTCACTTGCTGGGAAAAAAATATTGCAATGTACTAATCTCCATTAAGGATGGCTTCTGTTTCACGAACATGAGTCGTATTGCATTTTGAATTCAGGACCTATGTCCCTTTTACAGTTATAGAAATCTTTGCATTCATAAATAAAACCAGTCGTTACTGGTTGTAGAAAAATGGTTTCAAAAGTAACAGGAATACTTTCAATACATTAATCTTTTCACTAAACAACCGTCTTAGTGTTTAACAGTCAAATGAAAATGATATCACTATCTCAAAATTATAGTCAAGAGACAGATTTGTGGGGATGAAGAGTAAGAGGTCCTCTTAGTGGTATGTTTAACTCACTCAACAGTCTTCTGCTGACTCAAGATAAATTATTATGTGGACCGTAATGTGTGTATATTCACATCTCTGGTTGTCCCTGATGAACAGGGACTTTGTGGTGCTGTCCATGTTCTGCTGCTGGGGCTTCTGGGATTTGTTGTCCATGCTGTTCATCCACTACTTGATTTATGAGTTCCTCTTCTTCTGTCTTTAACTCCTCTCTCGCCTCTGCTGCTTCTGCCTTGTCCTCTGCTACCACCTCCTGCTCCTGGTGAGGTGCATTGTTGTTGCTGGAGTCCTGTGGTGGAAAAGGGTGAGTTGTTACTGCAGTCAGCCACAAGTGAGGCTGAGAACAAAAGAGCTCAGTAACCCAAAGTGAAATACAGATTTAAAATGTAAAACTTCCTCTGTCTACACGTTAATTGGTGGTAAAACATCAAAACTAATCCTATCATCATGTATAATCATGTACAATTAAAATGTATTATAATGTACCTTTACATGTGATTAATGACAAAAACAAAGTACAGAGTTTACCAAAACAAATACACAGAGTAAGTACACTAACTATTTTTTTCAAGTCATCTATTTGATATATTAATAGTTTGGATTGTTTTCATACATTTTAATAAGCTACTAAATGGACCTTGAGTTGGGATTGCTTTGTCAAACAACTATTTTGTTGTTTTTACAAATAAATTCATGTTTAAAATGTATTTGTTTTCTCATATTTTTATATAAAATATAGATTTAGTCTGTTGTGACTTAATGCCAATCATTACGTGACATTGAAAAAGGTATTCAAGTGTGTAAACGTACAGTACCTGTGTGTGAGGTAATGGAGGAGACAGCAGCTCGGATGGGCCCAACAGGCCGTCCTGGTTTAGATCCTGACTCTGTAGTAAAAAATCTACCATTGACACCACCTGGAGTCAGAACACCACACACACACACCTCAGGTCAGATAAACAGGACAAAAAGTATGAAAGTATTTGGTATGTGCAATAGACAGCCACTCCTCCTCACCAGCTCATTGGTGTGTGCTCCAGGTGTATGATGGGAGTTATAGTCTGAAAGAAGCTTCATCACCTCCAAGCCATCCAGCAGCCCACTGCGATCGTAGTCGTAAAGACCGAACAGGAAGAACACCTCTGACAAAAAGCAGGAGAAGACATGTTCAATACTAAACATGTTTGATATACTGCTGAATTATAACTGCAGAGGATGTACAGTACAGAACTAACCTAATGTATACACACAAACACAACTGTATTAGAACCTGAGACATATTTCAGTAAATAGCTGACTGTATAATTAGAGTTTTTTATATTTGGTAATGATGGTCGAAGGGACAGGCCTGTGTCAGACATATATAAGGGTTAGACCAGCACGTGTAGATGTCTACCTTGCTCCCAGGTGCTGATTTCTGGTCCTCCTTGGCCATCCTTCAGACTTGATTGAATGTAACTTTGCAGCAATCTGTGGTATACACAGCACAGAGAAGATATCAATGAATCAGTAAAACATTAGGAGCCAGGATTTAACACAATCAGACTTGGAGACAAAAGAGAAAGACAAAATTAGGCAGGATTTGTGGCTACATAGAAAAAGTCTTAACACATGACTCTAAGAGGAGGTGACACCTCATCAAAAAGCATTGTGTTTAAAGGAACACTATCCTATTTTCCAGTTTGCTCAGTTGTTTTGGAAAGCTGGAATCTATCACATTGAACATGAAGCAGATAGAAAGAAGACACCCAGGCAACAATGCTACTTAGTAAGTTGCTCTGCTGTTCTGTGTTGACAGTGTATAAAGTAGCAGTGCTATTTCAGACCACTCCATCCTGCTCAGGCGGAAGTGCTTGTTGACCAAAGTTTCTGTCAGGAGCTTTCAGGGAGTATCCATCTTGTTCTGCACAGTCTGTATGACCTAATCTTAAAGTGGACAGGCCTTAGATTAAGTAGTGTAGTGTAGGGAGGTGCGAATCTAACTTTGTTGTGTCCATACACTCATAAGACGTAAGCTAATGTGATGATAGAGTAGCGAACACATCCATTAATCTTATCAGGGGAGAGAAGTTGCAGCCACATTGTCACCAACAACAAACTCTTTGACACGAAAAGTCAACAAAGTGGTTGTGTCTCTCATTTTGGCTCTCAACCTGTGATTCATTAGGTGTCAGTTCACACTGCTGTCACACAGTAACAGATGTGGGCCGAGATACCAAGGATAAGCTATTGTATTTGCAATATGTCTGAGGATATTCTAGATTTTCTCTGTCTTCATGAATGAAAAAGACTGCATAATTGCAACACAAGGCATAAAGTGTTATTGCACATGTAATCTTATCGGTTTATGGCGCAGGCCACATCATTAGCACAACACAGCAGCCAAAGTCCACAGACTGACCAGACAGCAGCTACAGTCCACTAAAGCACACTGCATGTTGAACAGTACTACTACAGTAGTTTGATAAAACAATACATGACAGTAAATACCTTCATTCCATGTAATACATATTTTATCATCCTCTTGAGAAAAAGATTTCAAGCTGAATTTTGAGTGCGACAGTTACGCATACTGAAGGGAAAAAAGAAAAGGCTTTTTACTTAGGGACTACATCCGCTCCTCTCAAGAAAGCAATTAAGAGCAAATGTATAGTTTAAAATGAGCTGCTTCTCTCACAGCAGCAGCATCATCATCCTCATGTGTCCCTCACCTGCGGTCTCCGGAGTCAAATGGATTGGCTAGTGCTGCTGAAGGGTCGACCGATTCCTCCCTGAAATATAAAATAAAATTATATTACTTTTTGTCATTATTGCCTTGATTTAAATGTATTGTCTCTAATAAGTGAACGAAGCAGGTGAAACAAAGTTTGTTCAATTTGCTGTAAGTGTATCCCATGTACATGAAGCATACTTCATTTACTAGGTTTTGCAAAAGGTCTGCTTCAAATATACAACGGTATGTGTAAATATTGCCCATTCTCATATTGCAGCCTTTGGTGACATGTTTATTGTGCAAATTCCTTTCTCATGGCTTAAAAAAAAAGTGGGCTTATTGAAGTGAAAGGCAAAAAACAAATGTGTCTTGGTATGTCTGAAAAAAGAAAGACTAACAACTTAGGGAGTAAGGAGGTGAGGTTACCTTTGTGTCCCAGGGACACCTGGTGCAGCCTGGCACAAGTGTATTAACAGGAACATGGACAGGACACATGGGACCAACCCGCCCAGGTGAGACTCCATGAACACACCTACAAGCACAGAGCCATGTTGTAACCTCACGTCACATGCCATCATGAATTTATCTGCCCAAATGTCCAAGATTTACTGAAATATGACCAGTGTGTAACTTACATAATAAAATAACACAATAAACAGATAGACCTGCTCCCTCTTTGGGACATAGGAGATGGTTTCATGTTGCTATACAATGTGGAATTTCCACATGGCCACAGCTTCAGTATCTGCTTAAATGCATCTACAACCTGGTAGTCATTGTGTTATTATCTGTGTCAAATGGTTTAATCTACATGTAACACCTGCTCACTACAAATAAAAACCAATCATTGTATAAAATAACCGTGCTGCAATCCTGCAGCCTTTACAAGTTACACAGATGGTAAATTAATTAAAACCTCTACATCTATGTATAGCTCAACACAGTCTGTCAGTGAGTATGTCCATGTCTCTCCATTGTTACAAGCAGATGCCTAATATATATATATATATATATATATATAT